AACACATCTTGTGCCAGTGCCTGGCCCCGGGCCAGCGGGCTGCGTGGGCCCTGGCCAGGGGACTACTGAAGGCAAAGGGCCTTGACCTCCCTGAAGTGACCCTTGGACTTGCAGTGGGTGCCCACACCTATACCGCCCTTGATGCAGAAGGGCAGGTACTGCATGGGGCAACAAGGCTGGCCAGGCTGATACTGCCCGACACAGCCTACCTAATCTGGGTATTAAGATGTGAACGTGTTATTGGGGACCGGGAAGTGCTGCCTGGAGAACTAGAGGATGCCTATGTGGAGCGCAGATGGTTGCGCATGGTGTCCAATCGCTTACAGCTCGACTGTGCCCTGACGAGCAAGAGGGTGGCGGCAAAACGCCTTGTCCCGCCCACCACTGTCTGTGCGACTTGGGAGGGGACTCTCCAGGAGGAAGATTGCCTGCCTGCGGACTGGACTCGAACACCGGGGGTTTTAGTGGGTAAGCCGCTGCGTCTGTATGGACCAGATCCGGGGTGACCCGCTGGCTGTGCGGATGACATGCAGTCCCACACTGGGGTACTTGTACCCGCGTGCGTAAAGCATTTCCTCCGTACGGTAGCTGATCCTGGCAAAGAGGGCACTGTCCTCGACGCCTAGCAATTGTCACGAAAGGTAGTAACGTACCGCACGTGATGAGCTCCGTTAAAAAAAAAAAAAAAAAAAAGACTCCTTCCCGTCGTACAAGGAGATGAACGGCACCGCCTTCTCGTTGAAGAGGGAGAACGCCGCAGTTACCAGCCCGGAAGGGAGGCTAGCGGCAGTTTCAAATGGGAAATCTTGCGGAATCTACAGGTTTCCGAGTTAGGGCAACATCGCAGCCCGAGATCTGACTCAGGCTCACCTTCGCAACAGTCTCCGGACGAGCGGCGAGGTATTGGCGGTAGGTGCCGTGAGCCGAACGCCCTCCGTCTGTAAACCATCCTTGCACAATCCTGCAATGCATGAGGTCAGTTTATGGATTCACTAAAAGCGGAATCCTCAATGAAGCACTTACACGCGATCGCCTACCGCAAACTGGTCTTGGATGGCACTACCCACCGTCACGATCGTGCCCGCTGCGTCCCAGCCGAGGATGGTCGGGAACTCCTCGACCACCATGCCGAACTGTTGAATCTTCCAGTCCGAGGGATTGAGCGCAGACGCTTCGACGCGTATGAGGACCTCATCTGCGCTGGGTTCCGGGATGGCAGTCGCTCTGACCGCGAATTGACCGCACTTGGACTCTAAAAAGAGGGCTTTCTGCTGTTGCGTAGACATGAGGTATGATGTTTTGCGGTCGTTGGCTTCAACCCACCTGTGGTCTTTATATAAGGACCCGGTGTCGGCCTATACCGACGGTTCGCAGTATGCGTGCTGCAGACGGATCCACCACCCACCTTCGTCTGTAAGACACATATCTACCTCGGGCGGCGTCCCGCCGTTCTTGGCCGTTGTTAACCGAAACGGTGTGAGAGGGGCTTCACTTCTCTCAGGACGACCAGCGACTTACTCAGCGACAAGGAGGCTATACCTTACATGCGTCCCCGGGCGGCAGCGGCTTCGGTCGCAAGAAGGCCGCCCAGAGCGCCTGCGGTTGCATTCGGGACCCGGGAGGTGCATTGAGTCGACCAGAAGCACACTTTGCAATGCCGGTCGTTATACAATTGCCGATCCCGGGCTTCAGCTTCAATGCCGGTGGAAGCCAAACAACAATCCTAGATTTACATGATTGACGCTAGAAAGTACACTATCGCCATGAATCAGATCGAAAGACGCTGTGACGGGTGTATACATATGGACTCACAATCGGAAGCACGGTAGTCGGCGCGGAGCGCTTGGTTGGTGCGGCGTTCTCACACCGTCTCCTGGGGCTTCACGACCAGCTTCACGCCGCTCACTTGATTGTTACGGAGGCGGTCCAATCCTCCCGCCACGCCGCGGAGTCCTCCACTCAGGACCTCAACCGGGTTGGGCTGATATGATTCCAGTCAATATACGCTCTAAGCGTGGTATGTTCCGCTAACCTTGATCGCGCCGCTCTCGAGCAACTCCGGGAGCTTCTCCCTGAGACTCTTGCTTACCGCGTGGTTTATCTCGGTGTTGAACACGCCGTGCGCCATATGTACCCTCTTCGCGGAGTTCTTCTCTGCACCAGGGATGGGCGTCTGCAGGACTACAATGAGATCGCCGGTGGGCGCAGTGGCATCGTAAGCCGCCTCCAGAGTATCGGGAAGTGAAATGGCATCGTAGACGACGTCGAAGTACCCGCCGGCAATGGCGCGAGCCTCCTTGCTCAGAGCCTCTGGAGAGAGCTTGCGATCGAGGACGTGTGTAGCGCCGAGAGACTTGAGCAGCTCGGTGTTGTGGAGAGAGGCGGTGGTGATGATGGGCGAAAACCCGGACAGCCGAGCGAACTGGAGGGCTGTCCACGAAAATGCATCAGCTGTGCGGGGCGTAGCCGAGGGACATTGACATACCGAACTGGCCCATCGAGGAAGCACCGCCGAGGACGAAGAAGGGCTTTCCGGCGAACTTGCCACGCCCGCGTTCTTCCCAAGGAGGAGGCAGTCTAGCAGAAAGCGCACCCTCAGCCTCGTTGTACAGCGGGAAAGCCGCCGTCGCGACGCCGCTGGGGATGGTGGACGCGGCCTCAAAGGAGAGGTTAGATGGCATCTGGGGTGGCCATGCGGGTCAGCAAGTCCGCAAGTCAAACCCGGGCTAGAAATTACTTTTGTGATGTTGTGAATTGGGGTAAGCGCGAATTGCTGGAACGTCCCTTGGATGGCCCTCTTTGGTAGATCGTACCAGCCCTGGGCCAGGCTAGACGTGTATGAGCATCACGAGCACATGTCAAGGGAAAGTAGTCTACACTTACACTCGGTCGCCGACGGCAAATCCCTGGACGGCGTCACCAAGTACCTCTATCGTCCCCGCTGCATCCGACCCCAGGACACACGGGTACGTCTCAATGAGAGCACCCAGCACATGTATTTTCCAGTCGGCGGGGTTGAGAGCTGCAGCTTCCACGCGAAGAAGGACTTCATGTGGGCCAGGTTTTGGCACATCGATGTCCTTGATCGCCAGCGTCCCGAACTTAGACTCGAGGACGAGGGCTTTCTGCTGCGACGGCATGCTGACGGAGTTTATAGTGTGATGAGATGTGTTTGAGTGCCGGTGTGTATACACGCACCGCTGTCTTTATACCGAAGTAGCTGCATCCCCCTGACGGAGGAGATAGCTGTTAGGAATTAGGCGAATGACTAAAAGAACTGATGATCAATTATAGACAATTCAACAAGCCCACAAGGATCGAGCCTGCTGAGTGTGTCCACCTGAAAAGGACAGACGTCGGAACAAGCGCCGTACTTACTAAAGCGCCAGCGCAAACGCGGAGGTTAGCTCCGGCGCAGAGACCCAAGAAGACTCACAGAAATTGCACACACCTGACCTACACACCGTTGCGGCCCTGCTGCAGTGTGAGAGCGAGTCCAGGGAAAGCGTCCTCATTACGGTATAGATAACACGGAACGTACACATCCTCCTCGATAGTACCGGATACACACTCGAACACCAGCCTCCACAAGGCCGGCGCCTAGAACAAGCCCAACAAATCGTCCTGCGGCTGCTGTGGCTGTTGGGGTGTGGCGGGCTGGAGCATTGAAGGCGTTGCGGGTGAGGCGGACATGGGTGACGCCCCGAAGCCGAAGCCGCCCAGCGGGTTGCCGTTCGCAGGCGCGGCGGGGGTCGCGCTGAGACTTGCGCTGCCGAAGATGGAGACGAGGTCGTCCAGCGGGTTGCTTGATGTCCCTGAGAGCAGATTCGCCGCGGCGGGTGTGGAGGCGAGGACGGTCGTCGCAGCGAGGCCTGAAGGCTGGCCATCGCTCGTCGGGTCCTCGGAGAAGTCGAGCAGGTTCTCGGCTTGCTGACCAGCTGCCACCGTTTGTAATGCTTTCTGTGCTGCGGCACGGTCGTCTGCAGGACTAAAATTTGATGGTTAGCAAAGGTGGAGTTTTATGGAGGATGTAGAACTTACTCCTTTTTCTGTACGGAATCCGCACCGATACGTCCACGCCCAACGAATGTCTCTGCCGGCTTGTGATATACACTGGCCAGCAATGGGATCTCGCCCAGCAGCTCGTCAAGCAATGCTGCTGACACCGTTGTCCGCGGGATCGTGATGGGAGGTCGGATTGCAAGCACCACAGCCTGAATGATGTTCGTCAGCGCGACAGGATCGGAGTGTGCTTAGCGAGACGCACCTTCGCGGCGCCCGGATCTGTGGACAATAACCGCCAGTAGATGTATGCGCGGTCTCGTACGTCTGGTGAATCGCAGTCCTTCGTCGCGGTGTTCAGCACCTTCTGCACCAAGGCTTGCGAACTGTCTGGCTTCTGCAGATATAGCTTGACCACCGCCGTCAAAGTCTGTAGTTGCACCTACACCGATCAAAGTCAGCATCGCGGACGTCGAAAAGTCAAAATATTTGCTAGCACACGCACTGGATACGACTCTTCTGTGAAGGTGTCGACAAAGATGCCTAGCAGCTCATCGGCATTGTCAATCTTCTTCGCGTACTCGCCGATGATCCAGATAAGCGAAGCCTTAGCTTCTGGTTCGTCGAGCTCGTCGAGGTTCGCGCACAGCGTTGGTATGACGCCTTCGTACGTCGAGGGGTATTTTCGGAAGATATCCTGCGCGGGATAATCGTGCGGGTCAGGCGTGTCTCGGCACCGATGGCAGATCGCTGGAGCGGACCTTCATGACCACCACCGCTTCTTGCACGACGTAGCTCACGCGCGAGTTGATGAGATCCAGGAGGACGTTGACGCAGCGTTCGGCGGCTTCGTCGATCTTGACCGCTGTTTGGCCGATTGCCTTGATGCTCCTCCGAACGAAGTCGACGTCAACTTCTTGGGCATACCTAATGTTACGTTCAGCATCCTTCCAAGGGTTGGTTGGTCAGCGCTTACTCCTTCAGTTCGCTGAGAAGCGGGTCGACGTTCTTGTCCGTGGCAATGCGGACCATGATGTCGAGCTTTTCAACCTTGACATACAGCGGGTCGTTGTACTTGCAGAAGAAAACGCGCATTTCGTTCGAGAGGATATCAGACCGCTTCTGGAGCAGAAGGTTGATGTTTCGGAGAGCGACCCATTGAACCTCTGGTGGGTTGGAGAGCAGGGTGACAAGCGGAGGTGCCATCTTGCGGGCGAGGGTCTTTGACACGTTCTCCGAACTGATACCGCGTATTTGAATCATGACAACCTTTGTAGTTCAATTCAAGACGAGCTTTTACAACGCGCATACAGTCTGGACTGCTTACCTTGATTGCAGAAAGGACGACGCTTGCGTTCGCATGCTGAAACTGGGGCACCACGCGCTCGCATATATGCTCACTCTCTCCGCTATCCTCGGCCTCGTATTGCGCCAGTGCAGTCAAGATCGCAACGCGACCCCACTCTGAGCACTCGTTCAGAGCGACAAGGAGTTTGTTCACGATCTCGGTCGTGATAGCAAACTGGTCTCTGGGGACGCCTGCAGCTACGGCCGCGATGTGGATGTCCGACAATGCTGTCACGGTGTTCGCGACCACCTGCATAGCGTCAGTGGATAGCTGACGTGCCATACGTAACATAGGCGTACCATTGGGTTACTGTCCGCAATCATTTCCCGGAGCTGCTCCAAGAAGCCGTTCTCGATGACCAGCTCCGGCTTGAGGTCATATAGCTTCGCGACGCAGAGGGCGGCCGTCTTGCGGACATACGGATTGTCGTCCTTCAGGCACTTCTGAAGCGGGTCGCACAGGTAGTCGATGATCTTCTCCGCACGCAGACACCCCATCGTGCGGATCGCGAGAGCGCGTACGAGCGGGTTCGGATCATCTGTGTCCTTGACGAACGTATTCACGGCCAGGATCACGAGCTCCGGTTGTGTTTTCGCGTAGTTCATGAGGTAGAGATAGACGAGTTTCTTCTGCTCGAGGTCGTCCGTTTGCATGTTCTTGAGGACATCCGGGAAGAGACCGCTGACGTCTTACTTACCCGCTCAGACTCGGTCTGTTCGATACTGCAAGGCACTCACCCTTGCCAACGGTCATATTCGCGATAACTCGTTTGATAGCATCCTTCCGCTTGTCCTTGTATTCACTGTTGAGATCCGCAGCAAGCTCGAAGTTCTCTCCTTTCCGAGGAGGTGCACGGAAGCTGGACATGTCGAGATGGAGTCACCGACTAGCTCTGACCTCGGTCAAGGTGCCAAGATGCGTCTGGAAGTTCTTGCGCTGTAGCACAGTATGAATGTCCCAAAGTGCAGACAGTGAGGAGGAGGCCAAGCGTAGTGAGTAGGGAGAAAGGTGTCAGATGTGTTACGAGCGCGACGCAGATTCACAGCCGCCTCGTTAAATTGACGCCCAATATAACGGCTCTCTGCCATAAACCACCATCTCAGGATCTCCTGCTCTGTTCCTGGTGTATACACGCGTCGCACGACACTCGAAGTTCTCGTACATATATTATTTGTAGTCTAAGACGATTCGCGTAAGTCTCAATTCCGTTTGGTGTGTTCGTAGTTCTGGACGTTAACTTTTATACAGGTAGTAGATCAGTAAAGAGTCTTCGACCTTGCTGCATCTTTGGCTCGTCGATGTGCGATACAGCTACTCCTAGTCACACAAGCCAAACAGACACCTCTGCTGCTCCGACATCTCATACAACAGGCCGTATATGCGTATAGTGCCAGGGGGATCTCCACGGGGGTTGTTGCGGCTCGCGTTCACTATCGAATTCGCTCTCAGAGTCTGCGTCGTGCTTTCCCTCGGCATCATGCTCGCCCATCTCCTCAAGAAAGGGTTGACGCCGTTGAATCCATAATCGTGACCTAATCGCCGGTCAGATCCGTTTCCATGTCCGTGGTATGCCCTTCCCGCACAGCTGCCCCAGCTTCGCTACCCCGTTCCTTCGTTGTAGCCAGACCATCCTGCAACTGATCGACTCTGGCGTTGACTGTATCGACAGACGTAGCATGGGGAGATTCCGGGACATTCGGTCTTCGGAAGGCGGAGGAAGTAGAAGCGACAGACACGGCAGAGGAGGAGGAAGATGGTGTGTCCACGGTTTCGGGGAGGGCGGGATCGGAGGTTGATTTGTGCGGCGGAGGGGGAGGCAGATGTTGAAGGTGCGCGCGCATATTCGCGATGTCCTTACGGAGCTGACTGCAATTCGACAGGAGCGCTTTGAGTGTGTCGGTGTCGCGGAACTGCGCAAACCCCATTTTTGGACCACCGCTCGACCTCCTCTCGCAGCTCAAAGGCTCGCCTGTCCAGCCTGCAGAGATCAGACACGGCCGGTTAGCAAGCTGAGCTTTTACTGTTGATTCGCGCCCACGTTCGCGAGGACTGCACACTCACTGGACCAATTGTCCCCAGTACTTCTGCGCTTCGTCCGTCTCGGAGAGGTGGCCCTTGTGCTCGAGCATGCCCAGAAGCCCGCGTATCTCCGCAAGTGCGTCTTTGATCTCGCGCAGACGTCCAGGTGGGAGAAGATCCGCGATGAAGTCCTTCAGCTTGTAGCCCGCCGAGAAGACCATGATGCTGAGCACGAAGCTCACGATCTGCATGACATCCAGGTGCATCATAGTGGAGATGATGATGTGGACCGCCTGCCGATTTCCGCGATGAGAGTAAGATAAGTGTATGAAGAAGTCCTGACAGTGGTCGCTGCAAGTCCTGCGATGGCGCAAGCCCTGTGTGCAAGTCTATAAGCGGGACCAGCGCTCTTAGCAGCTTTCGAGGGCACGCTGTACCAGGAGAAGCATATTGTCGCATCGGTTTAGTGCGATATCGATGCGAGGCGATGCGGACGTTACGGCACACCAGACTGGTATATGTCTACAGACGCGCAGACCAATAAGTATCTAACTTCGCCATTCTCACACAGGACTGCCACAATACACCACGCCCACCCTCGATAGCTATATGAATGGGCACCTCGCCTGCTCTTCAAACGACTCCGAAGTGCACAAAAACCCTGCAACAGTCGACAAGTTGCAAATACGTGTGCATGTTCAAGAAAGGACAGCAGTTCGAACACATGAATATACGGCTTCAAAGCGCTCATCAGATAGAGGACAGGTGTGTTTCTCTTGCGAATGTATGCATATGTTGAGCGCTGGGACAGCTCATCCAAATATACTGCTTTAGCACCCGGAAGCAGTAAGGAATTGAATTTAGACGTCCACGTTATCAAGTGCGGGGTGAATAGGATCGTCCCTGGATTAACGGCACTGTACGCCCAAGTCACCTAAAATCCTGCTTGATCGCACCCGTCGCTGATCTGTGTCGTCATTCCAGAGACAGATCAGCCCCTTTACACACGGGCTGGATGTAGCCTGACACAACATGTTGACAGTATTGATCCCGCTGGGTCCGTACCTCAGTAGCCACAAGCGAGTGAAATCGTCCATTGGTGGTACGTTTTTACTGTAAGCTCGTTCGTGAAAGCTTGACCGGGACTCACTGGTGCACTGGCAGTCCACGAAGCCCTTATGATTCCCGGTTGTCCGGCGATGGCCTGGACCGGATAGAAGAACATACTCGCTAGCGTCGAAGGCACATGCATCTGCTGTCGGAGGCATAACTCCGACGCTTCTCGTTTGTCATTCTCTGTAGGTCAACACTCTACGAATTCCTTTGACGCCGCCATCGAACGCTGGACTGATCTCTGTGCCTGACATACCACTCCGCGCGACTGCGAGTGTCACGGTGCGTCAGCCACACATTCTGAGATCACCACTAAGGAGACCACGTTGCGATATATCCGCGCGATGCTAGCCCTACTCTTTTCTAGGCTGCCTTTGGCGCCGCAACGTGGTGTTCGTGCCGCACTCGAAGTCTAGAGCAAATGGGGAAGAGTTCCATTGCAGATGCTATCGTTAGCAGCTTGTGGTACGTTTGAATCGTGGCGTTGGGACTGGGGGTAGTCTCTGGTAGCCTGACGAGACTTCCGTCGATCGTATGTGCGCTCCGCTCCGTGTATGCATCGCTAAACCCGGCCCCCTTACATCTAGGACGTGATCGAGACGCGTCCATTGACGCTACCGAGCGCGGTCCTCGCCCCGCTTGACTCTACTTGTACGTTGACGAGCATTCGGAAGGTCTTGGTCCGACTGCGTGCATAGTCTAGATCTAAAGCGGAGTACGTTATCGCTCCGTCTGCTTCTATGCAATATCGTCGCTCGGTGCATAGTGTGCTAACTTCCGTCATGCCTTTTCACAGTATGGTGCAACCCTCAAGCAGCCCGCCCATTTGAGTCCGCAACAATCGGAGTGTCTTTCAGTCTCTACTTTCGTGTTTCCCTTCAATTCTGCTCAAGCTCGCGAACGTGCAGCACCTTCGACCAAGTTCCGACCGTTTTTGATAGTGTCTGACCCGCTTGACTAGGCGGACGTGCACCGTGCATCGTGTATGATAATGCATCCACGCGAGACACTAGTGAAGTTGCTTAACATCCCACCACTGCGCTAACTTCGCCGCAGTTTTCAGCGACTAGATCCCGGTCGAGGCTCCGGTAAGCAGATCGTATACGTAGACATATTAAATCCCGCGATTCGCTCCCAGATCGCACAGCGCCTGCGCTCCCGCGGTTCTATGTTACTCGTTGCAGCCACTCGCTTCATGTTTCCCTGATAGGCGCTGTGCTCTAGTTTGGAGCGCGAGCGGCGGAGGGCCGCTCGAAACTCGGATGCTCACCATCGCGACAGGAACAGTGAACCCCGATCCCGAAGGCCTCCGCTGCGCTCAAGCGGCAAGCTGCGAAAAATCCCGGCCCCCGGCGTGGCAACCGTCAGCCCCACCACAAGCGTCGACAGAGGTCGACAGCCGCATCGCTGTGAATGAACCCGCGACGCTTTCAACAGCACGAGGCGACCCTTCATCAACGGTTACGCCAAGGTCAGGGCAAGCGGTCGCGCACCTCTCACTAGTGCTGTCGATACTGGACCCGCGCGGGTTCTCGCACAGGGTCGCACGTCTGCAGCGACACGGTGCCGCGCGCCTCGGGGAGGAGGACGAATCGCGGGCGGCACGCGCTTCCGTCGCGTAATGGGTGGGCTCGCCTGCGAAGGGAACGCTGGGGTTCGTCATCCGGGGTGTGCCAGCATCACAAGCCTCTAGCGCGATACGGTAGGTCTGCGCCATGCCAGCAGCTGCCCCGGCTGATGTCTCTTTCATCAGCGTGTTACGAACTAGACTCCGTCTCCGCGGACCCTGTGCCAATTGCCCTAGGCTTCCCGTGGGTGGGGCGAGTATCGATCAGCGCGGGGTTCTTAACGGCTCGAAATACGCACTTGCAGGACTCCCCGTTCCCCGCCCTCGTCCCATACTCGAGTCCGGCACCATGGGGTACTTCCTGACTGCTTGGCATGTGGTGGCGGCCGTACTACTTGCACTCATCGTTAATGCAGCTGTGGTCCGGAGGCGTCGCACACCACTTCCTCCGGGCCCTCGGGGGTGGCCCGTCATTGGTAATGTGTTTGACATGCCGGCCTCTTACCACTGGAAGACCTTCGCTACGTGGGGCGAGCAGTATGGTACGTCCCCCACTGTAGCCGCTATCATACGTTTCCCCCCGCTGCGTCGTGCTCACCTTCAAGCCGTCTAATCGCAGGAGATCTCATAATGCTCAAACTGCTCGGGCAGCCGATGCTCATAGTCAACTCGCTCGCGCATGCCACGGAACTGCTCGAGAAACGGTCTGCGCTCTACTCGGACCGCCCGCACTTCACCATGGCGGGCGAGATCGTCGGGTGGGACCAGATCCTCGTCCTGCTGCGGTACGGGAGCCAGTTCCGCGAGTACCGCCGCCTGATGGCGCGCGCACTCGGCTCACGCAAGACCGTCGAGACGTTCGCGCCGGTCATAGAGGCGCAGAGCGCACAGCTGCTCGTCCGCCTCCTCCGTGACGCGCGCGACATCCCCGGGCACCTTCGCGAGTACGTACCCCGCTCCGCACTTTCGCCCCTGTGTTCGCACGCGCCCCACATGCCTATCGCTCCTGCGAATGCGATGGGAGCGATAGGGTGTGCGCGCGAGTGGAAGCACGGGCATGTGTCGTTTGTGGGCGCGTTGGATCAGGTTCGCTGACGTCCGCTCCGTGTGGTGTGCTTCGCAGGATGACCGGCTCTGTGGTACTGATGATTGCGTATGGGTACAAGGCCCAGGAGCACGACGACCCGCTCATCAAAATGGTCCAGGGTGCGACGGACCAGGCGGCCGAGGTCGTGCAGCCCGGCGCCTTCCTCGTCGACGTCTTCCCCTTCTGTGAGTTTTTCATTTTCATATCCGCTCCGGGCATTCCCGAAGCTGTCGGAGAAGATGCGGCAGTGAATGGGCCGGGAACAGTTTGGGATCGACATTCTGATCACCTACTTGGCATTCTTTCTTTCTCTCGTAACAGTGCGCTATGTTCCCTCATGGATGCCAGGTGCCGGCTGGAAGCGTAAGGGTGAGGCATACCGGGCCAACATGGACAGGACAAGCGACGTACCCCACCAGTACGCGAAGGAGCAAATGGTAAGAGCTCCTCGATGTGCTATCCAGCTCCCACCCTAGTCGAGGCTGACGTTGCATCGTGACGCAGGCGGCCGGAAACGCCCCGCCGAGCTTCACGTCGACGATGCTCGCGATGAGCCCGTCACCCGAAGACGAGTACCGGATCAAGATGTCAGCGGCGTCGATCTACACCGGGGGCGCGGACACGGTACGCACGCGTAATCGCCGCTCAGCACAGACGCATGCTCACTCAGCAGCGCATAGACGGTGTCGGCGGAGACGAGCCTGATCCTCGCGATGAGCGTGTACCCGGCGGTGCAGAAGCGCGCGCAGGCAGAGCTCGACGCCGTCGTTGGGCCCGAACGCCTGCCGACGTATGCGGACCTCGCGCAGTTGCCGTACTTCAGTGCGCTCTATCTTGAGGTTTTGCGGTGGAACCCCGTCGTCCCTCTCGGTTGGTCTTTTCTCTTATACACCTTAAGCTCTGGTAACTCATACCCAGGACGTCGCTCAGGTGTCCCGCACGCGGTGTCTTCTGATGATGTATATAACGGGTACTACATCCCGAAGGGCAGTATCGTCATGATCAACCAGTGGTGAGCAATCTCAACAACTCTTGCACACCACAAATCTCATAAAAGTGGCCTTTAGGAAAATGCTGCACGACCCCGCAACCTACGCCGACCCGTTCACCTTTAACCCCGACCGCTTCCTCCCCAAGGACGGCTCAGAGCCCGAGTACGATCCCCGCAAGATCGCGTTCGGCTTCGGCCGCAGGTACGTCTCCCCCTCTACCCTCTCGCCCCTCTTGGCCCTGAATCTGACCCTGACCCTGGCCCTGTGCGCAGGATCTGCCCGGGGATGTACCTCGCCGAGCCGTCCGTGCTCATGGTCGCCGCGATGCTGCTCGCGGTGTACGACATCGCGGACCCGCGCACCGCCGCGGGCGTGCCCATCACGCCCGAGACCGTCGAGTGCACCGGGGGGACGATCAGGTGCGCCCTCGTTTCCCTCGCTTCTGGGGTGTGCGCGCAGATGCTGACCGGCGGGCGGATTGACAGCCACCCGGCGCCGTTCCGGTGCTCGTTCACGCCGCGCTCGGAGAAGGCGAGGGCGCTCATCCTCGCGCTGCAGGACACCAAAGCCTAGGCTCAGTCTGCCTCCGCACGCCGCGAACACGCCCCGCCTTGGACATACCGTACATATGTACATACGCTACATATACCTCGGTGCCAGTGCCGCCTCCGCCGCGCACGCACCCCGCCTCCATGCTACTGTACACCAGCTACCGATATCGATACTGCCGCCTGCCCGGCCTACGGCGACCCTCCTACCCCTACCTCACATCCGCGCCAGCCTCTGCCAGCGCGTAGTTCCGTGCCATATCATACCTTACCATACAGCCCCGTACCGCCGCCCCGGCCCCTGACACTCGTTTTCTGCTCCGATGGTACTACTAGTACTTTTAGTCTCAGTCTGGCTCTTCGACTCTCTCCGACTCGCCCGAGTCTTATGCGCTCACTCTCTCACTCTCTGCCCGTCTCTTTGCGTTCGCGTCCCTCTCTGCCTCACTGCTTGTCGCGATGCTCGATACCGATCTCTCCAGCGCTGTGCCCCGCCCCCTACCTCCGCCCCCTGTCCTGCTCTCCCACCGTACTCTCGCTTACACTTTCGTCGGCCAGAATCATGAATCCCTTGCCACGAACGCCCTAACCTGTACCGTCGGCGATTGGCCTCGCACATTCCACCATCATCCAGCCCTCTCCGAAGGGCGCGAGTGCTCGAATTCGGAATGGAAGCATTAGCGTTGAGCGAGACACGGAACGAGTCGGCGCTGCCAGCTCACCGTGGCTGCGTCCTGCTGCGTCTCGTTTTTTGTAAGTTTGCAAACGTGGCTCGTTGACAACGGTTAGGAAGTAGACCCACCGATGATCACAAAGTTACGCGCTGACGGCATGCCGCGAAATGGTCCGTGGTCCGAGTTCAGCAAATTCAATAGGGGGTGCACCGTGCAAAGATACGGGCCTTCAAGGACTCAACGATGTATGCGGCCTACTCGTATTGATATTGCACTATGATTTTACGCTGCTTGTAACGCCCTTGTGCGCACCACCCGCATGGCGGGGACCGGAAGTGGATTGTCGCCATCGAGGAAGATATGTCCATGAGAGGCGAGAGACAGCGGCAAGAGTGTTTGACCGGAGAAGACAGTACATACATACACAAGCGAGAAGCAACCTCGATGTCTGGGGAGGATTAAACTCACCGCTGTAGGTAGTCATGGAAATCTCGCACATCCGAAGAGCGTGGCGGAGGCCGCAGGGCTCCCATGAGCTCTACATAATCTGGTGGTACGGGCCCTGTGTCAGGTCTTGGGAAGACCGTGAGAGGCGATCATCGTTCCGCAGAGCAACTCGTTCAATCGGCGGGAGGTCCTGCATGCGGGCGCAAACGCTGTGGACACAGGGATGGATGAAGACCGCCGCTGAGTGCGGGCGTGTATCATGGGCATGATATCACTGAGCATACAAGGACATACTATACAATCGACGCGCAGCAGAGAAGAACGCACGGACACACTAGAACACAAACAAGCCCCGGGCCTGCCTTGCTGTAAGAAGTACAAGGCGGCAGCAAACGACCAAGCACGGACGATCCTCCGGGACAGGCGTTCACTGTGGCTGCCCCTCGACGCCCTTCTTCTTGCCCTGCGTAAGGCTCTTGTGGATAAAAGGCAGGACACCTGTGCAAGAGAGAGAGAGGGGCGCTTAGAATGTTAGAGGGAGGAAGCAGATCGAAATGGGCGTACCTCCGCCCGCGATCGTCGCGCGCACGAGCGTATCTAGCTCCTCGTCCCCACGAATGGCAAGCTGAAGGTGGCGCGGGGTTATGCGCTTTACGCGCAGGTCCTTGGACGCGTTACCTGCGATATGCGGTAAGTTATGTGGCAAGGCCGCACGCGCATCCGGGATGGAAACCTACCGGCAAGTTCGAGCACTTCTGCGGTGAGGTACTCGAGGATCGCGGAGGTGTACACGGCAGCCTTTGCGCCGATGCGCACGTTGTGCTGTGTGCGCTGCTTAAGGTACCTGTGAATACGGCCTACGGGGAACTGCAGGAGCGTGTTAGCAGGATCCAATCACGCTAGTCGACACGAGACACAAGACGCGCGGTTGCGTGCGTGCGTATGATTAGGACACACCTGAAGGCCGGCTTTCTGACTACGCGTTTGGAGAGTACGCACTGCGGGCGTCTCTGGCGGTACGGCGGCAACGGAAGACGGCGGAGCCTTGGCTTTGCTGCCTTTCTTTGGTGAGGGGGGCATATTGGCGCGGGATCCGACTACAGCGATTAGAGGGTAATGCGGCTGTTTAACAACGCCACGACGCGTGAGCCCGAGTACGGTCGCGCAACATGGATGGGACTCACACAAGGGCGGAGCGCGACAGGGGTGTCTGCGCGAATGCAAGGGTGCGCTTTGGGGTGCTATGCGCGCGTACTGGGGGCCAAAGACGCGTCCGGTCGGGGGGAGCGCGAGGGTGGCTGGAGGAGATGGTGGTCGGAGAGCAAGAAGGGACGGCGCGGGCGCACGCCTGCGCGGGAACGCTGCAGGATGATCGGGACGGAGGCGCGGGAGAGCAGATCTCTCAACAAGATCTGACGCGTCGGACGGTCACGTGGCGCGCGTCATCAGCGACGCGGTGGGGCGACGGTTTTCGCGTTGGCTGGGCGTGGTCGGCGGCGCGATGGGGGGACGACTGACGACGTCCGCGCGGTGGAGCACAACAGGCACGCACGGACCCGATCGCTCATAAGGCCCTCTTGCGCCCGCACACCCTCGTCTTCCCCCCTCGTCCAGATCTCCCCCATCTCCTCGACTCAGACCGCGACGATCCCCCCGCCGCCGCTACGACCATGTCACGAGTGCTCCACATCCCTGGTATCGTCTTCCTCCTCTGCGCATTCGTGCTGCTCTTCCTCGTCTCCATCTCCCTCCCCTTCCTCACCGCCCTCGACTTCGCACGCGTCAACTTCAAGGACGGCAGCCCCACCGTCGGCTCTGACAGCAACGTTGTCGACCAGATACGCGTGAGTCCTTTTTTGCGCGGGACACTCAAAGCATACTGATTCTTGAAAATAGTTCGGTACCTGGTATGTCCTCGCGCGCCTGCGCGATGTCGGTAATGCTGACGCGCTCTCGCAGGGCGAACTGTTGGTACGAAGCCTCGGGCACCCGCGCCTGCAGCGCCGCCCACAACGCATATACCACCACCCTCTATGATTCCCAGCGCCAGGGCTTTGTGACCATCGGTCCCTCCTGGACGCGCGGCCTCGCCGTCCACCCCGTTGGTACGTCTTCTTCTTCTTGAGCGTCCTGTCTCTTGAATGCTCTGTTCTCCGGAACATATGCCTCGGAACATCGTAACTCGCACGGGTGGCTGGCATGAGTGGCTGGGCCACAGCAGTCACTATCTGAGCACGCCGTCTACGCGACATCTACCAGTGGCCTGTTTGGCTTCCCTGTCGTCGCGTCGCGTAGGCCAGCTCGTGGCCGACTCGTTCCGTCGAGACCACGCCCTCCCGTATCCTTGACGCCATACTCGGCCGTCTCCATTGCAGTGGGTGCGACCGCGGCTGCAAGAGAGGGCTGGCCGCATCGACCGGGAGTTGGCTAGAAAAAGAGCGCTACGTGACGAGCGTATGTCACTCGAAGGCCACGCACTCGAGTGAAAGCAAACCAGCGATTCGCACTCGTTGCATGGGACGGGCTGAATGCGCTCCGCGGAACATCTGCGCCAGATGACAGGACTCTCTGTCTTCTTCACAACGTTGCCGCCCATCGACTACGCCAGAAAATGGCGAGGAAAACGAATTTCTTTCGCCGCCGAATCGGTCCCGTTCTGTGTACACGGTGCAGCGCTGACACCCATATCACAGCTACGGGTGTGACCTTCGTCGCGCTCCTTCTCTCCTTCTCCACACACGTAACCTTCACGCTCCTCGCCTCCCTCACCGCCTTCCTCGCCGCTACCATCACGCTCGTCGCGTTCGCGATCGACATCGCGCTGTACGTGTTCGTGAAGCACGAAGTCGGCAAGCTCGCCGGCGTGTCCGCCAACACCGACACTGCGCCAGGTGCGTTGCGTCCACCCGGACCGAGTGCGGGAATGCTGACGACCCCGTGTAGGATTCTGGCTGACGTTTGTGTCGTTCATCCTGCTCTGCCTCGCGGGCTGCACGGTGTGCCTCGGGCGCAGGCGCGCCCGCACGGAGGGCGCGACGACGTACAACTACTCGTGGAAGGACCGCTTCCGCCGCCGCAACGCCACCAAGGTCTGAGCGGCTGCCATACCCCCCAAGGCGTGTTTACCCTTGCGCTTCACCACCCGCGCGTTTTCATGATTTCGCGAGGTCGCGACGAGGACCTTTCCGAGCTCTGCGAACCCCTTCTGCTACTACTTACGAGCGTTAGATTATACCTAGAGCCGTATTCTTCTGCGTGTTACAGGAGCAATTATTCACACCCTGTCTGGTTGCATGTTTACTGAGAAGCTTTGGCCGTGACTTCTCATCTGAGTTGCGCTTCCGTCTCGACTGCCACACCCCTGCCATCCCACCGGCGCTTCCTGTGCTTGATACAAACGCACTGCTATAAAGTGGTGATCAAACTGTATGTGCCGTTCTTGAACATGGCATCCTGGACACTTCCCGGAACGCCTTCGGAAGCGATAGGTTCAGACTGCAAAGATGAGTAGATGACGAGACGGAGACTGAGAGGAGTCGGCGCACCAGAGAGAAAAGCTGTAGCTTAGAGAGTGTGATCTTGGGGTAGACTGCCTTCAGATCGTCGTGGTACTCGTTCCATATATCGTCAATAGCGTCACTGGTTCGAGCATTGACTGCGTTCAGCGTATTTTTATTCGGACTCCGACTAGATCCGTTCACATCGTGTACTCGACGCCCGCGAATAGAACGTCTACGCTTCCTCCGTACAGACTGGTCTACGAAGCTTACACAGCTCTACTCGCTGTGGGGCATACATCGTTTACTCGCGCTCGTAGTACGCGCCGCATACGTCATGTACTATGGGCTACTCGACTCCTCGCACCGGACTGTCTGGACGGAGTCCTGCCTACATCCGCCTGCGCGCGTATAGGCCCTCTACTTGTCCTCGAATAGGCTCAGGGCGCAGGGTTTGAAGTTGCCTACTAAAGGGCCCGCATCTAGCTCGGAAGGGACATTCCATCTTGACCTTTGGCCCCCACCATCCCTCAAGACTCTGAGGCTCCAAGTACTTCTACGTGCCAGTGAGTGCCTATTTCAGCCTAGTCCCCCTTCCAACGACTAGATCTGTGCAGATCTGTGCTCATACTGACGTCTCATCTTGTACTACACTTGTCAGGCTTTCTTTGTTCAACGTCGACTGTGCACAGGTATAGCTCTAGAGACACCCTCGCTGCCCTTAGTGCATCGCTGACTATATGCGCCTCTAGATGATCTTGCTGCTTGCGCAGCCTCATTCTGTGATCTCGGTGCGGAGCTCTCTCTATGTTCACAATTGTTACACTTACTCGTGTCCCCATAGGTCGCGCATATAGTCACTCGGATGGGGGATGGGGATGCCTGCAAGCACTGGCGGGACTGGTTTCGGATGTTGCCTCTTCCGTGAGTCTGAGGAGTTCGTAGACACATTCTCCGTGCAATATAATACGTTCGTGTCAATGAAAATCACGGTTTTTGATCACATTGGGTGCGATGCCAAGCTGTGGATATGGATTGAGCATATATATTTTAAAATATCGAATATACAAGTGCGAGCTGGCCGCCCAGGGAGTACACGGTCTACTACCGATGGGACCAGGTGCTCCACTCCGACGTACTACCTGTGGTGTCTACACCGTCTACTCCGAGACTGCCCACAGAGGTGTAGACCGGGACTTTGGTGGTATTCGCGTGTAGACGACTCCCCGACCAGGCCTTCTATTCGGGCTCCGACCACACGGCCCGCTCCCGCCTATTCCTTTTTTTTTTTTTTTTTTTTAATGGTCCAAATCAGGAAGGGCCGAAGCACGTGCACTGACTTTTAAGGCAAGGTTGGTGGGAATTTCACCCATAACACCATAAGGGGGAAATGCTTTACGCACAAAACTTGAAGTGATAGTGTGGGACTTCCTTATATGGTCCGCGGTTGTGGTCTAACCGTGGTCCCAAAATGTAGGCTTACCCACTAAAACCCCCTGACAACTAGTCCAGTCTTCCGGCAGAGATTGCTCGTCTACAAGCAGGCCCTGCCATGTGCTACATACAAGCGATGCGTTGAGAGATTTGCGCCGAAGCGCTCGCGACGTCAGGGCTTGATCTATGTTCAAACGCCTGTTCAGAGCGTGTAGCCAACGCTTGCGGATCTCTGCTGTTGAGTGATACAAGGTTGGGTCTCCTTCTCTACCGATAACCCTTTCACATCTAATTTTCCAAATCAGGTGGCAGGACTCGGTCAGTACAATGCGGAGCAAGCGCGACCGTCCTGCTAGAGGTTTGTTCCGATGAGATCGGACTGAGAGGGCTGGTGCGGCGAGCAGCGCCGCGAAGGACAGCTGTGGGACGATGACGTTCGCTCGTCTCAACACATCCTGTACGCCCTTCCAGATTTCGAGCGCTCCAGGTGCGTCGCACTCATTCCAGATATGTTCTAGACTTTCGGGTACGCCGCAGTGTGTGCATGTCGAGCGTTGTTCGTACCCCGGGATATTATCCCAGTAAGGCCCGATTTTGAGAGCCCCGTGCAGGGCCTTCCACCAGAAATCTCTCATAGATCTCCGGGTGTCATCTTGCCGGATTGCTTTCCAGACGGCACCCGGTTTAAGCGATAGCCCCCAGTCTTCGAGGAGAGTCACAGTCGTGCGCGCGGTAAGTATCGCTGTTTGTCTCCGAGCGGGTGCGACGGTGCGCCTCTTGATTGCCTTGTAGGCAATGCGTTGAGTTAAGGTATTCAGTTTACAGCCCCTTGCCAGGAAGGCGGTGTTCGGGGCAGGCAAAGCTGGCGCCCCGAGCGGTGACTTGTCTGCACCGAGCTTTGCTAGAGCGTCTGCTCCGTCATTACCGGGAATATTTGAGTGTCCTTTTATCCACTTGAAAAAGGTTGGTGCTGATCGCGCTCGTAATCTGGCTGTCGCGTCTTTCAGAAGGTCGGCGTTCGCAACTCCTGTCCAGCCGCGATCTTCCCAGCGAGGTAAATGCATCGTCAAGCCGTCTACGACCATTTTGGAGTCGGATATGATCGTGAGTGGCGCGAAAGGGGGTACCGTATGCACCGCTAACGATACCGCGTAGATTTCAGCAACCTGGTTGGATTGCGTGTCGCCGGGTACGGGCGCCGCAATGTTTCTGGGATCTGCGTCCGCGAACCATACGCCGGCGCCGCTTCTCGGTCCAGCCGCCCCGTCTTCCTTGTAGGACCCATCCGTGTACACGGATATGTCCTCCGTCGGCACATTGTATGGGCGCGGGGCTCTGCGCAGTAGGGTGAGTCTTTCGTCTTCTGTGGTAAACACGCGGATGGCATGTGCGAGAGGGGCCGTCGAAGTGATGGACGGGTCGAAAAGCAGCCTGCCATTTCGGCCCCGCTCCACATTATTCTTCCGTTTACGTGATTTGGTAAGTGTAAGGCCATCGCAGTGTGCGCCCCCGCCGGGCGCCCATGCGGGCGTAAGTTTATTCAGTAGATCGCGGGCGGATATCACGCATTTGTGTGGGTTCAGACAGCCGTGTATTTCACGGTCAGTGACACATTCGCCGCATGTGCAGCCTCGGGAGGGGATGTGTGCGTTCCCCGCAGTAGGTGGCCCCGAAAGTCTGCGTATAAGTTGTACGCACGCTCCTACTGTTGCGACGTTATGGCGTTCTCTCAAGCATTTCGAGGTTCTAGAGTTCGACATCACTCGGCCCGTGTAGGGCCCGATATGAGACCACACTGGGAGCGCTTCTTTCAGCGCATCCGTCGGGTTCTTCACGTCGATTCGGGCCCCATATTTCTTCGCAGCTTTAAGCATGCGGATCAGATCATGCGGCAGTTTGGTTGGGCTTCGCGTCGAGATCTCCCACTCTTGTAGGAAGGTATTGATTTTGGACTTATCGTCTAGGTGTTTGTACGAGGACTGAACCGCCCTCGCGATCAGGACGTCTGCAACGTGTGCCCAGCGCGGACGGGATGGGGACAGGTCCAGGTAACTACGCAGCCACATTAAGTCGACGGCTTCATTACGTGCCGTTACGTCTAGTATGTTGAGGCCACCCTCCGCAACGGGCAGTTGCAGGGTCTCTTTGTTGACGGTCGGGTGCGCTGCCCCTTTCCAGATGAAAGATTTGGCTTCGCGTTCGAGTTCTTTCTCTATCGAGGCAGGCATAGTTATTGCTTTTGTGAGAAATTGAGTGCGCCCGCCAAGTTCCAGGCCAAGGATAAGTTTCCTTCCGTACATTGTGGGGTTACGTTTCCCCCATCGCGTAAGGTTTGTCCGTATCGCGGAAACGACTGGTTCCCATGGTGTGGTGAGGTCGATTTTGTTTCCCACCCATGCTCCGAGAATGCGTACTGACTGGCCTTCTGCGGCGATATGCATATCTGCAGGCAGCGGAGGACCGTTCTGTGTTAGAGTGCGCTCGCGGACGAGACGTTCGCGGAACGCGACGGATCCGATAGGTAACGCTTCGGTTTTTCCTTTGTTAAATTTCGCGCCTGACGCGGAGCACCAGCCATCAAGGATAGCTACAAGGTCCTCGAAGCGATCGTTCTCGCTGATGAAAGTTGTGGTGTCGTCGGCGAAGAGCGACGCAATAAGTCTCTCAGCAACGCCGGGTAAGATAAATCCGTTTAATTCAGATTTGCGGAGCGCCGCGGCGAGAGGTTCGATAGCGAGGTCGAACAGAAGGCACGATAGCGGGTCGCCCTGTCGCACCCCTCGGCTGATTTTGAAAGCATCGCTCTTCATCCCATTAATCATGACTGTACTGGTGGCTTCGGCGTACAGCGCCTTGACTGTATTAATGAAATGAGCCGGGAAGTTCATGTGCTCGAGCACCTTCCATAAGTATGTATGATTTATTCTATCATACGCTTTTTCTTGGTCTAACGCGACTATAATGCCATTTAGCTCCTCTGCCTCGGCGTAGTCGACCATTAGCTTGGTCAGCTTTATGTGGTCGAAGATCTGGCGGCCTGGGATGAAGCCCGCCTGGTCTGGGTGTATTAAGGATGTTGCACATTCACATAGCTTTGTAGTAAGAGCCTTTGTCATTATTTTATAGTCCGCATTCAAGACCGTTATTGGGCGATAGTTAGTTATCTTCCTCATGTCTGCTTTCTTGTATAGAGGGCATATCCATCCCTCTGCAAAGCTGGAGGTGCTTGTGACTCCGTAGGACTCTATGTCATTGTACACTCTCTTTAAGGCGTCCGCAATATCGAGGGCCGGCTCGTTCTTACGCTGCGCGCTCTCGAACTTAGCCAGGTATGCTTTCCATACGTCTGAGGGAAGGCCATCTAGGCCAGCCGCTTTATTCGGCGCCGCACCGCGTATCGCACGTTCTACATCGTCGCGCGACAGTTTTCTTGCTAGCGCGCCCTTTTGTCTGGTGGTTAGTTGCACGTCAAGTGCTTCCAGTGCTGTATTGATGTGTACACGGTGTAGATCCTCTGATTCCGGAAGGTCACGGTATTGTAGTTCATCGTAGAACTCTCTGGCCACCGCACACATCTCTTTTGTATTGTTAGCGTACCCGCTAGTCTCATTCAGTCGTTGTAGCTCGTATATCGTGCTGTCCGCCCTTGCTGGCGCATTCTGGCGCATCCAGTACTGTCCGATTTTCTCTCCAGCCGTCCAGTCCCGTGCCGCCGTTCGGACGCGCCTGTAACCGAAGCGTTTGGCTTGTAGAATTTGGATTTTTTCATGTATCATGGCGGCGGTCTCTGCGTCCGCGTGATCCGGTGCGCTCTCTCCCACCGGGTTTTGAGCGGCACGCTGCTGCTCTTTGAGAGCCGCGATTTTCTGGTCGATTTTCGGCATCCATTGCTTTGCGCGCGTCCGAGCTGCGTTTGCCAGTTTTGTCTTAAAAGTATGGAAGATAGTTTGCGGATTCTCTTCGTCGGACCGCGCGACAAGGTTGTTCAAGTTGTCCTTCAATTCGAGGCCTAGTTCTCGCATGGACTTCATGAAGACAGGGTCGTCCAGTATGGACAGCGGAATTTTCCACCTGCCAGTGCCTACGTGCGGCGCGTGGTAGTTCGCGATCGAGAGCGAGACTAAAAGGTGGTCAGACAAGGGTCCGGGGCTGTCCACGTCCCAGTCGGCCGTCGCGTTTCTCAGCGCTCTCTTGACATAGATGCGGTCTAGCCTTGACTGGCTCGCGGAGCGTGCTTGACGGAAGGTAAAGACGCGCTCGTTAGGGTGTGCCTCTCGCCAGGAGTCCTGTAGATCTGTGGCAACGAGGAGCGAGGTCAGCGCGCGGGTGACAGAGTCCGGGTCCGCTCGTTCTGGAATCCGATCGCGTGCATTCTCGACCATGTTGAAGTCTCCAAGCATCACGTCTGGACGTGGTCGTCCCGGCGCGGCCCAGGTCGTTTCGAGGGAAACCCAGAAAGCTGCATTATCTTGTGTAGCGTTCGGCGCATAGATATTAGTAATGTGAAGGAATTTATCCTTTGTCCACGGAAAAGCGATACTCGCCGCACGACCTGGCACGAGAACGTCCATTTTGCAGTCGCGGCCGGCTAAGTATCTCTTGTTAATTGCGAAGGCGACACCGCGCGCGCCCGCTCCGTTTTCGGGGTCTGGGGATCCAAGGATCAGGAGGGACGAGGCGAAAAGTTCGTTTAGATTATCAATGCGTTCGGGTGTGAGGTGTGCCTCTTGGACAGCCAGGACGGCCAGTCGTTTGTCTTTGACGACTTGATTAATATATAGCCATTTATCTGGCGCGCCTAGTGCAGACGAGTGGCCGAAGCCCTTGATGTTCAGAGAACCTACGCGGAGGCGGCAGCGCGTCTTCTGAGGCGCGCGCGCCCCGGCGTCCTGACGAGCGAGTGGGGAGAGAGGAGGAGGATTCGAGTTTGAACGCGGTATCACACCGTGATTCCGCGTGCTACCGCCATTCCCGTCCAGCCCGTCATTCGGGACCGCCTGGGCAGCATCAGCACAATCCCGTCCGAGCTGGGCAGGGCGCAAATGATCATGTCCGGTATGGTGATGTACCGAGTGTTGTGTGTTAAGTGTGTTGTTCGCAGTCGATGTAGTGCCCCGGCCTTCGACCAGTTACCGGGGACGATGGGAGAGCCCGCCCAATCATCGGGGACGGTGCCTTCTGCGAGCGGGGCGGAGAGGCTTAGGTGCGCAGCCGTCACGCCTAAATAGGCTGCTGCGAGTCCGATTCTGCTAAGTTACACTACCGCCAGCTCCCGCAACGAAGTAAATTAGGTAGTGCAACCGGAAGGTGTGTTAGGTTCGGTAAGCGCTGTATTCGTAGCAGCACTAGTTCGGATTACACAGGTTGTGCCACAGATGTTCTACATGTAATCATGATGGTCGAAACCCTGGTTCCCACCGCCGAAACCGTCCTTCACGTCATACCCGTTGTGGTCAAAGTCCTCACGGCCACCTCGGCGTTCAGTCTGCCGGCGGCGTGGGGCCCCGCGGTTGGCGTTACCCCCGCGCCCGCGGGGGGCGCGGTTGAAGCGTGCAGGCGCGTTCGGGTCGCCCTGGGCGGTGCTCCGTCCTGGGGCGGGGCGTTGAGTCGGCGGTTGGTCGCGGTCGGACGGCGGGGATGTGTTCCATCCCGGGACCGCGGGGAAAGGGCAGAGGTGCGTCAGGTGCGATGCACTGTGACATCCTCCGCATCGCACCGCGCGGCGAACCGTTGCCGTTGAGTTGAACAGGCTGCGGAACCGGACGCCGAGCATGCTATCACGCCATTGGCGCCAGAGCGGGATAGATGCCGTCGGCGAGTCGCAGAAGACGGCCGCTATCAGGTTGCCGTTATCGAGCGTGGACACTTGAACTTCGAGAGACGCGAGGATAACACTCGCGGCCTCTTCGGGGGACAGGTTGCTGAGGGCTGGGTTGCCACGAGCGAGCCGGATGATGGATGGAAGAATCTGAGGTCCATTGAAGGTTTCCCAGACGGTTCTGATGATGTCGCCGTCGTCGTCATGCGTGAAACCACCCAGGGAGAAGAGGAACCTCCCCGGCGCAGAGTCGCGCGCGAAGGTGAAGGCTGATAGTAGTTGGGAGGAGTAGACTTGTCCTTCAATGAAGCGGCGCGCACTCGCTCGCGAGAGTCGTACGATTGCCCAGACTGGCGGTTCGCCGCGCTGGGCGCCCTCCGCGTATGCAGACGGATCCGGCGGGATGATCTTGAAGCCGGTTTCGTGGGTGACTTCTCGGGTGAGGGTGGTCAGGTTCTCGGTCGCCTCACGAATTTGATTTGGAGTGGGGTACCGTGTCTTGTAGAGGCGTACCATAACGGTACAATTGGGGTCCTCCTCGAGAAGGCCCGCAAGTTTCTCCGGGTCTACGCCGGCGAGCAGCTCCTCCGGGTCGTTTCGATGGATGATGTCCCATCCCTGCGCCGGCGTCGGTGTGAAAGCCAGCCGCTGCGGCGCGTACGGCTCAAGGGTAGCCAGGCGGGCCGTGTAGGTGCGTCCGGTGTTGAGCGCGGCGCCTGACGCGCCCAGGTAGTCCGAGGCAGGAGCTCGGATGTTCGGGACTTGGGACAGGAGGCCGCGACGAGTAGGGCTCAGCAGCCACGGAAGCTCTTCGTAGTCGTGCAGCATATGACTACCTCCGGCGCGTGCGGGGTGCGGAGTCGGAGGGCGGCGCGCGAGCGCGAGCGAACGTTGAGAGCTCGACGTGGCGCTCGAAGTCGTCGGGCGCCAGGGGTCGTGGTCCGGTAGAGCAGCGCGCTCTTGCTGTTGCCAGGCAGACGTCGTCGGATAGCGGGCCTGGATATCACTCGGGCGTGCCGAGTAGTACGGCTTGGCGGCCGACGTGGGACCCCTTACGTGGCTCGAGGAGGGCGCGGGCATATTCGTGATGTCTTGCAGCGCGGTAGGGTAGAGCTCTTGTACTTGAGCCAGCCTCTGGTGGGGTCGAACGGCGGGGAAGGAGGCGGTCCCGCCAATCTCACGGTGCTCTTGTCGTTCCCGGATGCTCCCGTCTTCGCGTGGTAATGCGGGCGCGGGCTGGACTTCGTCCGCGCTAGTGTTGATACCCGAGGTCGTCTCGCAGGGCGATGTCGGAATCGGTACGAGATGGGGCGGGAGCGAGCTACGTGCCTGTCCTGCACGGAGGCCTTCCTCGTATGCTCGTGCGATTGGATCGTCCGAGAGACTCGGGTAGGAATTCGACATCATCTGTGTGGTGAGGTCAGCGTCGAGCGCACGCGGCTGGAGTCGGGACTCGTACGGTTCTCCCGCCCTGCGGTGTCGACCACATATCGGTGTCCGCCACATGTGCGTTCATTCGTTCCAAGTCCTTCGACATGGGTACGAACGAGTCGTCCTGCGCCGGCGGGTGGCGGCGGACTCTTTTAACGTCGCGATGACCGAGATCCGTCCTTCTCCCATCATCCTCCGACGAGGGGCGGGGATGGATGCGCGTCGTAGTCGCGGCCGCGGTCTGGGCGGTGAAGAGGTCTCCGTCGTTGCGTGCGCCTGTGCCAAGGTGGTAGAAATCCTGCGGTACCTCTCTCCAGTTGACCGGCATGTTCGTACCATCCACGTTGGGTGGCGGCGGTCTTGTCTGGCGAGGAGGACTCGGCGCCCCAGGGGGGCCTCTCGCCTTGCCTTTGTCCACAGGGAGCGCCGATGGTTCGACATTGCTGGGGGCTTGGGGCCGGACAGCGGCGAGGGACGTTGGTCTGGAGCGGCTCGGAGCTCTACCAGCGACCAGCGTCCAAGGACCACCAGGCGTGGCCGCGTTGCCCGCGGCGTACACCGTCGTCTCATGAGACTGCGATGCAACGGGGAACGGCGAGGGGGAGTAGGTTTGGAAGGCGGTGTTGGGCGGGAACGGGGATGCCCGCGGGAAGATGCCCTGATCGTTGTACACGGTGAAAGCTGAGGCACCCTCGGGATGGCCCGACGGGAGGCCAGACATGCTAGGAGGGCCTTCAGACAGACGTACGGCATCCGGCCGTGTCTTCGGAGCGGTCGGAGCGGCGTCGAGCTCGGGAGCCGTCGCGGGGGTGTGGACCACGTAGGCGGTCGACTGGTTTGGGCTCGTCGACACCTAGCGTGTGTTAGCTAAGGGTCCTAGCAACATCGCTCGGTTCTCGTACCATAATGGACGTTTCACCCAGGCTGTCCTGTCCGACTCCGCCGTTGGGCTCCGTCACCGTAGGTGCCGGCGCGGCGGAGGTTGTAGCGGGCGCAGAGCGGGTCGAGGCGCTCTCACGGCGTGGGCTCGGCGGGGCCGACCGTACTGCTTGCGCATACGTACGGCCTGAGGAGATCGGCGTCTGCGGAGGGCTCGCAGCATCGCCTACTTCGGCGGGTTCGGTGCTCAACGCGTTGCTAGCCTCAGCCGGGGCGGCTGTCGTCGTCGTGACGCTCGAGGCAGAGCGAGCTTTGGGCTGGCGGGTAGACTTGCTGCGGGGAGGCATGGAGCTATTCGCGTGGGGGAAGTTGGAGGTGGGAGGAGGGGAGGGGTTCAACTCACGGGCTTCCGTTTTGTGCGAGAAAATTTCGCAAAATCGGCGCTGCCGTGGATATTCGACGGCGCTGCCCTGGCCCCGGGCAATATCGATGGTCGACGCAGCTCTACGGCCAGTTCTGGTCGAATCGGCGGTCTCAGCAAAACAATACTGGACTTGTGATTGGCGCAGGGCTTACTTGGGAGTCGTGCTGGGGTCCGGGGTATCCCGACGTACTCTGGCAGAGCTCAATCGGCGGGCGAGAGCCTTTACGCGGATGGTGGCATCGCTCAGAGGACCAGGCCGAGGGTCGTAGTTGGCTTGTCGCCCTTCAGCCGTCCCGGGAGCGTGGAGCTCGTGCGCGGCAGTCCTGTGCGGCTCCGAGTACGTAGTGAGAGCTCTCTTGCAGGTAGGACGCCGCTCACATGGTCTAGGGGCTATTGCGAGCAACCCATGTTCATTGTACTACTAGCGTTGTGCCCTGTTTGCGTCTGTGGGAGGGCCATGTGTGTGAGGCACGGACGAGAGGTGGTGGGGCGGGGAAAGATTCAACCACCGGGGTCGTCCGATGCGCTGGCCGGACACGCGCCTATTATGCGGCTCTCGGTCCCGACCGCCCGTTTATCCCGGCCATGTCGGCGACTAGTACGATTGAAATGTCTCTCGTTTGGTGCTTCTAGCTACTGTCGCTGCTGTTTTGGTTATACCAGTACTCTGACGATTCTATTGTAGGGCGTAGTGCAGTCGAGAGGTTATGTAGTACAGATGTACATCGGGTGGTAGAGGAGCTTGGCAGTATGCGCACAGAAACCTAGGGCGTCTAGATTGGGCTTGTATGTGCGTGTTTGCATCCGGCGCTACCACTATGGGCGCTACCGCTAGAAAATCTGCACGCTGAGCGTGTTACCCCGGAGGGGTGGGCACCATGGCCAGCGTCGAAGACGTTCATCGAGCGGGGGCGTGTATAACGACGTCCTTTTAGCGTCCAAGGGACGGACAGTCCTCGCTTCACGTATGTGGCAGGTAAACAGTAGCCTTTCCAGTTACGCGGGCGTTTCGGGGAAGGAAGGGGGCTGAAGAGCTCATTTTGGTCTTACCTTTCTTCCACTTCGACATACGGCACTAGTTTCGTGACAATGTGTGTTGTATGGCTTGGCTGTTCATCCTGATACTCGTCCGGCGAGTCCAGTTTGTACCAGAGCGTATCAAAGGCAGGCTCGCTGAGCAAACGGCAGGTAAGAGCCAAAGACTTCAGGTCGTTTTCTGGGCTGGAATGTGCAGTCGCCCGGCCGAGCCAAATGTTCTGGCATATGCACAAGAGAGTTTCCAGAGGTAGGGTGCAGAGAGTGGGCGAATGCGGACCCATAAGGGATGCAAATGTTTGTGGCCGCTCCCGCCTATTCCTTTCCACGCGGGCCCGGACTAAAAATGCGCTGAACGCAGTGAATATTGTTGGGCAACTTGACGAAGAAATACCCTATGTCCGGACACATGACGTCGTTGAAGATAAAATAAAACCTCACCTTGCGTGTTCAGGTTGGTCGGTGGGGGGGTGTCGTCTGGTGTCGTGTGGTTCGGAGGCAAGGGTGGTGGCGCTTCTTCTGGTCGTCGCCGCCGACATAACCTTATTCTGTCAAAGGTACATAAAGGCACTCACCGGCATGGGTCGTTCTGCTTTCCCCCGCATCCTCCATTATTGAGCACCCCTAATGCTACACACGCTGCTCTTCAATTCGATTTTTGTGCTCCGCTGCCGCCACTCGTTCTCCCGCTGGTCTCGAGTCTCGACGGCGACGATTGCTCTGAGTCTTACGCGACGGAACGCTGCTCGAAGAGCCTCTCTCGTTGCCTACACTCGTCAAAGCCTCTCCTACTATGGAAGACCCGCCGTTTATGCCATCCTCTAGCTCGTCCGTCCACAACGACATGGATGGTTTCTTGCGTCGACCCGCCCAATATACCATCCTCCCGGCACCCCTCCCTGCGGATGCCGCTGACGAGGCCCACCAGCACCTCGTCACGGACTCACCGACCCAGAACCGCGTCGCCGTCATGGACCAAGAACACACCGAGTGTCTCGAGAAGCCTAGCGAAGTGCCTGCTGTGCCTCTTAGACCATACAACCAGACCTAGCCACCGCACAACTCTTAGCCCCGCGTGCCCCATGTGGATGCTGAGCGCTGACTCAGCAACCTGGTGTTTCCAGAGCACAATGCGAACACGTACCTCGTTGCCGACCGTGCCTCCGGAAGCGTCTCTCCCTCGCACTTGAAGATTTTGGATGTACCGTAAACGGCTAGGTGAACACTCTACATTCGCTTGTTGTCGCTCGCGCTGCGCACCCACTGTACTGACACCACCGCAGAATAGACTCGCACCCCGCGCCTTGTTATGGCTGCGTGTTCGATGTTCCTGCATAGTACGGAAACACACCTAACCCTCAAGAAGATTCCTCTGTAATAGGCCATAGCACATAGGCGCTAACCTCGAACTCTCCTGTGAATGCCCGGTCGGCCCACTGCTCCGTGTCTCGGCACGTTGTGCGACCTTCGATAGCTATAGGCACCGCACAGTCATGAGAACGGCTGCCCTTCGGCAGCTATAAATACGAAACCCGGACTTTCTTCATACTCGTCACCTCACTTGCCCCCGACTGCCACAGTCGCGCGCAAATCCCATCCACAAGACAAGCAATAGCCTGCACTGCGATGGCCAGACCCGAGCAGAAGAGCGCACTGAACATCGTCATGGTGAGTGCACGCCGAAGACCGGCGTCCGCTCACGCTCATCGTGCCCAGGGTGCTATGACGTTCGGCGAGGAGGGCAAAGAAGGTCGGTGCCCGTATCGGTCCCTCCCTCTCGATAAACACCACTGACAGCTTTCCCTCTGGACAGGTGCACGCGTGCACGACCTCAAAGACGTGAATGCCATCCTCGACGTCTTCCAGGCGCACGGCCACTACGAGGTGCGCGGGCGCATCAGGACCTTCACACGCTGTAGAGCTATCCTCACCCCCCTATTCTGAGCAGATCGATACCGCACGCACCTACAGCGGCGGCACGAGCGAGGAGTATCTCGGCAAGATCGACTGGAAGAAGCGTGGACTCGTCATGGACACGAAGCTCTACCCCAACGCCGTGCGTGCCTGCTCACTGAAACGGATTCTAGCTCATGATAAATTGTATCGCAGGCGAGCACCCGCTGGCGGGGGACTGCGGGAACGCGGATTTCGCACTCGCCCGAGGTGCGTCAAGTCGAGGCAGTATGTCGCCCCCCGGACAGGTATCAAGTTCTACTATGCGCAGGACCTTCGCAAGTTCCTTGATGTCCAGCTGAAAGCACTCAACACCGAGTACGCCCGCCCACGCCCCATTTATCGCTGAAATCATCAGCCGACACACCGTACAGCTCGATCGATATGTGGTACCTGCACGGCCCGGATCGCACGACGCCGTATGAGGACACGCTCCGGGCGGTGAACGAGCTCCACAAGGAGGGCAAGTTCAAGCGTTTCGGCATCTCCAACTTCATGTCGTGTGTCTCGTTCCCCTTTCTGTCAAGCGATGCGTGCTATGGTGTTCACCACAGTTTCCACACTGATAGATGGGAGGTCGCGGAGATGGTGGGCATCTGCAAGACGAACGGGTACATCCAGCCGACCGCGTACCAGGGCATCTACAACGCGATCCACAGGTCCGTCTCGCCCTGTCCAGCGCCGCTCAGCACGTGGTTCTGATACATCCACTCTTTGTGGCTCAGAAAAGTCGAGCCGGAGCTCTTTCCATGCCTGCGCAAGTTTGGCATCGCGTTCTACGAGTTCAACCCGCGTGCGTGTCCTCTCGCATGCGCACCCAACACTCACCCTGATCGCCGTGTGCTCGTGCAGTCGGCGGCGGCTTCTTCACCGGCCGCTACCGCTCCCTCGAGGACGCCGTAGAGCCCGGCTCGCGCTTCGACCCGAACAAGGGCCAAGGCCAGGTATGCCGCCGCCGCCTCCTCCTCCCGGGGCCCGTCGCCCGCACATGGCGCCGCTGACCCGCTGCCCCGTGCATAGAACTACCGCGCGCGGTACTGGAAGGAGCCGTACTTCCGCGCGCTCGCCGCGATCGAGGCCGTCACGCAGAAGCACGGCCTCACGCTCGCCGAGGTCGCGCTCCGCTGGATCTCGCACCACTCGCTCATGCGCCGCGAGCACGGCGACGCCGTCCTCATCGGCGCGTCGAGCGTCAAGCACATCCAGGAGGTGCGTCGTGCTCCCGATAGCGGGGCTGCCGTCATTTCGCGTGGACTGACTGGGCCGCGCACCGTGTGCAGAACCTGATCGACCTCGAAAAGGGCCCGCTGCGTGAGTGGTTTGTGGGAGGTTTATGTGTACGGCGCGGCTGATGGTTTGACTCTGCAGCCCAGGAGATACTCCAGGTCCTGGACGAGGCTTGGTTGTCCGTCTCCCCGTACGCGACCGAGTACTTCCATTAAACAAAGCGCGATTCACGGCTGGACGGCATGTATCCAACTTTTCGGTGACAAGTTGACTCCGCAGAGATGCGCGCAGACGCGATGGAGGTTTGGAGAGGAGATGCATGGTTTTATTGCGAATAGGTCTAGGAAGATCGGTGTAGTGACTATAATGCGTGTAAGATACATGAATGACGATGATGCTATGCAAAAGCGGACGGATGCGACATGAGTGTGATGGTGCGAAAGCGATGCGCGACGAAGATCCCAAGAACATCCGAGCAGATCAGTGAGGCGTAGAGCGACAGAGGAAGCGGGAGCAGGGAGACCGACGGGCCGAGCGCACGCCCGTCGAGGCAAGATGCGTAGGACAGCGGAGTGGAGCGACGAGGGGCGAGCCGCAAGGGACCCAGCGGTCACTCTACGAGAAAAAATACTGCGACTCCTTGATCGCCTTGACGTCAAACTTGCCCTTCTCAGGAAGGGCGGGCAGGATGTCGACCAGGTTCACGAACTTGCCCGCGAGGTGCTGCTCAACGTCCTCCTTCGACTTCGCCGACTTCTTCGGCTTGCGCTTCTTCGGCTTCACCTCCTCCTCAACCTCCTCGAGCTCTAGGTCATCCTCGGCATCCAGAACGAGAGACGCCTCTTCCTCCTCAGGCTTCTCCACCTCATCGGTCACGATCTCCTTGAGCGCCTGGATGTCCTCAGGCGCGGCTGCGCCCTCGAGATTGAGCTTCTTCATAGCGGGCCCCTGGAGCGACACCAGCGGAACCTTGTAGTCCGCGTAGCGCTCGCGGAACTCTTGAGCGAGGGCGCTGAGCACGTCCGAGGAGTGCAGGGCGATGAACGTGTCACGGATGATGGCGTTCATCTGGTCGATACTACCCGCGTGCGTCCAGTACGAGTCGTGCACGGACGCGAAGGTCAATCCTTGAGACTATGATGTATCATGAGAAATTTGTCAGGGGCAGAGCGGAGAACTAGTAACGTACGCGGCACTCGAGAGCGGTCAGCATCATGTGCGTCGCGTCGAGACTGTGAATGAAGTTCGGCGGGAACGCCGAGGCCTGCTTCTGGGCGTTGACCGTGGACGGGATGTTCGGGTCCGAGATGAACACCGTCTGGAGGGCTGTCATGACCTGCTTGCGCTTGATGGAGCGGTAGGGCTGCACGATCGGCAGGCCAAGCGGCGTCGTCCACACCACAGAGGTCATCTGCTCCTTCTTCCACCGCGGCTGGTTGCTGCGTTTCGCCTTCGGGGGAGGCTCGGTCATCGATTGCACCAGACGGTCCTGCGGGATCGCCTTCGCGACCAGGCGAGCGCACGTGTTCAGCCATGTCTGGATCTCCTTCGCGCCCTTGAACAGGTCACCGATGGACGCAAGGACTTTCTTGGCGAGGTAGGAGGCGGCGAGCCAGCACTGCTCTATGGGGACGTCCCCACGGTCCTTGAGCTGACGTTCGATCTGGTCGCGAGCACCGACGAACGTGACGCCGTAAACCGTCGTCATGACCTGGAGATAATTTGAAGTGAGCCTCGCCCTACGAACGCACGATAGTGGTAGACTCACCGTCTGCTTCACAACCTTACGCGAGATCTTGCCAGCGAGGAGCTTGGCGAAGGGGTGATCTTCCTTCAAGTCACGCTGGATCTGGTCCTCGACCATCTTCGCGACGTACGTGTACACGTCGGACGGCCTGTCCGCTGCCGCCAAGTTGACCTGTGCGGCACCTACGGCGTCACCGCCCAGTGCCGCGTAGTGCTGCAGACCGTTACATGTTCCATCCTGATGCACCGGGAGCGCGCACTCGTAAGCCTCTGGGTCGGGCGAGGTGAGCGCAGCCTTGAGCTCTATGCACGTCGCAAGACACTGCCAAGGGTCGTCCGCCTTCGTCCACCACCTGCCGCCCTCGAGCGGGCGTTCTGCACTGTCGTAGATGTCGTCCAGATGTTCGTGCACGAACTCTACGCGCTCGTCGAAGCTCGCCTTGTCGTACCCAGCTAAGTTCGCCAAGTGGATCTTCAACCACCGCAGGCCGCGGGCTCCAAGTGGCTTTGCCTCGCCGAAGAGCAACAAGCCTCGCGACAGGTCATCGCCGATGTGGCTCAAGTGCGGAGGGATTGGGTATGCGCGACCACGGAAGTCGACATTATGCGGAAGGTAGATGGTGTCACCAAGGAACTATTCATATAAGTCAGATATAGTCACTACTGCATGCATGTGCGATGATCACGTACAGCGCGCGCAATTTCAACCTTGTAGTTGATACTGCATCGATCGGAGTGGTTCGACGCTTTGGTCTGCATCCACGACTTCTGGCGTTCCAGGTACACCATCTTGGCCTTGTTGTCGAAATCCATATTTGGCGGACGTTCGGGCTCGGGCTCGTCGGGTACAGCGGGCGGAATCTTGGCGAACCGTTCGCCTGAGTTCCATACCTTGAGAACCACGTCGAAAACAGTGCGATTGATCCGCCAAGGAGTGCTACTAAGCACGTCCAAGCCAGCGAACACGAGCTCTAGACGGCCAGCGTCGGACGCATGGCGCAGGTAAAGCTCCTGCTCGCGCGACTCCTTGAAACGCATCGCCCAAGTACGGCTGTAGAGGTAGCCGCCGTTATTGTAGCTAAGCCACGGTTTGGGCTTAACGAGCATGGGCAGATGCCGAGGGTGCAGGGTCTCCGCGATAGGATCCTTAGACATTCGTTCCGCGACAGCGGGGTTGAACTTGATAACGCCCAGCTTGTGACCGCGCTGGTACTCGTACGAATGGAAAAAGGCAGGTTGCTCCTCGGTGCTGCAGGTTTTTCATCAGAAACATGTCAGATCTCTTCGTGTCAAAACCTACAGTTTCTCTCCCGTTCGAGGGTCCTTGATCGATCGCTGGACAGTGGCGACGTCCATGAGGCAGTCGACGAGGAAGCTGCCGATCTTCACTCGAACAAGTTGCGACCAATCCGAGGTCCATTCCTCGGAGTCTTCCATGTACTTCCGCGCAGTTACGCGACGTGCGTGCAAGTCACGATAGCCGAGGTTCGTAAAGACGTTCTGGTCGCCCGAGCGGGCAGGGTTGGCGTTCGGGACCGAGATGTTGTTCTTCTTGCACATCTCCGCTTTGTGCTCGCCCTCGACAGCCCGACCCACAGCAAGGAGGGCACGCGCCGTCTTCATCCCGTCTTGCACACCTCCGGAACCGTGCAGATGCATCAGTTCGAGGACAGTGATGAGCGACAGCTTCTCGGGCTTGAGTAGCTTAAGGAACGGGCTGAGCTGCGGATCCTCCTTGCTGCCCTTCCTCCGGAGGCGGGCTATTGACGTATAAGAACATTGTGCACATGTAGCGGGCATGACTGAAATGAACATACCGATGACACGCTCTTCGATCTCCAGGTTAGCGAGTTCGGCTTCAATACGTGCTTGCAGCTTGACATGCCAATGCCACATCCAGGTCCTGAGGTCAGTGGAGTGCAGACTCTTGTTGGGCAAGCCAAGCTGGTCAAACAGCTCCGCCTGATGTCTGAAGCGCTCCACCGCAACGTTATATACCGACTGCTCTAGTAGGCGCTGACGAAGAACGAGGTCCTCGGAGAGCACACGACGCGCGAGGATCACTTGACCGAGATGCCGGCGAAGAGTCTCCAGATTGAACGGGATGTCGCCGTCGAGGCGCGGTGCGGGCTGGTCGGTCGTGAACTGCGACACGGTCCCATCCTCGTTTCTCTGCGCTTCGACTGCTGCTGAGAGGTCCTGCGTGGATATATGTCAATATCGAACTGATTGGAAAGAGTATGAGACTGCACACCTTGGTCTTCATTACAGGGATGGCTTCCGGTACATCCTCTAGCGGGTCGTCTACCTGGCGACCAAGAGAGTCCGCCAAACCGAGCTCATTGACGACGCTCGAGAGCCCCATCTCCACCGCGGCCCGAGAGAGAGCCTTGATCGCCTCCGTCGCTTCTTCACTGGTCGTGAAAGCACGGTCAGCGACGACCAACGCCGGCGCGACCGAGCCGCGTAACATATGACGCAGGAGGGACATGGGGTCGTGCATCTCCGCGGCACTGATCTGGACTGGGGATTCCGAGTCAGGGTTAAACCGAAGCCACATACGAAGCATAATGGCGTAGGTGTTCGCGGTCGGCTGCACTCCCTCCCGTCCGGCCTCCATCTCGTTGTAGAGGATCCACGCCTCCTCCAGCCAGTGCGCGTGATTGTTGGACTCCTTTCGGGTCGCCATATCGAAGAAGGCTTGCAGGAAGTGGTTGTACAGCCGCACGTCCAGCAACTGGTCGCCGCGCATCGACTCTCGGAGGAGTTCAAAGATCTCCTTGGCGCGCGGGACGTCGTGGAGATCGTGCAAGCAAGCGTCCATGACGGCAATGCGGTCCTGTGTCGGCGAGTCGGTGAAGAGGTGCTGGTGCGTCTCGTCAGCGGCATCCGCAGGGAGAGGTGTCGGGAGAATGGTATATTGGGCGGGGCGACGCAGGAAGCCATGCATGTCGTTGTGGATAGACGAGCTAGAGGATGGCATGAACGGCGGGTACTCCATGCTAAGACCAGCAGGCGAGGGGACCGCCTCAGCATCAAGCCTTTTGGTGGGTGTCGAGTAGAGACGGGCAGGGCGAGGGAGACTCTGACGGGTATAGGAAACGAGGGAGGCTCCCCGAGCAGCGTTGCGTCGCGTAAGAGGAATCATCGTCGTCGAGACCAGCGAGAGAACGAGAGGCCGCAGGAAAGATTAAGATGTTTTGAGAGAGAGCAAGCGAACCAGCAAAGATCCCCTCCTCTAATGCACGAAGCAACCCGTCCAGCCAAAAATCGCGCAGATGGAAGGCGCCGCCACCGAGTTGTTTGTCAGAGGCAAACAAGGCCACGTGGAAAGTGGGGGCACCCACAAGCGCCCACCGCCGAACGGATATATCCGAAATTGTGCGGCGACGCGAAGATAAACGGAGGATGGGGGGGAAAGCAGAACGACCCATGCCGGTGAGTGCCTTTATGTACCTTTGACAGAATAAGGTTATGTCGGCGGTGACGACCAGAAGAAGGAGAAGAGTCGTGTGGAAGGGTGTCATATAACTCTGGTGCGGTCAATGCACAACTCACACTCATCGTCCACGATCGTGAGCGATTTACATACGACATTTACTCTTCCCCTTCGAGATCTGATGCGCATCGGCGCCGTACTCGTTCGAAACGTCAAACCGGTACCGGAGACTCCATACGGGGGCCTTCTATGGAGCCTCCACACACCCCGCAGATCACAAACCTGAAGGCTTCCTCTGGAGACATGACGCCGTTGACGTCATAAATGTCCCCACCACCTAGCGCTCCTGCTCTCTGCTACAATATAAGAGCACACCGGGGGCCAACAGTGCTCTCTACCAAACCATCTCCCTTCAGCGCATCACAATCACCGAACTCGCCCCCACATTATCCTCTACTATGTCACAATTTCCGACCACCAACGAGACCTTTGCGACCCAGCCCCCGCCGTCCCACCACATCCACGACTCCTCTGACGTCCTGCCGGGTGCGCGCGGCGCCGCCCAGGCCGCCCCCGACTACAGCGCGGACGTAACGAACGACTCGGGCGTATGGCAGGACCGCAACCAGCGCGAGTTCGGCGCGGGCACCGACACCGGCGCCGTCATGGCCGGCGGCCAGCATTCCACGAGCCCTGAGTCCTTCGGGGACACGCAGGGCGGCCGCACCGCGTTCAACGAAGACCGCCCGATGGGCGTCGAGCCGACCGAGCGCGGCGGCGTCGCTGTGGGCGGCGACCCGAACCTCCCAGAGGGGAAGGCGAAGCTGGCGGACAAGATCATCGGCAAGACGCAGAAAGTGAGCTTGAGTGTGCTCTTACGGTTTGATGCGGACATATCGCTGATCGTATGTGCTCCTCAGGTCGCTGGCAAAGTGATGAGCAAGCCGGCCATGCATGAGAAGGGTGAACTTCGCGAGGCCGGAGGCAAGGCCGCCGCGCAGGGCCAGGCTCGTGCTCCCCATGACTGAGGTGCCCATCGGCGCCATGTCAGTGCCTCGGGCGGACGGAGAGTTTTTGGATGTATCATTAGCACGCCGACCTTAAGTTGTATCAATATGTCCATTGAGCGGCTGTCATATTGATAGTACGCTGTGATCCTACGCTGCCTGCCAGCTTGCTAAACGCGCTCCGAGCAGAGCAATTTCAGAGAATGTGGTAATGCACAAAGCGTATGAGATCGCAACAAACTACACAGGGCTCAGATGAGCGAACGGCCGCAGTATGCAAGTTGGGGGTGGGCTTACTGCTGGATGACTACCGGAAGACGCGTCAGGGCGCAGCAGGCTCACTGCTTCTTCTCGCCATGGAGCTCATCGTGCTCCTTCTGGAGTTGATCCTATTGGTAGAAACACAGGTCAGCATGCTGTCGACATACGCCATTGCGAGACCTGCGTACAAGCTCAGCCTTCTTCTGGGCAATCTGGAGGAGTGGATGTCAGCACACACTGGCACCTTGCAGACAAAACAGAACGCGACCACGTACGGCCTTCTTCAGCTTCTCGATTTGCTCCTTCTCGTGCTGGCGAGCGTACTGGTCTGCACGACGAATCAGCACACCCTGGAGGTCATCCTATGCAGCCAATCTGACCTTCGTGGGCCTTCTCCTTCTTGCTGCTCGCGTCGTCAGTCCCGCCCCATACGCAAGCAATCACACGCATGCCACTCACTTGAACGCATTGTCCGAGTAGAAGCGCGCCGCGACGGGGATGGCGGCGGCGCGGGGCGCACGGGCAACAGAGCGGCGGACAGCGAGGGTAGCAAGCATGTTGTGTGAGTGGTGGTGGTCGGGTGGAGGGACGTGCGGGACGTCTGCCACGGCTTTCCTGCTCTCCGCCGAGCTCGCAGGAGGCGCCCGTGCCGCGTCTGCCCGGCTGCCCCGTGCCGAGACCAACCGAGGCCGGGTGCCGTGACCGTCGCCCGTCACGTCACGCATATCCCCTCTTCCGCATCGACCATGTCGTCCGCAATCCTCAGGCAGGCCTCCTTCGCCGTACGTCCCCGTTTTCGCGCTCTGCAGGGTGCCGTGGATGGCTGACAGAGCCTGTGTGGTGTGCTAGGCTCGCGCAGCGACGCGCTCGTGCGCATTCTCGACCTCTGCGGCCGCGCGGAAAGGTGCGTGCAGCGCCCGCGCCCGCCCTCCGTGGCATCCCTGACGAGCCCCAACCCCACCCCGTGCCCCCGCGCAGACTTCGTGCAGGATCTGTACATCAAGGAGCTCAAGTCCTACAAGGCCCCGGCCCCCGTGCGTGCTCTGTTTCTCGCTCTCCACATGCTCCGAGCGCACCCGCCGCTGACACGCTGCTGCAGGCCAAGGACGCCCACGTCGGCGTCGTGAAGTCGTACGCGCTCCCGCCCGCGCCGCAGGCCCCGGCGCTGCCCGCGGACCTCGCCTCGGAGCTGTCGGCGTACGACGCGGCGGAGCCGACGTTCGCGAGCGCCGCGAAGGCCACGGAGGAGCAGCACACCGGCCCCACGGGCGCGGATGCGTTCCTCTCTTTCCTCGAGGCGGACGAGCCCAAGGCGGAGGCGCACCACTAGAGTGCTGGGGTGGGCTACCGGGTGTAGAAGGCAGTTGAGAGTCAAGTAGACGGAGGTGCGAAAATGTGCTAGAGGACTGGTGTAATGCAGCCTCTGGTTCGGACATGCTATTCCACATCGAAGACCGGCGTGCTATACTACAGGGGGTATAAACCTACTCATCATCCTATAGCCTACTGGCATCGGATCTTAGCTTGTGTGTCCGATGCCACGATGCGATGCTTTTGGCCAATGCATACGGCGTCGGCTTTTCAGCAATCACTGCAACCTTGACGTGCAGCTCATCGCGCAAAATGTCGACGTCGATGGACCAATAATAGCTGCTACATGTGCTCTCTGCGCTGATAATGATGCCTCCCCCGCTATCGAAATGTTGATTTATTTGACAAGTGTTGGCGAGACTGTTCGCTAGGTGGAAGCTGGACTTCTCGAAACGTCCGCCCACGACAAGGAGATGTTTGAGACGGCACTCATTTACTCCCTCCCATCTATTGGGTCCGTGTCAGCGCTTCACCTCTCATCCCTCAAAGACACGCGGACACGTACCTACGATGCAGTCGTGGCGACCATCATGCAACAAAGCGAGAGAACATGAAAAGGATGCATTGCTAACGTTCATTTGCACTTGCTCATGCCACCCGTCCCCCGATGACCCTGATGATGTTCTCGTATACCGTGAACACGATGCCCCCGCTGAGCTATATCACGCATCAACGCCGTCAGCCGCAAACCACGACGCGACGCTATCGTACGCACCACCAACCGCGCGAGCCTGGGGGTCGTGCCCGTCCAAAAGCGGCGCAGGCCCTCCTCGGTGTAGATCCGATACGCGCAGTGGAACGCGTTCTTGTACGCCTGCCGCGCCTCTAAGCTCTGCATGCGCGTCTTGATTACGCTGTGCATACGCGCGTCAGCATATGTTGGTTAGGGTGCGAGGGACGGAGGAGGGCGCACTCCAGGGGCATGGTGGTGTAGACGGTGACGAGGCCGGCGACGGCGCCGATCCCAAAAGTCATGGGGCTCGAGAGCTGCTGGCCGGAGCGGCCCTGGCCCTGGACGAACTGCTTGAGGGTCGTGTATGTCGTGAAGCGTACCGCTGAGTTTGCCCCTGGACAGCGGCGAGTGAGTAGAGTCTACTTAACGCTTGCAATACTCGAGTAGCACCTTGGCGCATCATCTACAAAGCCATTCCGTGAGTCGCGGAGAACGTGCATATAATGAGAAATGGAGGCTCACCACAGGGAAGAGACCGCGGTAGATGCCGCGAAGACCCTCTTCTCGCACGATACATGTGGTGCCATGAACGAGACCGCGGAAACGCGGGTTCGGGCTCTTCGCGTCGTCAATGAGCTTGGTTCTGCCCTACATCAATGACGGCTTTATCGACAGGACAAATTCAAGCGGACGGACTTGATTGTTTCTGAGGGCGTAACAGCGAAGACGGCTTCCGTCATACCTGCGCCTAGGCCGGCTGCACAGAGAAGGCAAACCATTTAACACTACACATTGTAAGAAGGTACGGAAGATGACATACCGAGCAAACTCCTCGGCGGGGAGACTTTACCCTCCCCCACGCATGCACGTCAGTCTCTCGCCTCTTCTTCTACCTTGAAAAGCGTGAACACACCTCGGCGTCCGCTAGCGCATGCTTGAAGTGGTCGTACGACACGAACCGCACGCCGGCCTTCACCGCATTGCCTATAGCGCCGTCAGTAGGTCTCGCACCGCGCCAACAAGTGCAATAAATAGAAAGCGTACCAATGACGAGAGCCATGCATCCCGAGTAAAGCCCCGCTACACCCTTCTGCTGTAGGGTCGACCGGATGATCGCCAGGGGGCTCTCCCTCTACCGCGCCGAAATGAGTCAATAGCGTGCCCTGCTGAGGCGCAGGGAAAGTGTCCGACCTTGCCGCTGAACTGCGACCGCGTCTTCACATATTCGGTGGGGTACGTGATGAATCTGTCAGACCATTTCATGAGCTACCGAGGACGCGTTAAGGGGGCGCGCGAGGGCTCACGCTTCGACCGCGCCGGCGGTGGTCCCCGCGATGAGCGAGTGCAGAGGCTTCTCCTTCTTGGACATGGCCATTCACGCGCGTGTTCAACAATTGCAGCAGTTATCGAGAGACCTCAGCGAAGACGATGCCGCTCAGCGGACTGAAAGGAGTCAGTGGTCGCCGCGGAGAAGAGCGCAAGACGCGAGAAACTGGCGCGCACTATCCGTTGAGTGAGCTCATCGGTACGTCTGCCTAGGGGAGACTAGGCGCGCACGCCGCGGACGATGATCTCACCGCGGTCTCCCGCGCTCCGGCTTTCGCTCAGCCCACGATGATGTCCTCCCACTCCCGCTGTCTCACCCTGCCACGCCTGTTCTCAGCCACGCACCAACACACCCTTGGGGCATATAGCTTGATCCTTAAACCCTCTGCATCACCCACCACATAGGATAAATCGGATGTCGACTAGCGTCCTGCTGCTGCGCTCACCCTCCGAGGACGGCGGCCCGGACAAGTACGAGGAGGCGTTCCGCGCGCGCGGGTACCGCCCCGTGTCGGTGCCAGTTCTCGAGACTGTGCACAAGAACCTCGACACCCTCGCGGGAGTCGTGAAGAGAGGCGGCCGCACTGCGGACGAGTACGCGAGCGGACTGTACGCCGGGGTCATTGTGACCAGCGGGCGCGCATGTGAGGCCTGGCGGCTGGTCGTGCAGCAGCTCGAGGAGGATAGACAGCAGGAAACTGGTATGTCTCGCGACCGCCCGCTATGTAAAGATGAGGCATCGACGCCCGTACAGTATCTGACTGGCCGACCGTCCCGTTCTACGCTGTCGGCGCTGCGACCGCCTCCGCCCTCTCTTCCATCCACAATGCATTCCCTGCCTCATCCTACGTGCCGCAAGATGTTCGTGGCGGTGCGACGTCGGGCACGGCAGAGAAGCTCGCACATTTCATCGTCTCCGACTTGCCCGAGGGACGAGGCCGGCGGCTGCTGTACCTCACGGGCGACAAGAATCGGGACACGTTGCCGGGAATACTGGGCGAAGTGGGGATGGAGCTAGAGAGCCTGCAGGTATACGCAACGCAGGGTTCGCTGCGCTTTGAGGAAGACTTGAGAAGCGCATTGGAAGTGGACGCTCCAGGTATGCGTGCACCCTGATGTCACTTCGTTGACCTCGCTGATACGTCGCGTGACTGCAGACGACTCGGGGAAATGGTGGATTGTACACTTCGCACCAAGCGCAGCGAAGACAGTCTCGCCGACACTCGTCAAATATTTCAATATCCCTATTGTGGAGGACGCGTCATTATCACCGCGGAGAACACATATAGCGGCTATTGGCCCGACAACATCAACGTTCTTGCGCGATGAGCTGCATGTCGAGGTTGCAGTAGTTGCTGAAAAGCCGACGCCGGACGCGTTGGCCGAAGGCATCGCGGAGTGGCATCGGACACACGAGCTGGGGTCCGATGCTGGCAGTCTATGGGAGGAGGAGCAGAATCCTGTATATAACACCCCTGGAACCGGAGTATAGCGTATTCGAATTAGACCATCTGACGACGAGCACTCACAGTATGCTGGCGACCCTCGCTGTCCGCCGCCATGCCTTTCGCGGTGTTCTTCTACTCGGACAATTCGTCCAAGTGCCTGGCATTTGTCTCGCCCTGCAGCATGGGTGTCGCTGCGCCTGCATGAGCGGTCTGTGTTCACATGCTCCTGAGGAGTGAGTCGAAGCGCTGACGTAGGCCCGATAGATGTGCAGGAGTGAATCAGTGCCGCCTCAGACTCCCCGCTGCGATCTACTCGCGAGTCGATACTCAACCCGGCCCTCTATCCTCCGACATCCTAGCCTTCCGCGCCCATGTGCGGCAAGGTGCAAATGAAACTCTTCTCTGAGGATAGAGCAGTAGCAGGGGATATGCATCAGCACTCGCGCCAGCTGATTTGTTGCACACTTTAGAAGCAAGTCCTAGCTCATGCGGGGATGTTGATCTACGGTGTCCCCGGTGTATCTTGTCGTTAACAGGTTGGCACGATGACGATTCTCCCCTGACGAGAATGACAAAAATATCACACCGAGGTCTCTATAGACATGAGCCTACAAATAGTGAGTTGTATCAAGTTCGAGGATGACGGTAAACTAACCTCAAAGTCTGCGTCGGCAGTTATTACTAGCTGCGCAAAGCAGGTCGCATTTCTATTCCCAACGCCCGAGACGCAGCTGATATGATGACGCAAATGCATTGTCGGTATGCGCGCCCGTGATAGAACCTGTCGATCCCATGTCAAGAAGCCTTGATTCATACAGGAGTGCGTAACACAACCTGACTTGGCGAAGCTCTCCTTCACACGACTTAACCGCGCCATCCAGCTCGACGACGGGAAGGCAGTGGGCGGCGGGCGTCCCGCCCGTCAAACTGGATTGACGTGGGTGCGCGTTGTTCGCCGCTGCCGCACGACCATGACTCGAATCTGTCCTCCCATTCAGTTCTGCACCGCTTCGGGTGCGTCCGAAAGTATGTCTGAGTTTGCCAAGACGTGCATGCGCGGGAGGAGCTCGCTGAAGGCTGGAGGGGCGGGCAATACAGGAAGATCGACGGAGCAGAGCGGCGGGCGCTGTTCTATCGGGAGCCGCTGTTATTGCGAACATGTTTGTCGCAATCTCCGGGCGGGAGATTCCTGTGAGTACTGTAGAGTCAGCATGCGCCTGCAGCTAACAGCCTGGTGCAGGAGACTTTATCGTGCGAGGCATTTCGTTGTCACGTCTCAGGCGATTTCCCCGATGAGGACGGCGCAAATGGGAGTCGCGATTAGAGTCCTTAGGCATGTCTCCTGATCCGCCCCGTCAATTCTCGAGGCGCTGTCGCTCACAGGTCGACGCGATCCCTCACGAAGAAGTGTGCCCCGTGCTAGACCTATTATGCTATTATTGGCCGCTCGGCGAGTTGCAGACTTCTCCCCGCAGCCTGCGCCCCATAGGATTTAAGACGAGCATCCGGTGGACCGCACGCCTTGCGCTTCGCCGGTCCCTTTCTTTCATTTTTCCCGTCTCCTTTACTACCCTTTCTCAATGATGCTCGCCGCTACCCTTCTTTTCAGTGCGACCGCCCTCATTGTGCAAGTAGCGGCCAGCGCACGCCCCCGGGTCCCCATCACCCTCCTACGTCCGTCGCAGAGCTATGTCATCACGGGCTCTGCCCACCATCTCGTGCCGCGGGCGAACGGCTGCCCTGTTGGGTGAGCTGTCTGTTCTTCTATCACTTGCTACCCGCTCGACGGGTCTGAGTGTTGCTCTGGTACGCCGCATATCAAACCTCGGGCTCTCAGAAAATCATGAACTCACCGCGTCCTGCTTCTCACTAGACGGTAACTTCTGTCCCGCAGGGTAATCCCAACCCTCGACACTGTCCACGGCCGACCACGTACTCACCGACGCCCTCACAGGAGCGTCTGCGACTCGGGAGGATGCTGCCCCTTCGGCGAGATCTGCGACGGCTCCGCCCCGCCGCCCATCACCGTGGGCAGCGGCAACGTGCCCACCGACACCGACACCAAATTCGACCCGCTCCCGACAACGACTACTACGCGCCGCGCCACCACTACCTCCACGCGCCCCGCCACTCCGACCTCAGCGCCGACCTCGACCGACCCATTCACCGACCCGCTGGGGATTACTGCGTTCTCGGTGATCCCGGACGTGAGCGTCACGGTAACGACACCGACGTCCTTCCTCGCGGCGGGTACGGAGCCGGGTGAGGACCCGCTGCCCACGACGGCCGGTGTACCTCAGTTCCCGATTGGAGGAACAGGCGGGGCGGCGCCGGCTGCCAGGGGCGGATGGGTAGGTGTACTACTCACTGGGGTGTTCGTTCTCTTAGTGAATTTTGGTACGTCGTCTCCGACCGGTAAACGATGTCAAATCGACCGTCTAATACTTTAAAACCTCCAGTTTGACCTGAAGTGGGTCCCCTTGGGCGTGAAAGCGGAGAGGCACGGGATCGTAGGATGGGGGTCGAATAGTATCTTCAGTGATCGCTTCTTAAGACGTCAATGTTCTTGATTACATTCCTTTCATCCCTATATCATGTACAGCTTGCTAATGAATATCCAGTCCGAATGCCGTGTGAGGTAGTGATGTGCTAGATGGGGTATGTGTACTGCGAGACGCGGTCTCGCGGAAACCCTTACGTACACGAAGTCTGTATCGCTCTATCAAAACGATTGTCAGTCTCATTCCGAGTTTGTGAGAGCAGCAGAACTCATACAGAAAGTAAAGGTCAACTTGTGGGCAGCGCCAGAATGGAGTTTCTCCGATAACCAACGCTAAGACACGATAAGCAGTAGTCTCGCACTACGACAATACAGACATACTCACAAATCATGCCGTCGCCGCCGTATCATGAGGAGACCTGCGCACCTGGCTAGCCTCAGCCGCCAACGCGAGCATATGCATGCCATCCGGGAGGAGCGCAGGGTCGATCTGAGGAACGTAGTAAGACGGCTGCGACTGCGTGCCGCGCGAGTCCCAGTGCTGCGAAGGAGCGTTGCCAGCGATCATCCCAAGCGGCTGCCGAGGCCCCATCTCGTCGCTGGCCAGCAGCTGAGCCAGAGAAGGCAGCGTGATTTTGGGCGAGTCCTCGGGCGCCTGGTGCGCCCTGCCGCAGGTGTGGATGCTAGGCAGCCTGACGTGTTCGTTTTCATATCCTTCCGCACCCGTAGCGCTACCTGTCGGCTGACAGCGCAGCGGGATGCTCGAAGGGATGCCAGGGAACGGACCGGAAGCGAGTTTGGGGCTCAAGCCAGAGCCGTAGCCGTAGGAGAATGGGCCAGATGAGGGCATGTACCAAGGAACCATAGCAGGCATGGGGTGAAGCCAAACACCAGAGCCGTCATAGTTTTGTTTCACAGCGATAGGAGGACCAGACCCCAGCGCAGGTCCCATCGGGAGGTCGTGGAGAGGCACAAGTTGCAGAGACCCAGCATCAGACGTCGACCCAGACCCGATTTCATGCGCGTCATACTCTCCTGCAAGACGCGCGCTAACTTCAGAGGTGTCTTCTTCGCACTTGACGGCACGATCTTGATCGTACTTGCCGGTCTTCTTGCAGATACATGTCGGGCAGTTCCTGACGAATCCTGCGATGAGCTCCTTAGGAACCCAAGTGTAGTGCTTCCGGATCTCGGTGGCAGTCCTGTCCCTCCCGCCGTGACCGCTGCGGTCATGACAAAAGCAGAGGATGGCGTAGATATCCTCCTTCACTGCAACGCGTTTTCCGTCGTGGATGACAACGTTCGGGGAGCCGCTCTTGACCTTGGACTCGCCTTCGTGCTGCAAGTCTGTGCCGGCGCGCGCCTCGAGCTTGAACATCTTCCGGACCCACCAGCGGAACTGGGGTGTCTCGATGCCGATGTCGTTCGGGTTGTGGAGAATGAGCCAGATGTTGTCAAACATCTTCCTGGAGATGAGCGCCTTCGCCTTCTTCCGGAAGTCGAGCGACGCCAGGTACTCCGCTTCCACAGTAGCGTACTCCTCGCGAGTGGGCATGCCGAGCTCCCGCCGGCGGATGGGGCGTTCGCCCTTATTGGACTTCTTGGCAAGAGGAATCTCTTCCGAAGACGACGAGGGTAAAGAAGACGAGGATTGTGCACAGTTGATACGAGTGGAGTCCCCAAGCGGACGGGCAGGAGGGTAAGGCTTCGTAGATCTCTTCAAGCCACGCTTTTGGGCAGGACGACTGGGCTTCGGCGGCGACATGTTGGGTTCTGTGGATTTGGAGCAACTAGAGTGTGTTGGATATGGAGAGTTTGATCACTGTGCGCATATATGCAGGTTTATAGAGTCGCACCTGAATCCCGGCTTCCTGAGCACTGGCAAGGAATCCTGTGGAAACGGGCCCGTAAGTTCGTCAAATGTACATCCTGCCCAGAACGCGCTCGAAAACTCACGTTAGTTATCGTCAAATGAAAGGCAGAAAGTAGGGTGTATGGGGACAAGCGAGATGGTGGTAGAGGAGAAGAGGTGCAGGAGACTCGAACGGACGGATGAGCAGATGTGACGGGTCGCAAGCTGCCACCCCATCACATCCTGTTCCGGCCAAAAGTCAGACGTGCAGCTTGGAAAAACAACATGAATGCCATGAAAAGCGACAAGAATAAGTTACATAGTAGTATAGTCGTCGTCCGTACACATGTGAAAAAAAAAAACCAGAACAAATGTTAGGGAGCGTACACCGGAAGAGTATCCGCGACGCTGAGCAAGGATGGAGAATACCGCGTCCCGGGGACCACTAGACGTTCCGTCGGTACTAGCTCAACTACGTGTTGCGGTCTTTGATGAGACGGTATGCCTTGGATAGGGCATGGCGTCGCGAAGGATGACATCTCGGAGTCATCCATGACCGCGTGTATCCGGGGCGTTCGGGGGTCTTCGAAGTCGTCTCCCAGTTGCTGGGCGAGTCTTGTAGGGAGGAGGCCCCGGCCGTCCCAAACACACCGGATATCCTGACCAGATACGAGCTGGGCCAAACGTCCCGACTCGACGTGGCGTACTTCGACGAAAGTCGGGTTGAACAACAGCACATACGGCGCGTGCCATGCTGCTTGCACGGCTACTCCTTCCCATTCGATCACTGGGGGAGAACGGGAGGGAGTGCCACGTTTGTCCACATATAGGCCGAATTCTCGGCGAGGGGGTGCGTTTCAGTTGGCCTGAATGAATGTAGGGACACCGGCTTTACCTTCGTAGCATAGGAGAAACTCGTCGTTTCGTATGCGGAACATTGCGATGGGCTTGCATGTGCCCGGCCGCTTGCCCAGCCCGCGCAGGTCTTCATCCAATGGGATAGTGGCACTCGAGAAGCTGATGTATGCAGAATTAGGACAAGGACACCGACGCTGCAAAGACACATACTCCTCCAGATCCATGATCTCGAAGCCTTTTGCACATAAGACACAAACTTTGGTCTTGAGGAACAGAATGTCGTGCGCGTCTGAGGGCAAGAAAAAGTCCTACACAGCCTAATCAACATATTGAGGATCACACTAGCCGTATCGTAGCGTACCTTGTAGACTACGATCTTTGGCGGTTCCTGCGCTGCCCATGGCTCCTTGGAGCGAGTTACCTCCAAAATACGGAAAACGCTGTCTAGCTATAGCAAACAGTCTGGTTAACAATCAGCCGACATCTCTGAAGCGTGTACTTACACCCTTCCTCTTCTTGGAAATGATAAGAGTTCGCCCTGCCCAGCACCCAACGCTGAAGAAGTGGATGGGCGTATGGGGATTACTTAGTCTCTGCAACCCGAATGCTGCTGGCTGCTCTCCCTGCTTGGTGTTGCTCGGCACCACACTTTCAATATCGGCCGCATGAAGCACCTGTCACAGATTGGCGGGAGGGGGTTAAAAGCTAATGTGCTTGAGCTAATCCGCCCACCTTGTCAGCTAGAAATATCAGAAAACCATACTCGGCGATAAACGCGATTTGGGTGACCATCTTCAGGGACATCACTCGTCGTATTGCTACGCAGGAGAGGAAACATTCAGCACACGTTCACCAAAATTAGGAATGCATCGGTCATACATTGCGGTCGGTTCGGCATGCCTATCCACACGCCATCCTCGCTTCCTATGGCAATGAAACGACGGCCGTCGGCCAACCCTGTCAATACAGTTCAGTACACGCCCTCAAATTCGCAAAGGACCACGCCTACCAAACGGAAGTGTGCAAAACACCCGGCCGGTCACCAACCCCGCCTGCTGCGCCGGGACCTCCTGGCTCGACGCCGTGTCCGCCGTGATCGTCTCCAGCCGGAAGATACTCCCCGCCTCCCTCACCGCCTTGCGCGCCTCGATTGCCTCGCGCATCTTCCGCCGCCACTCACTGCGCTCCTCAACAGTACGCGTGTACAGGGTATACGATGCCCCGTGCTTCCCGTGCGCCTGTATCGAAAGCGGATAGTACGTGTCCGCGCTCCCGGGGTGCGTGTCCCAGGCGAGCGCGGGGTCGGGCGAGATGCGCCCGGATGCGGAGGAGTCGCTCCGCCCGGGGCGCATCATGCGGCTGAGCGTGTTGCTGCGCTGCACGGGGCGGATCGAGAGGCTCTCGAGCGCGAGGAGCTCCAGACGCACTGGCTACAGGGCAGGTCAGCGCGTGCATCATTGCGCGGAGAATGCACGTACGGGTTTCCATACGACGTAGCGCGCGTCGGCGCCGTGGCCTTTCTGCTTCGCCATCACGACTGCGAACTTCCGTCAGCACGCGTGCGATGGCCATGCGCCGTGCCGCCGACGACTTACGGTAGTTGTCGAAAAGGACGACCCAGAGCTGCTTCCAGCTGCTCATGGCGCGCTTCAGCGGGCTATTCTCGGTCTGCCGGAAGAGCGGGCCCGCATGGACCACCTCGCGGCTGCTGTCCGTCAAGCCTAGGTCCTGTCGGGTGGTTTGTCAGTACAAAGTTTGGAAATAAGAGTAAGTTCAACTCGCTGTCACGAAGCCTGTATCTTTGAATTCTAGCTTGTCGATGTACCAGCGTGGGCTGAACATGCGCGCATCTCTGGTATCTGCAGCATGGCCAAAAATGTGAATTAGCCACGGTCCTCGCAAAGCAACCACGCAAGAGATGCGCGCGTTACCTGCATGTGCATCGCTATTCCCGTCCGTTGGGTGAAGAATCATGACTGATAGAACGTTCTCCTGGCTGTTACAGGATTGATGTGGTCAGGATTAAGATGTTGTGGGCCACAGTGGCGCCGCGGCGGTCTGGAGGTATAGACACAAGAACAAAGCACGCCTGGAAAGTTATGTCACCGAGAAAGCATTTCAGATGCTGCGCAGCAACGAACTATATCCGCAAGGCCGTGCAGCGGGGGAGAGGCACTGCCGTTGCGTCGAGGCTGGGCGACGTCGTGATGGTCAACACTCATGCCAACACGGTCGCCGTCATCGTCCCCAGCCGCCACCAGAGGCGCGCGCCTCTACCCCCAAACATCAGCACACCCGCTGCTGATCTGGGCCATGCTTGGAAGTCGGAGCCACGTCTGTCGGGTCGAGGAAGCCAATGGTATATGTATTTTGCGGATTACTTATGAGTGCGCAGAACGGGGTACGGATGCTGTAGCTATGACATGATTGCGGATCCTCCGAAACCTGGGATATCATATACTCGGGAAGCGGCAAGTGACTAAGTAAGAAAAAACGGGACAGACAGACGATCTCTCGAGCGGCGTCCAGAGGAGAACCGGGCACGATAACGGAGGGGGAGCGAAGAGGAAGCGCGGACGGGAAGGCCAAGACCAATATGGTTACCAGGAGAAAGAGAAGAGAGAACAAGGGCCGGAGCGGGAAGTCAGGGGAGATGGGGGTGTGGGGAGTGAGGTGGGAGAGAATTAGGCGGAAACTAAGCGTAAGGGGACACGAGCCTGAGCCGTATGGACAGTGCGGGAGCGATGGTATGACACATGTATGTACGATGCTGCGAACGCGAGAGTCATGCCGATGCGAGGCCGGGAGGTATACTTGTGCACGGTGTTGCTCACCGCTGGAGGTCGGCACGTCTGCAAAAACGTTAGTGTCCCCACGCATCTCACGCCAAGAAGGTACTCACTGTCTAAGGTTATCGTACAGGAACTTGTAGCTCCGCAGGTTACCCTTCAATCTCCTGATATCCAGACTGTACGTGTCGTCCAAACGGTCCAGCCGCGTCAGCTCCACCGAGAAGCGCACTTCGTCGCCGGCATCTTGTACTGTGTCGCCGTAGATCGTCTCCAAAGAGATGGGCGAAGGCACCTCGCCTGAGCCCGCAGGGGCCGCGCCGACGAGAACGGTATCGGAAGCGGCCTCGGACTCGAGGGACGGCGAGACCTGGTGGAGCGTACCAGTCGAGACTTGGGACGACTGGCGGCGCATCAGCAGGCCTCTTAGCATTCCGCCAGTGGAGGCACTGAAAGAAGTGTTGGACTGCGAAGGAAGAGGCAAGCCGCGCTTGTCGACCTGCAATCATTGGGTATCAGCATCAAGTTATTCCGCGGCAACAACAATACATACCCCTCCCGAAGCTGCTGAGCCGACCATAGTGAACGCTGCCAGGCTGCCAGAGCCATCGCGCAACCCGAGACCAGCGCGCTTCTTCTTCGGCCGGATGCACCTATACTTGTATTCGTGTTCGATGTCGATGTCGATGCCCATGCCTTCCAGCACTAGCTTGACGTGCTTCATGACCTCCGGCGGCGAGCCCGTCGTGATCGTCGTTTGGTCCACCGCACCGTGGTGAACACGCAAGTTGGCGCGGGCGGGCGTGAACTGCTTGCGCATGAATTCTGTGAGGCTGTGCGGCGCGAACGACGCGTCCGACGGCGTCGCCGTAAGCGGGAGCGGGGAGTGCAGCTTGTCTGACCCGGGCGTGGTGAGGTTTTGCGCGGCCGACGTGTTGATAGCGTACGGCGCGGCCGTCGTCGGTCGCTGAGCGGAACGCTCGGTATCCGCAGGCGGCGGCACAACCTTCTCGGTCTCCTCCTCGGAGAGCTCGGCGCGGCCCTTGCTCTTCGAGCGGAACCACTGCATGACCTTGCTCGCCTTGACCGTCGACGCCGGGATCGGCACGCGCTGGCTCTTCCAGGAGGCTGTAGAGTACCCGGCGGCCTCGTCCTGTCCGGAGCGCAGCGCCTGCGGCGTCTTCGGCGGCACCGCGGGCGCATCGCGTTCGTCGGGGGTGCGCGACTTCTCGAGCGCAACGTCCGGCTTCTCCTTCATCGGCGTCTCGGCGCCCTTCTTCGACCGTGCCTTTATCGAGCTGCGGATGGGTGCGACCATCACGGTGAGGGTGTTGCGCCTCGACTTCTTGCCGTTCACGGTGCCGCTTGGGCTGAGTAGCGTTGCATCCGTGCTAGTGTCTGCAGCGCTGGCTGCTGACGACGGGACCTGCACGCTCGACGGCCGGCGCCCGATGTCCTTCATCGAGGAAGGCGGCACGTCTCTGGAAGAGGACCGCCCAACCGACTTCTGGCTCTGCGAGGGCGTTCGTCCGACTGTGCCGTTGGACTGCTCCGCATTCGATCCGGAGGTGAACATCTTTGATAGACCGATCTTGTCGATGGACAGCCCCTTCTTGTGGCGGCTCTGCTTCGATGATCCCGAACCCGTCGATCCGTTACTGCCGTTCTGGTAGTGCGCCAGCTTCTCGTCCGACGGTGCGAGGGGGGTTCCGGGAGGACCAGTGACCTCGATAGATACAACTGGCGCGTGCTCGGGGGAGACAGGGACGACAGGAGACGAAGCAGACTTCGGAGGCGTGATCTCCTGTCGCTGCCGTGAACTCGACGAAGGCGTGCCCGGAAGGGGCTTCTGCGACGACCGGCGCTCGATGTCTGAAGACTGCTTCCTCGCCGTGCGCTCCTGCGAAGGAGAGGACCCGTTGACGTTGATACGGGTCCGCTCGCGCTGAGGCTCTGGCTGTGCATCCGACTCTCCGTACTCGACCTGAATAGTATGGCGATTGGGTGCCTTCCGCTTCGACTCTGGGGACGTCGTTTTGACAGGTGCATAAGAGGTAGGAGGAGGAGCGGTGGACCTGGGTGCATCGCTGTCGACTTGCATCCTGTCCTCGTGGATGCCGTTGGAGACGTCCATAGGAGCCATGCCCGAGGGGAGAGAAATAGAAGGGACTTCCTGAGACGGCGAGGGAGCGAAAGGGTCGTCGTCGAGACCAAGAGGGGAGGAGGTTGGGAGAACGATCGCAGAGTTAACGCCACGACGGCCAGCGCTGGAAGGTGCAGAGGTCTCGTACAGGAACTCGGGCTGAGCCTGCTGCGCATACCGCTGTTCGCGATGGCTCCGCGAGCCAGAAGGCGACGTAGAGGGGGCATATGCGTCGGTCCTGGCACTTTGACTGCGTGCTATCTTCGAAGCTGAAGCGTCCGTCGCAGCTGCTTGCTTCATCTGCTTCTGGTACGCAAGCCGTTTCTGGTGGTGTTGCTCGATAGCAGTTCGCTCGACCTCCGCGACGGTCTTCTGGAAGACATGGGCACAGGGGGCAAGCCATTCATGGGCCATGATAGTGGGGAGATCTGCACGACGCGCAGGATCGGGAACGAGCATGATTGAGAGCAGGTCTCGCGCTTCCTTGGAGATGTAGTCGGGGAAAGACAGGGGTGTGTTGACGATATACTTGTACAGCAGGTTGATGTTGTCACCGTCCGGGTTAGCGGGGTCGTCGTCAAATGGGAGGTAACCCGCCAGCATCGCATACAAGATGACGCCGCAAGACCAGATGTCGACCGCAGAGCCGACGTACAGGCCGTCGGAAATGACGAGCTCAGGTGCAGCATAGCAGGGAGACCCACAGCTGGTCTGCATGAGATCGTCTGACCGGTGTTCAAAGCGGTTGGCAAAGCCGAAGTCCGTGATGATGACATTCCGGTTACGGTCCAGGAGCAGGTTCTCGAGCTTGAGGTCCCGATGAACGATTTTCTTTTGGTGGATGTACCAGACGCCGGAGATGAGTTGGGAGAACAACTTGCAAGCATCCTTCTCCCGCAAATAGCGATGGGCGAGGATGTGGTCGAACAACTCGCCGCCCGACGCGTACTCGAGGATGATACCAATGTACTTGTCCGTTTCGATAACGTCGTAGAGTCGGACGATGTTGGGATGTTTGAGGGTCTAGCGTCCGCACGTTTATGCGCGTCCTCGGGATATGATCACAGCTCATGAAACACGCACCCGCAAGACCTCGATCTCTCGTTCCACCTTCGACATGCGCACGCTGGAGTCGATGTTGCCTCGTCGAATAAGCTTCACGGCGACCTCTTCGCCCCATTGCATGTGAAGCCCGAGTTTGACCTTGCCGAACTCCCCTTCGCCCAAGGTCTGTAGGAGGAGGTATGGTCCGAACTTGGGGATAGTCCGCCTCGGGTGGGCTGCTGCGTACTCCATAGCAGCAGGGTGAGAGTAGATGTCACGGTAGCCAGGCTGCTCCTCCTGTTGGGGCTGGGAGGTCACGACAGTATGCGAAGCACGTTTGCGCGACGCCGACTGCGAGTTGGCAGCATTCGAACTGGTCGGCTGCACAGAGACAGGCCTCGCACCATGCTGGCGCGAGGGACCAGGCTGGGAGCCATCGGGAACTTGCAGGCTGGAGAACGGATCCATGGCTGGGGGGAGTGGGTGATCCGGAGAAAGTGAACCAGGCTGAACGCACGATGTGAGAAAAGATGAGGAAAAGAAGACGCTGACACAAACATACGGGCTAAGCGACGCGACAACGTGATAGCGTGATGTTGCGCCCGTCGGCAGAGCTTCAGGGACGACGACGTCGACAAGGAGAGTGGTGGTGGGCGGATGAGAACAAGAGTTCGCTGTGGCCGACAGCGCAGGGCTCGGGGTGGTAGCAGAACAAAGAATGGCAGGTCCCGGCGAGAAGCAAGAACGTGTGTCCTGTTCTGACTAAGCAAGCGGGGACTGATGGGGGCACGGGGAACGGTGAGGGTCTTCCGGACGACCGCGGACTCAGAGCACGCTGCTCGTCGTTGTGAAACGGGTGTTGGTCGATGCCCGAAACAGCGAGCTCGTCGCGGCGGCTCGTCCACGTGGCGCGCTAGTTACGCTCAACACCGTCCCGATTAGTCTACCTCCAATTTGCTTCCGGCCCCCGTCGGCATACCTCGGCATCGAGCCGTACTTACAGGCTATCGGGGAGCCGGGGACTCTAGAAAGTGCACGGATTCGACATACTACAAAAACCCATATACATCTTCGAAAGACTGTCATAGTACCACCAAAATAAGTTTCATATACACTCGATAACGGAGGCTGGTGCGAGCTGCTTTGCAAGCTTAGAATTACTGCAGAACAATCGCTTCAAAGTTTACGGGCTAATTTGCCAGCTCAAACGTTTGCAGTCTCTGAATTCAGTGGACAAGGACGGAGAGCCTTGCGGCAGGCACTGGCAGGCACTGGTAGGGTGAGGAACGTAGCGAAGCGGTGAGGCTCAAGGATTCGCTCCATTGACTCCGAGTCCTGTCAAGATCCCTCGGGCGAAGATTCGCTGTAACATATTTGGGAAGTGTATATTGAAGGCATCAAACAGCCAGCACACAGAGGACGTACGTTGTCAGCGCCGGATTCACAACATCCAGTCCCTTCAACCACTCAACGATTCCTCGGCCGCGATGGGCGTCTCAACCCAACCTGCAACAGCCGGCGTTCATTAAACTTACGACATGCTCGCAGACTAACCGTGAACGAAAACGTACCTGGCGCGCAATAACCTCGAACCGTCCCTCCGGGCCAATCTTCGCGATCTTGTTCTTCACAGAGGCACAGCCGGTGCATGCAACGAAGCAGCGTTCTCCTGCTCGGCGTGCCGGCGCCCAAGTCGCCTCTGGGTCCGCACATCCCCCCTAGGCCTGCCGCAGTCCGCGCAGCTACTCCCGCCCCGCGCGCGCCGACCTATGTGTTTCGTGTGCATCAGCCGTGTGCGATGTCGGAGGGGTGACAGGGAAGGCGCAAGGGTGCAGAGCGGCGCGCCCGCGGGCGCACGGTGGCATGGTGAAACAGGCACTGCGGGGGACCGGAAGTACTGACGTAGGAAGCTGCGCGCGGTGGCGAGTCCGATACCGCCGCTTGTCCCTGTGAAGTACGTAGAGATGTTAGTTGCATATATTGGGATGTCGAGTTGGAGCTTCTGGGAACTCACCTGTCAGGATGATGTAGACGTCTTGCGGAGTATGATATGCCGCTTTGCATAACGCTGTTGGTCATACGTCTACTAGTACTATCGCTTGCCTCTAGATCTAGGCGAAGCACATCCAGCAAAGTTCTTCAGAGTGTATGCGTAATACGTATACTGAAAGCACTGATCACTCAGAGTGTGAGACATCTATAAGGAGATATATGAATACAAGGCACAATCTATCGATACAACTTCGGGTCGTCGTCGTCGTTGGACGTGTCCTGCTCCTGAGTTTTTTCCACAGGGGCTCGAGCCCTCGGAGAAAAGGCGCGAGGGAAAAAGCGCACGCGAGTAACCTCTACGCTTACAAGAATTGCGACGGCTTCAGCTTGTTCAAGTTTGCGCACTTGATCTTCCCGTCAAACACGAGCTCCGCGATGGCCTTCGCCGTCCCTGGAGCATTGCAGATTCCCTACCATGCGCAACGATTTAGCGTCTCCATGCATCTGGCTAGGAGCTCACTTACCCAGCACGTATGTCCGGTAGCGACGACCAGGCCCTCCGCAATCTCCTTCGCCTCGCCCACAATCGGCCCTCCGCCGGTGCTCACGACCGGAAGAAAGCACGCCTGGCGGCGCTCCACCTCGCCCTCGCGCAGCTCCCGGGATATACTCGCGACGTGCTCCCGAATGCTGTCGCAAGCTTCTGCGTCGACGACGACGTCGTCCACCGTGTCCGGCACCGCAGAGTCGTCGCCCGGTCCGCAGCAATACACCTCGTCCGTCGGCCGCGCGTAGATCTCCGGACTGACGCGCACGCCTGCCCCCGGCAGGGCGATCTCGGTGAAGAGCACATAGGGCGCGATGCGCGTACCGGGCGTCGGGCGGATGGTGATGCTGTGCGCGCGCGTCCCGATGATGGGCAACGCGGGGACGATCTTGGGCGACCATGCGCCCGCGGCGAGAATGACGTGTGTCGCGGGGAGGATCTGCGGGTCGTCCGTACCAGGTGCGGTGTAGGTGACCCCGGTTGCGCGCCGCGTGCTCCCGCTGTCGCTGACGTTGACGGCGGTGACCCTGCCCTGCACGAGCGCAACGCCGTGTGCCTGTGCGAGTTCGAGCATGCTCGTCGTGAAGAGGTACGGGTGCACCTGGGCGGTCGCCCCCTTCGGCGCCATGGGCGAGTATGCTTCTGTCAACGCAGGCTCCACCCAGTTGAGGTCGTCCGGTAGTCCGGTCGCTGCTCGTTGCTTCTTCGCCTCGTCGGGGTCGAGCCCGAGCGTCTTCTCCAGGCTCTTCCGCTTTCCGCCCGCCCCGACCCCGCTCCCAGACTCACCAGACAACTCACCGCGGCCTTCCCAGCTGCCACAGTTTACAAAACGCCAGCCCCAGCGCTCGGTGCCGTTATGCTCCTCCGCAAGGCGGACATGTTCTGGGAATGAGACGTTCACGAGCTCCTTCGGATACGCCCACTTCGCCACGAGCCCGCCGGCTTTTCCAGAGGCGCCCTGCGCCACGCCATTCTTTGATGCCTCGATGAGAGTAATGGTGGTAGAAGATCCGTCGAATTTGGGGTGCGAGGCGAGGTAGTAAGCTGTTGTGCAGCCGATAATGCCACCGCCGACTATCACAATTGTTTGAGCGACCACTGCCATTGACCTGTGAGTCGCTCGAGAAACCGTCGTCCTGAGAACATCCTCACGCACTTGTCGCTATCACAGAGTAGGAATCTGGGTTCGTAAAGGATCTGAGAAGGTGTGAAGCTGTAGAAGATGAGTGTGAGAGTGAGAGTGCATGCAGACGATTGCGACGTGCGCACTCACCTAACAATGACATCATATGATCTCAGCGGGCCGTCTGGCCGCCGCGGTAAAAAGAAAAGCAGACACCGGCCCTACCACATACATACATATGATGAGTGAAGGGCGCGAACATTGAAGGAGGTGAGTATGGAAGGAAGTCGGGGAGGTAGATTAGCGGAGAGCATAGGCAAGGATTGATGTGGACAGCAACAGCATGTAATCATAACAACAGATACCTAGACACATCCAAGCCTAGCTAATAATGTCCAAGTGCCCTACAGATACATACACCTATCGCAGGTGCGCCCATGAGCGCAAGAACATAGGGCCTCAATGCAATCCATGGGAGGTTCGCGGCGCGCATATACCCCGACCGGTAACAGGATCTCACAGTCGCTTCAGGGCCTTCTTCCGCTTCTCACCACCCGCCCCAGTGGTTACCGCCGCTCGCTTGACCGCCTTGTTTGTCGCCGTAGCATCTGTGGGTACATTGACCGCGATGTTGGAATCTGCTGTTCCAAGAGGTGATGGCGAAGGTAGGCGCTCCTTCGTTGCTGTCTTCTTCTCAGCGGATAGATTCGGCGACGGCGTCGTGGACGGATAGGTGTTGGGCGTTGATGGATGAAGGGGCTGTGACGGGGTGGATGGTGGCGGAGATGTGGCTTTCGAGGATATTGTTGTGGTTGCGGTTGGCAGAACTTTCGACGTCGAAGCCGCCGGCGTAGCGGTAGCTTCTGACGCCGATGGTGTGTTGAATTCCGCCGGCCGCACCTGCTTGGTGTAAGTAGTGGTGAGGACGTATATTTCATGTCAACATACCTTTGGTTTCGCGTGCACGCTCGTGATGAGCCGTGCGCGCTCACAATACGTGTTGTAGTCCTCGAGCAGCAGTTTTCCAGCCTCCTCATCCAACGCGGACTCGGGATTGGGGTAGATGAGCAAGCACTTCACCGTGAGAAGGATGTGGCCTATTCCATAAGCCGACTTCCAGTCTTTCTTGAGCGTGTTCACACAAATCTCGCCTGATGTCGAGACATTCGGATGAAAGATCTTGGTGGAGAACCAACCTATGAAGGACCGCTATGAGTATACGGGGCGTGAACAACCGGTAGACATACGCACATTTCGGTGGCGCGGCGGGGAACTCCTCCGTGAATTGGAACCTAACCCTAAAGTATCCTCCCGCATACGGCGTGCCCTCTGCATCAAACGCGTTGTAAGCCCAGGTATGAAGGGAATGAAAACTGAGGATGCGCACCTGGGCCCTCGATGATGCCTGTCACGTCCAACATGTTGTCTTCGTTCGTAACGACGCGTATTCCCTCAGGGGGATTGGTTCGGAGCTCAGCAAGCTCGCGCATGAGACGGCGCAGGACGGCAGGAGGGACAGACTACTCCAGACGTTAGTCCCACGACAGAATAGAAGTATATGAGACATACCATGGCTCGAGGATGAGAGGCGGAAAGAGCGGGATGCTCGTATGCGTGTTGAAGTTGTGGTTCGAAGTCAACCAGGGTGGCGCCCGATCCATCTCCGACCGGCCCTAATCCTGCGCGGCGATTGTGACGTAACATGTCACAATCTACCGACCGCCGTGACATTCATGGTCTAAGTATGCACCTGTGGCAAGGGCTCCTACGGCCGATCACCAAGGCGTTGAACTTCTCGCTAAATAGCCAGTATGTTTTTATACCACTTGGATAAATTTCAGGCGCACAAGTCGCGATGCAAACATGCACAGCTGCATGCTATGGCTAAGTAGCCTGAGGGTTCAAAAGTATCCTAACTTCTGAGAGGTCACTAGCGCAGTCAGACGTGCGATTTGAGCATCTTGATAGTGGTTCAGACTTGACTTTTGCGAGCAACTGGGCTCACATGCACGAGTCCCATATTCGAAATCCACCGACAGGGCATTTCGATGGTACTGTTGAGTTTGCTCATTAGAGAGACGTAAATAGATTTAACCGGAGACTGTACCCGTTGGAGAGGTCTTCCGGAAGATTTAAGGCCATAAGCACATATGGAAGATGTTCAGACAAGAAGGCGATCCCACCGAATTGCGCAGCTCTTTGAAGATGCTGTACATGTGACAATCCTGCTTTCCTCTTTTGGATTGCTGATCTGTGATGTGACTCATTTGAAGATCGGCTGGATCATTTCGAGATCTCCAGCGAGATGCACCAACTCACTCAGCGTTCACTCACTCGCTCACTCACTCACTCACTCCCCCGGTTGCTCAAACCACTTCTACCATCCGCACGATAAAATGGAGGCTTTCGACACATATCAGACGCCACTTTCAAGGTATATTTTCTCGCACGCAACCCCAGACTTCTTTCTGACAGCGCTGTAGCCGGTATGCAAGCAAGGAAATGGCCCACCTGTTCTCCCCGGCAGTATGCCTCGTCGGATTCACTTGTACTATCAAAAAACTCAGTCATCTGCATAGAACCGCTTTTTCACCTGGCGGAAGTTGTGGCTGAACCTCGCCGTCGCGGAGAAGGAACTCGGGCTCCCCATCTCTGATGAGGCCGTCGAGCAGATGAAGGCGAACCTTGTACGCATATTTCTGCACCGGCTTGACTGCGCGCGGCGGATGCTAACAGTCCAAGTAGCATTTGGACCCGGAACAGTTTGAGATCGCGGCCGTCGAGGAGAAGAAGAGGCGTCATGATGTGATGGCGCACGTCCATACTTTTGGGCAAGTCGCGCCTGCCGCCGCGGGCATCATTCACCTGGGAGCGACATCCTGCTATGTGACCGAGTGAGCGAAACGCTTCTTCACCTCTTGATTAGACTCTCATTCTGCCTATAGCAACGCGGACCTCATCTTCATCCGCGAAGCACTCACGCTCCTCCTTGCAAAACTCGCAACCGTGATCGACCGCTTTGCGACGTTCGCGGAGCAATACCGCGATCTCCCTACGCTCGGGTTCACGCACTTCCAGCCCGCCCAATTGACCACCGTCGGGAAGCGTGCCACACTCTGGATTCAGGTACGAGGACCTCTTGTTTGGTCGATGTATGCGCCCTGAGCCGACCGCGCGGGGAAATAGGAACTGCTCTGGGATCTGCGCAACATCAAGCGCGCAAGAGACGATCTCGGCTTCCGTGGTGTCAAGGGCACGACGGGCACGCAAGCTAGCTTCCTCACTCTGTTTGACGGTGACCATGACAAGGTGCGTGTTCAGCACATGCACGACTGGTGTTGGCATTTTTTACCGTGCGATGCCAGGTCGAAGAGCTTGACCGCCGTGTCACCGAGCTGTCTGGGTTTGGCTATGCGTATCCGGTCTCCTCCCAGACATACTCCCGGAAAATCGACGTCGACGTCCTCGCGCCCCTGGCCAGTTTCGGTGCGACAGCGCACAAGCTCGCCACCGACTTGCGTCTCCTCGCTAACCTGAAGGTACGCATCCGGGTCAGTGAACAGCTGGGCACTCTAACATAATATGCCGGGCTTAGGAAGTTGAGGAGCCCTTCGAGTCGACGCAGATCGGGTCCTCCGCGATGGCATACAAGCGGAACCCGATGCGCTCCGAGCGGATCTGCAGTCTCGCGCGGCACCTCATGACGATCCAGCAGAACGCCCTCGGCACCGCAAGTGTGCAGTGGTTCGAGCGCACGCTCGACGACAGCGCCAACAGGCGCATCACGCTTCCCGAGGCGTTTCTCACCGCGGACATCGTGCTCACGACGCTGCAGAATGTGTCCGAGGGCCTGGTCGTGTACCCGAAGGTCATCGCGCGCCGCATCTCGCAGGAGCTGCCCTTCATGGCCACGGAGAACATCATCATGGCCATCGTGAAGAGCGGCGGGGATCGCCAAGAGGCGCACGAGAAGATCCGAGTGCGTCCTTTTCGACTCCTTAACGGAGGAGAACCTGCTGATATCCAATCTACCCTCAGGTCCTGTCGCACGAAGCGGGCCACCAGGTCAAGCATCTTGGGCTGGAGAACGACCTTATTGAACGTGTTCGCGCGGACCCGTACTTCGACCCGATCAAGGGCCAGCTCGAGGCGTTGCTCGAGCCCAAGAGCTTCATTGGACGTGCGCCGCAGCAGGTCGACAAGTTCCTTGCGGAGTGGGTACGCCCTGCGCTTGCCGACAACGAGTTCCAGGCTGCGCTCGGCAAGGCGGGCAAGGCAGAGCTGAATGTATGAGGTCGGGAGCCGAGGTGGTTTGTGAAAGAAAGAGACGAAATTGTGCGACATGTATCGATATATATGAAAAGAAGGTCCGTGCATTGTATTGACATCCTTATCTCGTTGCCTTACCCTTCGACTTCCGCCCTGCGACAATATTGCGCCTTCTTTAGTGTTCTTACGTAGAGATAACCACGAATGAGAGCGTACACCTCATCAGATCGGTCTACGCATGGGTAACCGTTTACATTACGCGAGCAGCCTATGCTGACGCCTCACCTTGAGTGAACCAAAAGCATATTGCCTGCGCAGACGAGTCGTTGCACCTCACACGGGAACTTGGCAACTATGACTTCCGCTTGGTGCTGGGCGCTCGTGTGTAACATGGAGATCTGCGCATTGGACTCGTGAGTGGATCGTCGCATCTCCTGTGTCTTAGCTGACAAGCAGGTCGGGTTTTCTCGGAACCAGGACTGTATGAGAGCGTACAAGCGTCCCTGACCGACGGCGCCGGCTCACCATAGGGGCGTGAGAAACGATCGATTACCCCGCATTTCCCCAGAGATGGGCCGTCCCGTGGCCATTCTGCCCGCTTGTCTGCACTTGTTGACGCGACCTGGCCCATCCCAGCTGACTGCGTTTGCAGCACAGGCGTGGGGCTCGCTGATATAAACAGGATGCCGCCGTTTTGCCCCCACCTGTCTTGCTTCCAACCACCACAGCCCCTCTCGACGGCCGCTGCACTCCCGGCCCCAGGTCTCTCGCCTCAGACTAGATCTGTTGTTCGGCACTGCACACCCTTGAACTAGACCTAGACGTACGATCATCATGGTCGGTCGTTCCCTTTACACCCGTAATGGATCGGATGTGCTCATATACCTCTGCGCAGCCGGCTCATGACGACCACCGCGACGAGGCTCACGTCCACAGCCTCAGGCTCGCGCTTGGCTCCATCCTCTCTCCAGTGAGTACAGCAGCGTCTTTGACTTGAACTCTCGCCACCCTCCCCCTTCATGCTGCACCGGGCTCCCTTTGTCATACGCGCTCGGAGAGCGAGCCTTAACGCCGCACGCAGAAACGTCCGCTCCCAGCCCGATCCTCGACCACGTCGGGCACCGCCAGCCCCGCGCTGCATTGCCCTCACTCCGCCATCCCCCTCGCAGCGTCTCTATCCTCATCCAGCTCCCACGGGTCCCCTCTTTCCACGCCCACGGGCACCCCCATGTCGCACGCCCACCACCAGCCGGCGCATCCCGCCGTCGAGTCCTCAGCCGTGCACGGCCTGGACGACGCCCACCCGCGCGCACCAGACGCGGTGAACGCGAGGCTACCAGTCGCCGGCGGCGTGTCCGGGAGCTCGACGCCCGGCGGGCGCACGAACTTCATCGGCACGCTGCAGTCGAAGAGTGCGTGGGATGCGCTCATCCACGGGTCCTGGGTATGAAGTATTTGCGCGCGGTCGCCGCCGCTGCTTCTATAGACGTCTCCGCTTAGAGGGTGGGTGCGCCGGTCGGGTTCGTATCCCCTTTGGACCACGGTACACGGTACATGGCATACGCGATACGCGAGCTGGCGCTCTCTGGTACATACGCTGACGCACAGTCTACTGCCGTTATGTTCGCATGTCTTCGGGCTGCTTATGCGTTTGGGTGCTGACTGATATGGCCACTGGTTACCTTCCTTACTGCAATGTCCTTCATACCTGCCTCCTTAGGGCGCTGTAGTTTATGTACATGTATTTCTTGTGAATAGCACATGTGTATGCGAGATATTGAGGGTGACAGAGGCCTGAGAACGAAGATCGCAAGAGTACATGTTAAGTAAGAATATACAAAGGATACAAAATTCCAGATCACGGACAGTGTCCGTGGGCAGTACGTACAGTAGGTGTATTGATACAGAGCTCGAGCAAGCAAAAGCACTACAACAAGGATCAACGGATGCCATGGTTGGGGTTCGCAGCTATCCATCCCCGGAGCTCCCTCACCAGCTTCCTCGCGGAGTCTTCCAGCGTCTCCTCCCTCGTGCGCGGCACCTGCACGATCGTCTTCTTGCGCTCCTTCGTCAAGAGCACGATCCCCACTGCCCTCGGAGAATACGACACCGACAGCGCATGGAACGGCAGCGCCTGATTCGTCGTGCGGGTCACGACCCTCGATTTGCCGGCCGAGCTGCCCACGCCGCTCGCGCACTTCTTCGGGGGACATGGCGACGAGACGAGGGGGGTGGTGCCGGATGACGACAGGACCGAGACGACGCCGTCTCGTCGACCATAGGCACGGACGAGATCTTCCAGGCGCGCCCGCGGCTGCATGAGGTCGAAGAGGTCCTTAAAGCTCTCCTCGCGCTCGAGGTGAAGCTCGGATTCGTCTGCCCAAACGTCCTCGCGCACCTTGAGGGCGATGTAGAGATCGAGCACGCGCGTTTCCCGCTGCATCGACTGCAGTGGGAGAAGCGGTGACGAGAGTGGGGAGGATGAAGAAGCGTATGCGGCGAAGGGGCTGTCCGGCAGCGATAGCGGGAAGGGGTCGGAGGTATACGGCGGGCGGATGAGCGAGGCGTAGGCGGGGAGGTACGTGGAGCGGAGGACGTGCATACATGCTGCACAAGGTGTCAGCATCGGGTGTACACAGACTCAGTGCCGTCATACGGAACTCTCAGACGCGGATGGGAGGGAGCACATATCTCTGATTTCGCCTCTTCTACTACGTGATACGTACAGGAGAGCGTCGATACAGGATATGGGGGCGAAGGGAAGGGTGTAGTCTTCCGCGAGGCTCTCTTGTCCGAGTGCGACGATATGATTGAACTCACCAACGTATAATGCCCGATTAACGAGCCGTAGGCTCATTGTAAGCCAGTAAAGCACCTTCCGTTGGTTCTTCAACGTTCCTGGGGGGAACGTCTCGTAGACGATTCGTAACAAGAGGTGTGGGGGCAGTGTAACCAGTGTCGGAGGAGGTCGGTTATGCGAGGGGAACGGTGGTGGGCTGACAGGGTCCGGCAGAGCGTAGGGCGGGGGAGGGGGATACATCGTGACTGTCTTCTCGTCAAGGATCACCATGGTTGGGTGCTAGAAATACAGCGAGCGGGCGGGTATTTGGGACGCCAGGCGACGATACTTGTGACCGATAGCGACGGAAAGATCTGTGTTTCTACCGTCGAGTTAGGTCCGCGATGCTGCGGATTGCGCAGGGATCAATAGCAAGGTGGCCGTCTGAGTTCAGAAGCAGCTGCGGGGCAAGACAGAGGGGTGTACGGCGTCGTCGACGTCTCGATGGAGGGGCCTGGGAGGAATGTCCCCACGCAGCCACAGGAGTGCGATCCGCAGGCTGGACACACCGACGTGAGAACGGAGGCAGATGACTGGTCGATTAATATTATCAGCCCCGTCAGCAAAAGAACGAGTTCACTGTCAGAGAAACTCACAAGCTTGTGCTCGTCGTGCAGCACGATGTCGCGAACGTGGTGATCGACGTCGACGGCGACGACGACAGGCTGCGCTGCCACTGCGCCCCGCCATTGCCACTAGTTCTGCCAGCTTCTGCCCCACGGACCACGCCAGACCACGCCTCACGGCGCAAGGCCGGCGACCGGGCCGCTCGATCTCGGAAGCTGACAGCTCGGGCAGAGTCGGCGCTCAAAACGATCAGCGACGGATGCAGCTCCGCTCGGAAATGCTGCCCTCGGATTCAGACAGATCTTTCTGTCAAGTCCTCTCAATACTCTCTTGAGCTGAACCTCCTGCAGCTCATCGTTTCCTACATCGCCTTCCACCACATTGCGACTCGTGCAGTACCCAACGAACACTTCTCGGAGTCGTTGGAAACGAAGATCCACCGTGACCCATCAAAGTCTAAGCCACCTTTACCGGTGTCAGAAGTCCCTTGGAGTCGAGACCCCGGAACACCACTTTGCCGGTTGGTTTTCAACCACCTCGACCCCATCGTCGACGACAACGAACACGAACCACATTCTCACCTATGGGTCCCCCAAAGCGAAAGCATGCTCGCCAGGCCCCGCAGAGTGAGTTTATCGTGTGGGCTGTCGTCCTACGATGACTGATCGCATAGCGTCATCTGCCAGTGCGGTCCCGCACGACGAGGAGCAGGGGCAAGGTGAGCAGCCTGACCGTTATCGTAGCGCGCCCCATGTTGAATCACATCTTGCGCTTAAGCCCATCTCTACCAACCCCGAGGAGAACAGCCAGATGCTGGATGCGCAGCTCCGCCAGCTCGGGCTGTATGCCGCACACACGATCGGCGACGGGAACTGCCTGTTCAGGGCGCTTTCCGACCAGCTATACGGCACGCCCTCTTCCCACCCTAAGCTAAGACAGGACATATGCGACTGGATCGAAGCGCACAAAGAACGCTATGCCCCCTTCGTCGAGGACGAGCGAGGGCTCGAACATCATCTATCCTGTATGCGCCAACCAGGTATGTCACTTGAACCGTCTGCCGCAGCACAGCATTTTGACAAGACACATAGCGACATACGGCGGCCACCTCGAACTCTCCGCTTTTGCGCACATGACGAAGCGGAATGTCAAGGTCATTCAACCTGGTCTCGTGTACGTCATCGAGTGGGATGCTGGGGGCGACTTCGCGGACGAGCCTGCGGAGGCAGAGACGTCTCCGTCGGCGGATGATACGGCCCTAGACAGCCGCGAGAAACGTCGGCAAAGACGAGAGCGACTCCGTTCCGCATCGGATAAGCACGTATGGGATGCTGGAGAGCTCACGACATCTCAAGGCACTGTCTACGTTGCGTACGTCTACTCTAGTCGATCTCTCATACGCATGGAATCTGATCGAGATCCAGCTATCATGATTGGGAACATTTTTCGTCAATCAGGAACCTTCGAGGGCCGCACACAGGCCTGCCGAACGTGTCCGAGATGCCTGCACCGGACGGGGAGCCGTCTTCTCCTCCGCCGTCGAAGAGGAAGCCTGTATCGAAGGTCAAAGCAAAGCCTACCAAGGCACGGGAACCGAAGAAGGTAGATGCGCCTGTCTTATCTATAACGGATGAAGACGCGCTACCATCCACACCTTCGCAAATCCCGTTACCTATCTCCACTTCCCCCTCTCCACCGCCCACCTCTGCGCCGTCGTCGCAGGCATCTGCGTTCCCTGCTATCCCGTCGTTAGAGCCACATTCATATCGCTCACCGAAACGAACGTTCGACGAATCTTCCGCATCATCGCAAGCCACTTCAGAGAGCTCGCAAAGCGCAGCCAAGCGTGCGAAGAGCTCCTCTCGCACGCCTTCCACCTTGAACACGGAGTCGACAAACACGTCCGCTCTCGCTGGCAAGGACTTAACCATGTATACCGACGATATGGATACGCCAGACCTGTCCGCTTCCGGATCATCGGCGGAGTCGGTCAGCTCGCTGTCGTCGCTGTCCTCCTCACCATCAGCGACACCTCCCCCTCCTGATCCTCCGGTGGAGAAGCCTCTCACTCGTCGCCAGCGGAAGAAACTTGGGCTTCCACGCCCTAGGGATGTTATGGGAAGAGGATGCGAGTGTATGCGATGTCCAGATATGCTTGACTTGAGATAAGATGCAGAGGTGAGATGGACGGCCGTCATAGACGCCGATGTTGAGTCGCGCTGACTGCCAGGCGCGAGCGAGGGAAGAGCGCTGTCCAGCGTGCTCTTATATCTTCAGCTCCCTGAAACCACGGACGTCCACGCGTCCTGTCCCGTTCTTCCGCCATTCGGCGTTCGCTTCCTGGTCCTCCTCGGAAGTATCATCCCCGGCTGTCTTGTTCGACGTCTTCTGAAACTTGCCGCCGGGAATGACGATCTTGCCAGCGCTTCGCGTTCGCGCCCCCGTACGGCCTACTGCGGCGACCCATCCCATTCCGCAACAATGGACTCGATACCCCACAACCAAGTATTCCATGTCGTCGCACTGTTCATCGCTAGTTCCTCCGCTCGGATCGTTGTATCATCAGCATCTCCTCGCATCTCATCACCCGGACCCTCCTCTTGTCTTGCTCTCCGCCATGAAGACGTGTTTCACGACCCTCACGATTCACGACTTACGACGTCGCACGCGTTCTGCCCCCGCTTGGAGAGCCCTCCGCTGGTCACCATGCCTCGGCGTCACGTACAATTATATCGTCATACGTATTGCACCTCCGCATCTACATCGCACTGTGATACCTCCCCACTATTTATGGTCCATGACTGTCCATACGCATTCCCGCTTGCAATGTGCTCTTCCCGTGGTGTGCACGCAATGTATTTTACCCATCAGGAACGCAAACCAGCAGATACTCTCGAGCCACGCTTTCTTGTATATATGAGGTTTGGTTCTTTAGTTTGTACAACGTCGTGCGCGCACTCACCGTCTCGCGTTGGGTTCTAGGCTGTAACTTCTCAAAGCGATACACTATATATCGTCGACTTCAAATGGTATCTCTCGGGTTCCGTGCCGGTGTGAGTCACTTTCGGTGCACACCACGTAAGCTGAGAGCTTTATCGATGTTGGAAGCACTTCGCCTTCATCCTCGACGCCCGCGACCACTTCGTGTGAGGCTTGACCGATCAGCAGCTAACAGCATGGATTTCGGTTTGCAAGACGTCCATGTTTTGGTTACAGGTACATTTCGAAGTTTCAGCTCAGCACTGTGTAAATCGTTCTGACATCTCTGTGGGGATTATAGGGGCGAGCGGCGGTATCGGACTCGCCACTGTGCGCAGCTTCCTACGTCAGTACCTCCAATCCCACGCAGGGCCTGTTTCACATGGCCACCATGTGCCCGCGACATCCCTGTACCTTCCCTGCCTCCCGTTGGACACGGCTGACGCACCCGAAACACAGAGGTCGGCGCGCGCGTGACTGCGCACTACAACACCAAGTCCGCGCCGCTTGAGCCGCTGCTCACCGAGCACGGCTCGACGCGTCTGCGCCCGCTGCAGGCGGACCTGTCCCGCGAAGACGACACGCAGCGCCTCTTCGCCGTTGCCGCGGACGCGCAGAGCGGGTTTGGCCCCGTGCAGGTCGTGGTGGTCAACCACGCGTACTACGAGACGCGCGAGGTGCCAGTTGCGCAGATGTCGCTTGCGCAGTGGGAGTCGACGATCAGCACGAACCTCACGTCGTCCTTCCTTGTCGCGCGCGAGTACCTGCGCGGGCTGGAGCAGGCCGAAGAGGGCAAGAAGGAGAAGGCAGCGATCGTGCTGATCGGGAGCACGGCAGGCAAGTATGGCGAGCTGGGTCATGCCGACTATTCTGCTACGAAGAGCGGTGAGTGTGCGCATTCGCAAGCAACTCGGGCGATAAGCTGACAAGGGCTCCGCCTCGTTGCACAGCGATGATGTACGGACTGTGCCTCACATTGAAGAATGAGATCGTGAAGATTGCCCCGAAGGGACGGGTCAACGCTATTGCGCCAGGTACGCTTTAGTGAGCTTGCGTGCATCTGTGTCGTGATTTTAATGAACGCCGGTTGCCACAGGATGGGTCAAGACGCCTATGGCCGAGGAGTCTTTAAAGGACCCGAACGTTGTATATCGGGCGTTGGCAACGTATGTTCCTTGCACACAAGCGGCTATACACTTAGAGCCTCCGGAAGGGCGGTGCCACTGACTTCACTACGCGATGTACAGGTCCCCGCTGAAGAAAGTAGCCACCCCGCATGATGTGGCGGGCCAGGTCGTCGTCATCTCCTCGCCGACCCTCTCGGGGCACATCACTGGTCAGGTCCTGATGATCGAGGGCGGCATGGAAGGTCGGCTATTGAACGAGCGGAAAGACTTGGGGCTTTGAATACTTTCCCAGTGTTCTTTACCTGAGCAGAGTTCTGCATGCATGTATCGCGAATTTAGCTTTGGTCCCTGATATCTCCCTGCCTCAGGCTTCAGAAAGCTGAACGCGCCATGTATTTTGATGCAACTCTATCAGCGGCTCAGTACTCTGCATCATTCTCTTCGCCTCACTGCTTGATTTGGTGCCCCGAAATCGAGCACTTGACGTATCAAGTATGTTATGTCTCATGAACGACTAACATCTCTATTCGATGGAAATATACAAATCGAGTCGTAATCCCAAGAAAGCGACTTCCAAGCAGTGGCGACTCGGAGCGGACGAAAAGGGAGAGAGGGATGAGCATGTCACGCTGGTTGTTCACCGGCCCCGCTACTCCCCAGTGCCGCTTCAGGGTCTGGTATGGGCTCCTCGCGTGACTGCGGTGCGAAGTCGAGCGATGCCTGGTCATCGGGGGGAAATGAGTGGATAGGACCCCCGATTATGCCTAGGAACGGCGGGAGCTCGGGTGATCCTGTCCTCGGGTCGCCGCCGCTGTCGATGCGAAGAGAGTAGGAGGTCATCGATGCGTCGGCCCCCTCCAGCCGCGCGTTAGTCTCGTGGAGGTGGAGCAGGAAGCGGCTGTTCAAAATGGAGGAGATGCTGCGCAGGACGTGCATCGTAAGCATCAGCAACGTGGCGCTGGATGCGACCAGGGAGACGGCCCTACGGGTCAATAAACCCAGCGATGTAAGCCTCCGCGCCCGGTTGTATTGTGATCTATATAGCAAGTCGAAGGTCAGTTTGTCTACGCGACGCTAGGACGAGCACGCACAGAAAGTATCGTGAGTATCATATCCGCCACATTTAGAGACACGAGGATGCTGCACACAAACTTATCAGTATCCGAACTTGTGTAGTGCCAGAACAAGAAAGCACGAACCAAAAATATGCCGCTCCTGTGCAACGGACGAACATATGAGATCATTATGCGACTTGGACACATGTAGAATACCCTGTCGAGCATACCGTTTTCCCACATCACCTGTTCGAGGGAGGGCCGTAGCGGCATACCTGTCCTCAGTTTCGCCACACGTGTTTGACGCCAGGTGACCACGACGGCTAACGACTCCACGAGGATCATACAGCTTCTGGAGGCGATAACCACTGCCGACCTAGATTAATGGCTGTATGTTGTCATGAAGAGGCGTACTAACATCTGTCATACTAATGGGTCAGCGCAGTGTACATATAGTGGAGGAAGAAACCCCACCCCACGTAAAAGTTAGCGCTCTTCGTGCGATGGCTTTGACAGTTCAGCGGTGCGGGGAGGTTGATGGGGATGTCTTGGTACACGGTGCTCTGTAGCTGAATCCATTGGTGGACGCAGGATGATACGAAGGAACATATGGGACTGACCGCGTTGATGACGAAGGGTGCCAGGCTCAGCATGAGTGCAACCCCTCCCACGATCCTGTTCTTATGTGAGAGTGCGTATATCCGCAGGGTAGTGAATACTGGCATATCCTGTTAAGCGGGATTGACTGTGGCGAGTAACACATGGCATACTGACTGGCAGGTCCGACCAGAGTCAGAATTTGTACGACAAAGGAGAGCCAACCGAGCGCAACACAGCTTCCAGTGGGTCCAACGTCAGCAAGCACTGATAGAAAGCATTCAAAGAAAAAAGCGGATACCTCTACAGATGCTTGATGTATTCGAATTTGTATATGCTAAGGACGTGAGTAACACTCACAAGATCCGATACCGATACCGACGGGACCGTTCCAAGCGCCAGGAGAAAATAAAACAAGGACATGTATCTGTTCCACAGATAAAGGGCGCGCGAGAACCAGGTCCGAGGTGATCGCCAGACGTATTGGTATTCCCGCCCTGAGGTGAGGAGGACATCGTATACGAGTAACGCTGGCGCATTAACAGATGAGTAGTATTCCGTTGAAAAGCGGAAGGTAAGGCACGCCAGGGCGATATGTACCAGTGGCTACAAGGGTGCAGAGGCTAATCGCCGTCCTGTATAGTTGGGCCATTAGTATAACGATTTGCATCGAAGTGCGCAGACTTACGCCTCCTCATATATTACAATATATTGTGCGCTGAGGGTGGAGTTTTGAGACGACATGCTCGAACCTGTGGGTCCAGCGTGACGGGAACAGAGAGAGACCCGGGAGTACGAGTGGAGGGATCGTCATTGTAATCGCCCCTTTTGAGCAGCGAGCGTTTGGTGGCAGCAGCTTTAGTTTGAGCCGGCTGGCGTTGCGTGCGAACGAGCGGTGCCCTGCCCGTCGCAGGGTAGATCGCGTCCAGTCGCATGTTGACGTTGAGTAGGCACGGGGCAACATCCGATCGGCGAGGTGGCGTGGCACATGAATACCAGCCTCCCCTAGGAGGCACATTGAGGCTTGATGATCAGGTAGGGGCCCGACGTATCTGTCCGATGAGCTCCTTGAAATGTAAAAGTGCTCCGAGAGACTCCCTTGGCTTCGGGTGTTTCACCACCCACCGCCAGCGTCATGCTCGCCTCTGGTATCAACGCCGCCCTAGTCGTACGGCGCGCGTCAGCCACATCCTTCAAAAATGCCGTTAGTCCGCTTCGGAACCGCGAGCCAAGCTTCAGATACCCGGTATAATGCAGAAAGTGGGTGCCCTTCGAGGTGTATGCGTTCCGGAGGACTAGGCTCTTACAGTTCAGCACATCTGCCGGGGGTTGGTTAAATATCTCGGTGTCTGCCGAATACAGAGGCAGTCCCCGGAGTGAAGGACTGAAGTGGGTTCAGCTGCGTAGTTCCACACATAGTGGATTGGGACGTAAGGCTGGCGTACCAGCCCATCAGGAGTCCTGATAAATTTGTGAGCGAATGACCATGACACGGATAAAGAACATCCAAAGTCAATGAATCGGAATGGCGGCGTTCTCATGACATCGGCATATACAAGGGGGTCGGAGTCCGACCCGGAAGGACAAACAGGAAGTGTGTACGAAGATTCGCACAACCAGATTCGCGGATGGTACAACACGTGGATTGGAAGAGTCTAGTGGTGAATCGACACACTGGTGGTAAGCAGTCCTGATTCGTGGACTGCGTGCGAGGCCGCCCTCCTGCTCCGTCTCCTCTGTCCTCCCACCCCGCTCTACAGCCGTCTACTTTTTCTTCTTCGGTTTCTTCTTCTTCACGCCGCCACCCGCGGGGCCACCGGGCGCTGGGGTGGAGTGTGCCTCAGATGCAGCCGTCTGGGAGGAGGCGGAGGTGGGAATTTGGGATGCGATGGACGCGGAGGGGGTGAGGGTAGTCGACGCCTGCGCCGGTCGTCGGTTCTGCATCTTCTGCATAAGCGTGAGGTTGAGCGCATCAAAGCGGTTGAGGAAAACGGAGGAGTGCGTCTTGAATTTCAAGCACTGCCCGCCCGGTTCAGACACGCGTACGTGGAGCAGAGGTACGAACAGACTCACTGTCGTGTTATCCGTGATCTTGAGCACAAGTTTGCCCCCGCCATCGGCCGACTGCCGCCATTTCACGCAGTACCTGGTCTGCTCGCCGAGATGTGTGCGATCGTGTGCGATTTGGGCCCTGGTCAGCTTGGTTCATGGCGCGCGGATGAAGCACGGTACGCACGGAGTTGGGGGATTTTTCATAGAGGGCCTCCGCCGCCTCTTGGTATTCCTGCCAGGACGAGATGTAGACCATGGCAGGAGCAGCCTCGAGCCCTGCCCTCCACCTCAGCCTGTCCTCTGCCGCGCGCCCGAGGCGCGCGCCGCACCCATGTGACCGTTACTCCGGTCACAATTTGCTCCTCGGCTGGCCGCGCCGGGGGGCCGGGCGCGCATCAGCATCACGCTTTTGCGAGCGATCTCGATCGGGCGAGAGTCATATGCACCCGGGGTTGGACCTCTGCTCCTCGGACCTCCTCCGCACAGTGCACACGACCTCGACCGCAGCCAGCACGGCCCACACGTCACCTTCTTGTGCTCATACCGCCATGTCGACCCCGCCCGCGGAGAGGAAGCGTGCGTGCACTGGCTGTATGCGCGCGCCGAGGCTCATCCCGTACCTGCAGCTCTCCCGTTCGTCGCGAACTTCGCGGCCGGTGCCATTGCTGGTATCTCGGAGATTTTGACCTTCTACCCTCTCGGTGAGCTGTCACTTGCTGCGAAGAGGTGCGCGAATGTGAATTGACGGGAAATACGCATTGGCAGATGTCGTGAGTTTCCTACTTGCACTCCGCTGCGCGCGCACGTCTTCATACCTCCAGGTTGTCGCGCATAACAGGTGAAGACTCGCATGCAGCTCGAGACAGGTAAGTCTACGCAAGGCGTCGTCGGGAGCTTCAAGACTATCGTCAAGGAGGAGGGGTGCGCTCCTCGGTCCCTTCGTCTACTGGCCTGCAACATATTAACGTCTGCGCCATAGTTTCGGCCGCTTGTACCGCGGTCTCCTCCCTCCGCTGCTCATGGAGGCCCCGAAGCGTGCCACGAAGTTGTGCGTACACGTCTCCCTCGCTCGTAGACGGGCGAACACGGTGTTTACGGTGGAGTTAGCGCGGCCAACGACTTCTGGGGGAAGCGCTTTATGACGCTCACCGGCGAGAAGAAGATGACGCAAAATCTCGCCATTGCTACTGGCTGCGCGGCTGGTGCGACCGAGAGCTTTGTGGTCGTGCCTTTCGAGCTTGTCAAGATCAAGTGCGTGAATGATGGCATTGTGGCGTGAAGTCGCTGACCGTGGGATCAGGCTGCAGGACAAGTCGAGCACATTTGCGGGTCCTATGGATGTGGTAAGACAGGTGGTCAGGAAGGAGGGTTTGCTTGGTGAGTGGAGGCCACCTTAACTAGCTACACGCGTTAATCCGGGCTCGTTAGGCCTGTACGCCGGTATGGAAGCGACAATGTGGAGGTGGGTGATATTTCCTCTCTTATTCCGGATCCTCGCGCTCACACGCTCACCAGGCACCTCTGGTGGAACGGCGGATACTTCGGCTGCATATTCCAAGTTCGGTCATTGCTCCCTAAGCCTGAGGTGCGAGCTTCCCCGTCTCTCCGCGCTGCACACGTTCTGAGCCCTTGCGTCAGACCAACAAAGCGCGCCTGTTGAATGACCTCACTGCAGGCACGGTCGGTGGTCTCGTCGGTACCGCGATCAACACGCCGTAAGTCCCCCGCTCCCCTTTCTTCTCCATGGGGAAAACTGTCTTACATCCGTCCGCAGATTCGACGTCAGTGCCCTTTCACTATCCCGAGGTCGTAAATTGACGCCTCCTCGATACCACAGGTCGTGAAGTCCCGCATCCAGGGATCAAGCAAAGTCCCCGGCGTCGTCCCCAAGTACAACTGGACCTACCCCGCGTACGCGCCTCTCCGCCCTTCCCCATCTCTGGTCAAAACAGCTAACACGTCGTTGTAGACTGGTGACGATCTTCCGCGAAGAGGGCCCCGCAGCGCTGTACAAGGGCTTCGTCCCGAAGGTGCTCCGGCTCGCGCCCGGGGGCGGTGTCCTGCTGCTCGTCGTCGAGTTCACGCTCAACATCTTCCGCCAAAGTGCGTCTCCACCCCTCCCGCGCGCTCGGCGCTCGCGTGCGGGCTTTACTCACCCATGACGTCACTCCCAGCGCTCGGGCCTCCGTACATCTGAGCCTGAGCTCGTGATGTTCCACACCGGAGTTGTAAGAAAATCGGACGTGTTCGACGTCGCTGGGGATGGTGTCGCACGTATTGCTTAGACAGCTTACTTAGCGAAGAGAACAGTGCTGGTTCGGACACGGCGGAGGTCGACGATACCGTAGTGGAGTACTGCAGGTCTGGTTGGGGCGTTGGTTAGCTTTCGACAGACGACGGTTCCGAGCAGTGTCGACCGGTGCGGACTGTGGCAACATATACATGTTGTAGAATAATATAGATGCGCAACGTGTCTTTACGCTCTACCACCGCCCCCCGCTCGCATCCCAGTAACTAGTGTCCCGCACCATCCCTCACACCTCCGGGTACATCTGGACCCGTACCCGTGTCTCCTACCGGGTAAGTCTAACGTATCTTCCTGCCGTCAGAGGCCCCATCGACGCCCAACGCACCGCGCGGCTGGCCGGCCATGAGCAGCTCGCCGAGCGCACAGATGCCCGCGGACCACACGAGCAGCAGCGAGCCGATGCAGAAGAAGCTGATCGTCTGCCCGATCTCGAGCCACGAGCCCGTGTCGGTGACGTTCAGGAAGAACGTGATCGTCATGACTGCCCGCGTCCGTGTCAGCGCTCTCATTCCGATTCCGTTTTTGAGCGCAGGAAGAGGGGGAGGGGAGGGGACTTACTGTCGGTGAGGGTGAGCGCGACGAGGACGAGGCTGAAGGGCGGGAGGTCGAGCCGCGCGTTGAGGATGGAGAAGGCCGTGGCGAGGATGATGTACGGCGCGACGATCTTGAATATCTGCGCGACGGGGCTCGCTTGAGCGGGAAGAACAAAACAAGCGGGAGGGCAGGAGACGTACGAGAAGGGCGGCCATGAGGAACGGGCTGAAGATCGGTACGAGGCGGTACACGGGCTCCAGGTAGAACGATCTGAGCAGCTAAGGTCAGCACAGCACGCACAAAGTGAGCGTGAAGCGGGTGCGAAAGTCGCTCACGAGATAGACGCGACGCTGTAAGAGCAATCATCAGTAAGCCGGTAGGTAGATTTAGTTCTGACGGTGCGCACTCACTTTCCGGTCCCGAAGAACGCCACTTGGACGAAGAACAGGAAGAACACCGCGATACGCAGGTCGTCCGCATGCGGGCGGTACGTGCTCGCATCCTTTGCGCGCTCGGCCGTCTCCACAGCTTTCGCCGCCGTTACAGGAGCATCTGTCGCCAGCGTGTATGGGCGCAAGGCAGATTCGACCTCCACCCAGAGAACGAGCGTGAGCGAGTAAGCGATGTAGAAGAGGCCCTCGGTGCTGATCGTGAGCCACACGAAGCACACCCCGAACCCGAGGAAGAAGCTCAGCAGGCGGCCGTGTGGGTTGCTCCGCGGGGCGGGATACACGAAAGGCGTCACGATCCCAGCCACTGCAAGGCGGTTAGTGACCCGCTTTGCGCCCAATACAGGGCTAAGGAGAGACGTACGGAAGGTGCACCAGCCTAAGAAGCGGTACATGCGTGGGACGGGCCATTTCTCTTGCAGGTCCCGGACGATCAATATCGTGAAGAAAAGGCTCCAGCCTATCCCAAACAGCTGCATGAACGTTTCGTTAAGACGACCGCTTACGATACGTCGGTGGATGGACGACGCACCAGCACGCACATCACAGCCCCAAAGCGGCGGCGATCGTCTATGTCAGGGTAGGGCGTAAAGAGCAGCCCTATAACCCCGATTGCGTATATGAGCAGCGAGCTGCACAATCTGGTGGGCAATGTGAATCAGCAAGCTACCTACTGAGGGACGAAGGAAGACAAGTAAGAAGCGTACATGATGGGCAAATTCTCCTTCTGGTGTACGCTGAGCAAGGGGAAGACCGCGGTGAAAAGGCAGGCTGCCATCCATCTCAACAGTAGTTGCCGATCTTTATATAGGAGCTCCCTAGGCCAAGACAAGAGCGGCCACAGTACGCCTATGACAGCAAACCAGGCGCTCCATATGGATCGATGGGTGTATCCTGCCTATGGATTGCTCAAATTATCAGCCTACAGTGCGGTACGGATCGCGATGGGCATACTTACCACCATGCTCTGCAACGCCGCTACCACAAGGGTACCACGCAACACATACCCTGCCAAGGAACCGATCCGGGCGTGCCGTATATTGTGTAGTAACGGACCACTTGCGCGCACTAAAACCTGGTCCCAGAAGTAGCACGGGAAGACGATGTAGACGTAGAACGACCACGGCGATCGTTGCTTTGAGAATAGCGCCCAGAAGGCCCCCAGTACTACCGTCGTAAGAAGGTGGAATGGGAGCGCACTCCGCCAGGATCGGGATGCTGTGGGCGGGAGGAGGATTGAAACAGCTCCGAAAGCGATCCAGCCGAGGTAGGCAGCGATGACAATGCCACGGATCATTAGGCGGTCGTATCTGAAGGAAGCGGTGAACTTGGTGCACAGCTCGTGAAAAAAGATGGAACCACTTACGTCTGCAAGTACCTCAGACCTTCTAGCGTATGCTCGATGAGCTCCTTTGCATGCAAACGCGCTTGATAGTAGTCTCCTTGTTGGATCAACCCCTCGATGACAGCTAGCTTAGCATCTCCGGGAACCTTTTCTAAAACCTCGCCGGCTGCAAAGAAGGGATATTGCTTGTAGAACAGCGAATGCGTGCTCTTCTCGTCATGCTTTATGCGGTAGTGCTCAAGTATGGCCTGCAAACGGCCTTAGATCAAGCCGTTTTACTGCAGTGGCGGCTTGCTTACCTTGGCATTGACGAGAGCCGCTGCAGCTTGCGTCTTCTCTCCCTCCCTGGGAAGAAGGTACCCAGGCTTCGTCGGGTCTACGTCGGGAAGGACGCCAACTGAGTTGACCGGCAAGTTGACCCCGATGAGAGTAGACATAAGTGCAGCGACGTCGGCCTGCTCAACATCCCGCCGTACGAGATGCGACAGTCCCCATGGCTTTGAATACTCATCATGCGAAGACGGGATGCTGTCGGGGAGCGGCCCACGAACGCCTTTGCCCCATGCGATCAGTGGCGTACGCGTGTTGTCTGGATCTGAGTGCAGCAGCTTAGTTGAGGGAAGGCTTTCGTGTGACGAGAGCGACGCAGACCTTACCGCCGTCGCCGTGATTCCCAATCTGGGACATGCCGTGGTCTGCAGTGAATACGAACGCGGTTTCGTGATCTGCGTAGAATTCACGGAAGAGCTCCTCCGTCTTGTTGACAATCCCGTCGACGACTTGGATGTTGGCCATGTATTCCTGTACGAAGCGCGTGTCAACGAGCACTCCTTCAGCGGCGAAAAGGTGATGCAACCTTCGAATGTGGTCGGTAGGAGTGGCCCGTCGTGTCCAAGCCTAGGAGATGCAAAAAGAAGACGGTCTTGTCTCCTCTCAGGCGGTCGTTCAATTGTGGATCGATAGTGGCATTATGGAAGAGAGCAGTTAGGTGGTCCAGCACCCAAAGATCCAGGGCCGTCGCATCTGCATGGGGTCTTAAGCCGGGTGAGCAGGGGAGCAGCGTGCTACTGACCTTTTGTGAAGTCTTCCTCGTCTTCGTCATAGCACCACATCTTCACTTTCCCGGGGGTTGCACCGCGCGCAAACATAGGCAGTATGTCAGGAGATCCGAATGAATACGTCGTACTAGATTGGTTGAACACGGAGTCAAAGTCGACCTAGGACCATCTGATCAGAGCATGACCCAGCTTGTAGTGAGGAAATATTCACAGGATTCGTCTTCCATCCCTGGTGGAGGCGGGCGTTACAGCGTGATAATGATATATCTGTTGCACTGCACGTACCTTCGTCACTGCAGACACGTCCTCGTACATCCCACCTATCCTACAGTTCGGCATGCAAGTTGCAGTCAAGATAGTGGATGCACATACCAATGAGTGCGACATGGCCGGGTCTACTCTCCGTGGGCACGCGTGTATGGGAGATGCCAAACGCGCCCCTCGTCTCGACAATGGACCTCAAGTGTGGAGCAATTGTTTCAGGAGAGTCAGGAATCATGGAAAAGCCATTCTTCGCGAGAAGGAGGTCTGCCCGCAGACCATCACCTGGGGAACTTGGTTACTCTGCTGCGAACTAAACATCTTTACTGAGCACACACCTACGATGAGCACTAGCCGCTTGGCTTCCGCCCTCTCGATGGAGTGTTGTCGCATGCCATGGACCACGGGGCTGGTGAAGTAGCAGTCGAAGACCGTTCCGATGTAGACAAGATGGAATACCAGACCGATGAGTAGGAGCCGCCAAACCGAGCCGGTCACTGCCATTATCGTGGAATGAATGGGTATATTCGTTCAAGTGTTCATGTGCGCTCTGCCTGCCAGTTGTATGTATGCGCCGCCGTATGATGACGACTGCGAGGCGAGAAGATGGGAGAGAGATGCAAACAGACTCATGCAGGCGCTGCTACAGTGGGCGCGTGGCACGTTGGTGACACGCGTGTGCCGGTTGACTCTCGACCACCATGATCCGCCGAATATCTGCCATGCGACGTCTCATCTTTCGACGACTAGCAGCCTACCGTAACCCCAGCCTGCCCCTGCGCACCCCCGCCCACCTCTGGGTACCTCGGGGTTGCTCCTGACCCGCTTCTGATTCGTGCACATTGGCTTCGCCGAAGATCTGAATCGTTAGGTCACACTCTCGTTCAGCAGACATCGTTGCGCTGCACAGCGGGCCGCCGGCTGTGTTCACCTTTCCTCGTGATGGCGCCGAGACTGGAGGTATAAAGGGGCTGGATAGGGTGTCTTCAAGGGATCAAACTCGACCATGCTCTTCTGGCTGCTCCTGGGTTTGCATGCGCTAGTTGCCGTCCGGGCCTCCGCACCTGCTGGGCCCTGGGACGCTTTCAACTTCGCCCCGAAAAGCCGAACGGTATATCCCACCGCGGTCAAGGTCACCCATGGTGGAGTGCGGAATGCGAACGCTCTAGTAACGAAGGGTGCGGCCACCCTATCCGGGAACGGCTCCTGGCTAGCTCTTGACTTCGGTGTCGAGGTAAGCCTCCAAGGTGCCGTTTCTCGATGGTTCATGTTGCTCAAAACACTTCTAGGTTGGAGGTCTCGTATCCCTCAACTTCGGCAAGGTCACGTCTCGGTCATCAATAGCCCTATCGTTCACGGAATCGCCTATGTTCATCAGCCCTCTCACGTCAGATGATTCGTCCTATCCCTCTGCGAATATGTCCTTCGACGGTGTTCTTCACGTCCCCGCACCTTTGCCGACTGGCTTCTGGACCCAACCTGCTGCGATGTTGAGAGGAGGGTATCGTTACTTAACGATTGTCTCGACTTCCGATGAACCGGTGACTCTGTCTAACGTCTCCTGCGCCATTTCATTTGCCCCGCACTTCGCGAATCTGCGCGACTATAGCGGCTACTTCTTTGCTTCGGACCCGGAGTTCCACGACAAGAATTTCTTGACGAAGGTAGATTGTTCGCATTGCATGACGGTTACAATACTCACTCCTTGGAAGCTCTGGTACGCAGGGGCGTACACTGTGCAGACAAACACGGTTCCGCTGAACACCGGCCGCCAAGTGCCTTTCGTACAATCTCCAGGTAGGAGCCTTCCGTGGTTGATGGATCCCTGCCAACATTTAACGCCTCTGCAGGTTGGCTGAACAACGCGACCCTTGGTGTCACGGGCCCGATAATCGTCGACGGAGCTAAGCGCGACAGAGCCGTCTGGCCAGGTAATGTTGAAAGGGACTTCTCTCGTTCCGACACTGTACTGATACATATTGCAAGGCGACATGGGTATCGCGGTTCCTACGCAGTTCGTATCTACCAACGACCTGATCCCTACGCGCAACGCCCTGTCTACAATGTTCGCTGCGATCGACCCCGTCACCGGCGCACTGCCCGAGTCCGGGCCTCCCCTCAGCCAGCTCGGAAGCGACACGTACCACGCGTGGACATTGATTGGCACCCACAACTACTACCTCTACTCCGGAGATGTCGACTGGCTGCAGACCGCGTGGGCAAACTATACGAAAGCGGTCGCGTTCCTCGAGGGCAAGGTTGACTCGTCCGGGCTGATGAACGTGACCGGTCTGCGCGATTGGGCGCGCCTGGGCGGTGGCGGCCACAATTCGGAAGGCAACGCGCTGCTGTTCCAGGTGCTGGTAACTGCGGCGGACCTTGCCTCGCATGTGAACGCAACTTCGCTCTCGTCCGCCTGGAGCGCGAACGCGACGGCGCTGAAACAGCGGTTCAACGAGGTGTTCTGGCTGCCAAGCGCCGGATTGTACCGCGACAACGACACGACCACGCTCTGCCCCCAGGACGCGAACTCGATGGCGGTGCTGTTCAACCTCACTGCTACGCCGGAGCAGGTGGCGTCCGTCAGCGAGGGCTTGACGAAAAACTGGAACGAGCTGGGGCCGGTCGCGCCCGAGCTCCCGGACACGATCTCCCCGTTCATCAGCGGTCTGGAGGTGAGCAAGTCCGTATGGCGCAATCCGAGGCAGCGCACCTGACGGTCTATTGATAGCTACAAGCGCACTTCGCGGCAGGCAATGATGCACGCGCGATGGACCTCCTCCAGCGCGAGTGGGGCTACATGCTGTACACGAACCTCAGCGTGCAGTCGACTCTGCTCGAAGGCTTCACCGCGAACGGATCCCTCTCGTACGTCGTCCCCCAACCTACGTGTCCCTGCGTTTGTTGACATCTGGACCTTGCAGTTATCGCAGCTACCGCGGGTACAATTACGACCCCTCCTACACCAGCCACGCGCACGGCTGGAGCTCCGGGCCCACCTCCGCGCTGACATACTACGTGCTCGGGCTCACCGTCACCTCGCCGCAAGGCAGGACGTGGTCCGTCGCACCGCACACCTCCGGGCTCAGCGCTGCCGAGGGCGGTTTCACGACGCCTCTTGGGTGGTACGGGGTGAAGTGGGCCCTGAAGAACGGTTCGTTCGCGCTGAACATCGATGTGCCTGAGGGGACGACCGGGTCTGTCAAATTGCCGTTCGCCGGCCAGGTCCTGGTGAACGGAAAAGCTGCCCAGGTGGAAGAGGGTGACGCGCTGCAGTTGGGCGGCGGAAAACATGCGGTGCTGGTATCAAAGTGACGCCTTTGTATTTGATGTGCGGTTAACGAAGCAGATTTCTTCGTATCCTGGGCATGTACTGGAATTGAAGTGGATGACCAGCGTTCAGCACAGGGCGTGTATCGTAATTGGTGGGATGCCATGATGCATGGTGAGAATATCTGTCTCATCTTGTGTGACGCACAATGACTAGGGCCTCAGGCACACTGTTACCTCCCCGCAACACCACGTCCGGGCTCAACGCAATGGCGGAGCTTCGCGATGTCGTGCATTTGATAGGTGGTATGTTGCATCTCAAACTCATCAGCGCCTGCTTCGCTTTCCACCCCGCCGTTCCAAGTCCTTCAATCGTCTTGATCAGGAGCCTCCCAGATGCGTCCAGAGATGCCAACTCTGGGTCTTTCCTGACCACAAGGCCGCGAGACATCCCCGCGTGGCTCAGGTGCGAAAATGAACACGTTCATCACCGGCGGCGCGCTCGGCCATGATCATCTTGAAGCCGCGGTACCAAGTGAGTTTGGGACATGATCCCGAATCCCGGTACTATTGACGCGGAGCGATGGCGATGACGTCGCCTTCATCGTAGAATCCAGATGAGGGCCAATATTCGTAACTTCGCGAGTGCCCACTAGCGTTGTTGAAAATGAAGCACCTGCAGTATAGTTTCCACATCACGGCACGCGTGTCATACTGAAGGTGCTGCTTGCCGGCATGCAGAACCATCTCATATAACATCAATAATGCCTCGGTGTCAATGTATATATGTTCGCTGGATGCGCATCGCTTAAAAGCCTTCCAACAAGCGACAGTCGTCCTCGATTGACAACCCTGTCTGGATTCATCCACGCTGCGACTCGGCAACCTAGACTCAAACTGCGAAGAAAATGTCATCGTCGGGCTCTGCTATCACGGCACAAGTGATCGCCACATATCAGGAATTGTAAGCCTGCGCACTTCAATGCAGGCCATTGCAGGGTTCTACTAACGATCACACAACTGTGCAGGACAACGGTTATCACGCTCAACATTGTTGTCACGGGTACACATCTTCACATTCCCTCTCCTTCCGCTGGACAGTGCTCACTCAGTGTGATCGATAGCACTGCTCCTGTACGACGTCATTCTCACCTCAGGGAGAGAATATCAGTACATTTGGCGATCACCAAAGTCCTGGGTTTCACGAGTCCTGTATATGTGGAACAGATACATGTTCCTGTTCAATCTTCTCGTGAACCTCGGGACCATTCCGGCGATATCGGTCACCGTGAGTCCGAATCTCATGCCCCTTCCGTGCAGATTCGAATCCTAACGAACTATACGTCTACAGAGGTAGATATTTTCTGTTAAGCCCTTCATGGCATGCGCTTTCTGAAGCCGGGCTTGCTGGAAGCTGCAATACACTCATGTGGCTGGCCGAAGCCCTACTGATCCTGAATCTTATTGGACCTGCTAGTGAGTACGTATGCTACTCGCAACGACCATACTAGCTGACGAGACATACCAGTGTTCACCACCATGAGAATTTATGCGCTCTCAAGGAAGAACAGGGTCCTGGGCGGGGTGGCCCTGGTGCTAAGCATGACGCCGTTTATCATCAATGCGGTTGGCACCCTGCTAGTGTCATTCATCTGCCATGCACTTGCTCATGTGTGCAACCACAGATCACGGCATACCAGAAACCTCCCGTCTATCTTCCTGCGCCGCTGAACTGCGCTCAGACCGACACAGCCAGCCGGAACCTCAGCATTGGGTGAGCTTTCTTCCCGTCAATCATGCCCCGGAGTGATATGTGCATTACGCTCACCCGTGAATGCTCCCAGATGTGAGTACGATGGTTCCTGTGCAAGAGGCAGCTGTTGACCTACTCGGACAGTGACCGTTGCCTCGAGAGGCTCTCTGATTCTCGTGGACTCACTGGCCGCCGCCGTGACATGGCGCCAAACACGTGTGGCGCTCCAGCTGAGGACCGGTACTGTAAAACGGCCTTCGCTTGAACAGGTGATGTGGGAAAACGGTAGGCTCCACGCGATACTTGAAAACGTCCAGGTCGCCTATTGATGTGCAACTCCGTGGCTGGTATACAGGAGCTGTGTATTTCTGGTTCGTGACGAGTCGGATGAGCGCTGCAGCTGGTAATCTGACAAGCTTGTATGCACTGGCAGCGTACTAGCTTCCACGAATATAGTGGATCTGGTGCTTGTTCTGGTTTCCGTGAGTGTCCCACTCGGATTGGTATACACATGATAATCTTCAGTTCCCGCTGCAGATCGCCCTACCGCCACTGAACGAGCAGTCCTCGTATGTGTTGTACTTCGTAGACCCGTAAGACTATCTTCCTCGTTATATCGGACATCACCATTACAAAATCTCACGACGGAACTTCCCTACAGTATTTCCTCCATCTTGAATAGCCGCTTCCTGCTCGCCCTCCACGAGACGAACGCGCGGCTCGAAGGGGCAGGGGATGCATCCATATCCTCGCTCTCCCTCAACACCGGTAGTGGCGACAACTGGCGGGGAGACTCGCCTGACCTCCCGGAATTCCTCGGCGTTATCGGCGGCTCAATCCACTCGTTCCACGACGAGAACGAAGACCTGCGATCCCTGGAATTCGCGCCGCCGCAGGAGGAGGATCAGTCCGAGTCGGAAGGAGCGATTCAGGAGATTAGAAGAGAAGGAGTAGATGTGGCCTGATACATTTATTTGCCTTTCTCTTTCTGCTGTACCCGCTCCCATGGTGGTCAATCTGTGCTCATCGACATGATCTATACTTGATTCGTATATGCATGCGTCTAACTTGGGCGATGCGGCGCTAGCAAGTCTCTGTATGTTACTAGGACTGTCTGATATGAGTACTTTGGACTGCTCGGATATCTCGTCTACACTGTGTACTTTGGTTTCGTCCAAAGTTCCTAGCGCGTAAGCAGATTACGAGACGTCCGGCTCGTCAAAGACCATAATAGTCTAGGAAATGCGCACGCGGTAGGCGCTTTTATGAATGTTAATTGAACATGCATATACATGTATATGCTCGAGCATGAACTTAGCACACCATTGGCATGCACTGCGCTGACGGGGCGCAAGGCGCGCGAAGTTCACAAGAGCGATAGCGTGACCTACGTATACATCATCCCCCGCACCTTCTCATCGCCCGTGACCTCCTTGATCGGGAACGTCCTGTCTGCGAGGGAAATGTACGGCGGTCGTGGGCGCACGCGGCACACAGGTTGTGCGGTGCGAGACTTCCAGGGGTTCACTGTGGGAAGGATTGACGCCTCTAAGAGGTGTTTGGAACACCTTCGCCTCCAGAATAGGTGTTCCGAACACCTAAAAGGCGCACACCTCTAATAATTGTATAATATAAGTCGGTGTTTGGAACACCTCTATTCACCGTCTGTCCGAGCAGGTGTTCTGCACACCTATAATATATTCATTTTTAACGGTGTTCTCCACAGCGACAGCACCAAGAGGTGTTCTCCACAGCTCTTCACACTACCGGCGTTAAACCTACAGTCCATGCAAATACTAGATCAATTTCTCGTCGCCTTCAGAACCAACAATGTTGCGTCCATGCGCGCGCCTATCCTCCTTTGCATATGCGCACTCTCCGCGCTCCTGCAACGCAAAATGAGTCTTGGCGGCTTGGTGACAGACTAGTCTGGTACACTATATGCGCGCTCTTCGGAACCTAGACCGACACGGCGACGGGGATTATCGATTATGGGCCCATTGGCATCAATCGTTAGCGCGACGACGTGACACTGATTGCGGAAGTCGTCTCTTTTGACTGGCCGCAGCTTCAAAGAGCCGTACTACAGTCCTCCTCAGTCCCACACATGCGAGAGTTGCGTGGACCGAGGTGGTCTCTCTTGGGTGCAGACATAGCTCCTCATCGCCTTCAAAACCTCTAAAACGATATTGCTCACCTGCGAAACCTGGAGCTATGACATGGCCGGCGCGAGCACGGCCCAAACATGTCATCCCATGCTGCTACGCCGTGTCACCCTCTTGGTGCGCCGCATGCGCCACCCGTCGCAGTGTTGAGTGCAAAAACACCGCTTATCTCGGGTTTGCGTGAACAAGCAGATTCCTGACTTACCAGAACATAGCCTGATGCCCCGCTCGAGTGTGAAGCCAATGCCGCAATGTACCGTATACGAGTCATACGGCTCTATTGCCATGGGCGCCGCGCCAGGTCTGCTTCCATGGGCAAGTCGTACGTGTTTGTCTTGCGTAACGGGTCCCAGAGAGACAGCAAAATAGAGATACACAAGGGGCCAGAGAGAGCAAGAAGGGGAGAAGAGCGCGACGGGCTGAGACTCATACAGAGAGGGCCAAACGGGCGTCTATTCTTATTTCCATATGAGGAAGGAAAGTGCAATGACGTCATTAGCGACTTGGCGTAAATGCTCCCTCCCGGTCGTCTTGCATCTTGACCTCGAACCACGATGATCCCTCTGCGCGCTGTGCTTGTCCGCTATGAAACTTAGGTCTCAGGCTCTGACCACTAGCTGCCTTGAACTACCCTCCAGGTAGCTTACTTAGTTACGAGCTATGGGTCTGCATGCTGAGCGTCGCGATGCGGGGACGGCACACAGTGAGTGAGTGAGTGTATGCATCGATATATGCTCCTGGTGTCCTGGTCGTACTTGTGCTTGCGTTTTGTTTGCAACTGTTCTTTTCTGGTCTCCTAGGCGCGTCTTTATCCTCTCTCTGCGTATTCGCTCTACTGACCCTGCCATTATAGTATCTACGCAACCGGGTCCTCCAGAATATGGCGCCCTGTCTCACAACGCCTACCAAGCTCCGCTTCCTTCACACGACAACCCCCTTCCCTCTGTGCTCATGCCTCTGCGCCTGACCTGCTATCCGCCCTTCCTCACGCTGCTGAAGCTCTGCATACTCGCCGTTGTCTTGGTGCTTCTACTACGTTTCATTCTCCTCTCCCTCAATCTGTAGCTCGTGCTTCATCAACCCCGTTGAGTCCTATACGGCGATAACGTCTGGAAGGTCACTTCAAACATGCCCTTATAGGTGCGGTCTCGCGTCTCTCTGTCAAGGCTTGGTACAATGCAGAGATAGGGAACAGAAGGCAAGAGATGAGGGTTGTGCGACGAGGGAGTTTAGCACGGGCAGTAAGTCGCATTCAGTCGCATTCACGGTCCACGCTGAACAGGTTGTACTTACTCGCGTTCTCGCGGTCTTGGCACTCGTGTCGCGTGCGTTCGCGTGCTTGTGTCACTCGCAGTCGCGTCGCGTCGGTATTCAGTTACGCGCGGTCGCAGCGCTCATGTCGCGTGCGGTTGCGGCGGCCGTGTTGCCCTTGGTCGCGCTCGAGCGTCAGTCCGCACCACGCTCGCTCCAGTCCGCCTGCGAGGCGGGATATGCATGTAAAGGGTCGGTATGTATATGTAGCAGTATAAAATCATAATTGGCAAATATATACAGCGTGCATGACAGCGGTCGCGAGCGTTTCAAACATGTCAATGCACTGTAGTTGACAATGTATTCGACGGTTGGAAACACCTTGCACAGCTGTTTAGAACACCTCGCTCAGTAGCGTCCGAAACACCTGCAAAAATTGTGGCACCAGGTGTTGTACACATCGGGAGCAAGTGTGCAAAACACCTAAACATGCACACATGAGGTGTTCTGCACAGTGCTTCTCGACACCGCTCGAAAATGTCCGGAACACCTCTTTTGGCCGTTCTTCCGCGCCTGTGCCCAACACCTCTAAAAAATGTGGATCCTTCCCACAGTGGGTTGACGGCGACTTCTGCAATGCCAATGAGCGTGCTGATACTGCGCCCTACTACGCTGCCTGTCAACAATCACCTAGACTCGCTCGAGATAATATTGGCGTTTCAGATTCGGCATCCTTGAGTCGCCTTGACGGCTAGCAGCGACAGGTACTGCGGTGCGCTGCGCGTTTCTCCAACGTCCGCGCCGCGCCGTTGTCGGGTACCCGGACACGGGATACGGCCAGCACAGTGAATCGTCCCTGTAACCGTATACAAGGATTCTACGACATGTGGACTTCTCCCCGGTCGGAAGTCGAGGGCGTCGGCAGGGACGGGATGTCTGTGCGGCACTGAAAACGTTCCCTCGTGCTGTGGTCGGCCACTGCACCGTGACACACGCACCGGTGCTCCAGCAGCTTCCTGACCATTGGACTGGCCTGTGAGCGAAGAGACCTGTGCATTGAACGCGAACCGTGCGCGTACCAGTGGTAACTTATGGCTCCACCGCGACTGTAGAGAAAAGTGAACCCCCTGCGCCATCGCTTCGTACGTGCTCGTAGCAGTGCATGCGCTCAAAATCTGCGCAGCGTGGCTGACTACCTCAAGAAGGCCGAGAGGCGGCTGCGCGAGGAGGACCATGTCGAGCAATACGTGAACACGAACACGCGCAAAGCACTCATCCAAAAGTGCCAGCAAGTCCCCATCCGCCAGCACGCAAAGCTCATGTGGGAGAACTCCTAACAACTGCTCGACTACATCACGGACGAGGACTGGCAGCGGATGTACGCGCTCCTCTCGTACATCTCAGAGGGCCTCGAGCCCTTGGGCAAGAAGTTCGGACAAACCGTACAGGGCCGTCGCGAGGATGCGTCTGCATGTTCTTCTGGCACCTTCGCACGGCTATGCAGCGCAAGTGCGCACGTCCGACGGCTACGTGGTCTTCTCTCGCTCCGCGGCAAGGTGCTGTGGACCCATGAGGTGGCAGGCGCGCGTATTTGTGCCCGTTCGGCTCGCAGCGTTGGATGCGCACACGTGCAGCCGCAGATGGAACACTCGAAACACATACCAGTGGGTAGAACGGGATGATAATAGCGTACCTCGGGTAATCCATGATGCAGATACATATGCATGATGTAAGTGGTCGTCCTTCAAGTTCCGAACAAGAACGAGTCCGCGGCCGGCGAAAGGCGTATTTTATTGGCGAGTAGGAAGTGAGCCGGACTGAGAATAGTCATGGCGGTGGAGACATTGAGTGTGCAGTCACAGGAGACTGAAGAATGAGTCGCTCGGTGGGAAGCCGTGGCGCAAAGGCGGCGGAAAGCGGATTGGAGGCCGCGAGAGCAGAGACTGACAGTGGGCGAGGAGTCAAGCTCCCTGCGCGGAATAAGGACCAGAGAGCCAGAGATCAGTTGGGTCAGACGCCGTGTCTAGAGCCCACCTGAGAGTGACAGTAAGTACTTGAGAGAGTCTGAGAGTGAGTGAACCTGAGCGTGTTCGTCGACGTTAGCTTCCAGCTGGCCGGTCCGTTCTTCTCGGAGCGCCGGCGGCAACGCCCGGACTCTGCACCAGGCTCTGAACCGTCGATGGATTGATGATGTTTTCCTGTCTTCCTCTCCCATTGCCTTTCAAAGGCCATATGCATCATTATTCACAACTCGGAAGGCAACGCGCTGCTGTTCCAGGTGCTGGTAACTGCGGCGGACCTTGCCTCCCATGTGAACGCGACATCGCTGTCATCTGCGTGGAGCGCGAATGCGACGGCGCTGAAACAGCGGTTCAACGAGGTGTTCTGGCTGCCGAGTGCCAGATTGTACCGCGACAACGACACGACCACGCTCTGCCCCCAGGACGCGAACTCGATGGCGGTGCTGTTCAACCTCACCGCTACGCCGGAGCAGGTGGCGTCCGTCAGCGAGGGCTTGTCGAAAAACTGGAGCGATCTGGGGCCGGTCGCGCCCGAGCTTCCGGACACAATCTCCCCGTTCATCAGCGGTCTGGAGGTAAGCAAATGCGTACGTCACAGTCTGAGAAAGCGCGCCTGAAGGGCTATTGATAGCTGCAAGCGCACTTCGCGTCGGGCAACGATGCACGCGCGATGGACCTGCTCCGGCGCGAGTGGGGCTACATGCTGTACACGAACCTCAGCGTGCAGTCGACTCTGCTCGAAGGCTTCACTGCGAACGGATCCCTCTCGTACGCCGTAGCCCGCCCCTTCGTGTCCCCGTGTTTGCTAATCTGCAGCCTCGTAGGTACCGAAGCTACCGCGGCTACAACTACGACCCCTCCTACACCAGCCACGCGCACGGCTGGAGCTCCGGGCCCACCTCCGCGCTGACGTACTACGTGCTCGGGCTCACCGTCACCTCGCCGCAAGGCCGCACTTGGTCCGTCGCACCGCACACCTCTGGGCTCAGCGCGGTCGAGGGCGGCTTCACGACGCCCCTTGGGTGGTTCGGGGTGAAGTGGGCGCTGAAGGACCGTTCGTTCGCGCTGAACATCGATGTGCCTGAGGGGACGACCGGGGCTGTGAAGTTGGCGTTCGCCGGCAAGGTCCTGGTGAACGGAAAGGCTGCCCAGGCGGATGAGGGTGATACGTTGTAGTTGGGTGGTGGACCGCACTCGGTCCTAGTATCGAAGTAACGTCTTTGTATTTGATCAACGAAGCAGGTTCTTTTGTAGCCTGCGGATTTACTGAAACGGAAGGGGAGGTGTATTGCAATCGGTGAATTGTAAGGATGCGGTGAGGGTTCCTACATCTTATCGCATGCACCCCGACGACTGCAGGAGATTAGCACATGTATGAAAGGTTTAGCATGCATCTACTACAAGCCGAGGCTCAGATGGTACGTGCATCTTAAATGCGGTAGCAGCTGCTTTACTCACCACACTGCCGTTGAAGGTTCCGTTCCCTGCAGCGCGTCTGCATCAGGAACCTGCCATGTGCGATTGCCAGCACAAACCGCTTCTGAGCCCTGCTATCATAGAACCGCGAGGAATGGAGTACGTTCCTAACACTTGGAACATCGACATCTACTGACCTCGAGCACCGAAGGGCGACCTCACTGATCAGCTGCAGGCAGGCCCGCCGCCCAGATCGTTTGCCATTTAGCATCCTCGTTCTACGATGGGAATGCCGAGTCTCGGCTGGCGAACGTACGTACGCTGTGCACCAGGACAGAATGCACATGCACTGGTCGATATACCGACCAGTGAAGCGCGAATCAAACTAGCGATCAGCCACGCCCTGGCACAACGATACCTGCGGGAGGGGAGGTTCGACATACCGAGCGGGAATTCTAGACTGCAAGCAAGCACGCTATGTCGAGGCGATGGCGCTCTGATTTCTGCCTCAGCTATGGAGATATGTGAAGTCTGGGCCGTACAGGACCGCTGTCGTCCCAGTAGAAATTGCAGAGGTACCGGATCGGATCAATCTCACCGCCGCTTTCCATCTCCTGCAGTCCGCTAGCTTACGTCTCACTGCAGGACATTGAGTCCTCTGCAGCCAGTTCAATCTTCGGCGACGAGCTTGGTGCGTTCGTGTTTGCAGCGCAGAGTCTAAGTCCCCATCTCCGAGTCTCAGCGCGGACGGAACCCCATGCGGCACACCCACACTCCGGAGTCCGCGCTTATCTTCTCTGTTGAAAGGCTTCAATTTCTTCCGCCTCCTGATATCTCCTTTTGTCTCGCTAATTCATGGCTTCCTTGCGCAGTTTCTGGATATATTTACACCAGCCACGCGCTCGGCCGGAGTTCTCTGTCCATATCCACATTGACCGGGGACTTACTACATCCCCGAGCGCAGCATCGCATCTGCGCCAAACTACCTCAGGGCTCAGCGCAGCGTCCGAAGGCAGATTCGCGAAGCCTTGTATTTGAAAGATGGTATGTCCGTCTTAATGGCAACAGCGCCTCTTTCGCTCACCCCGACGCCGTCCTAGGTTCCCCTCAAAATTCCTATGGCACATTTTCTGGGCCAGCAACCTCGAGGATGCGTTATTAGATGCTAATTTTGGGATACACTTCTTTCACAGGGTCTCCAGGCATGTGCGAGCATCTTGCATATCCCGAGGCAGTAGACGCATAAGTCACCTGCTAGCCCCGCGCTCGGTGAGACGTTGTGATGTGATCATCTAGTCGAAGCCGCGGTAAGTTTGTCGCAACATAGCTTCCTGCGAAGTGACGTAAATTCACCCACCGTACCGCGGAGACAGTGCGTTACCGCCCTCTCGCTCTGTAGATAGGATTCCACCGTGTGCGTACCGCGTAAATTTGTGAATGACGACTCGTTGCTGACGAGCGATGCGTAGCATAACGAGAGTACAGCTGACTGGCAGCTATGTTAAGCACATTGATAATGCATTGGTTCGAAGATCCGCCCGCTAGAGCAGCATTCCTTAAATGCGACCTGCAAGCAACATCGCTCACGACTCCAAGTCCGGACTCTGATCTTATCTGCGCTGTGACTCGTCGCCTTAGACCCAGACTACGAAATCATGGCAGCGTCGCTGAGCTCTGCTGTCACTGCTCAGTATATTGCCGAGGTCCAGGGGTTGTGAGTCTGCGTACACCGATGCAATCTACTGCGGATGCAGCTAACGGTACTGCTGTGCAGGACAACGAACCTCTCGTGTGGAATTGCAACCACAGGTATCTATCAAAGCGAAATGCCCTCGCATTCTGCTCTGTATGGAAACTGCTTACCTGTGACCGATAGCGCTGCTGTTGTACGACGTCATTCTCACCTCAGGCAGGGAATACCAGTACATCTGGCGATCAAAGAAGTCCTGGGTATCTCGAGGCCTATATGTATGGAACAGGTACATGTACTTGTTGTATCTTCTCATGAATCTTGGGACCATTCCGCCAATATCGGACATAGTGAGTACGAATTTCATGCCCTTGCTCACAGATTGAACTAAAACCATACGTCTGCAGAGGTGGATGCATGTCCTCATGCTTACATTGCAAACTCTCTCTGATGTTGGGCTTGCTGGAAGCTGTGCCTCACTCGCCTGGATCGCCTATGTCCTAGACGTCCTGAGTCTGATTGGACCTGCCAGTGAGTTTGTAAGCTACTCCCTCTGGCCATACTCACTGACGAGACATACTAGTGTTCACTACCCTGCGGATATACGCGCTCTCAAGAAATAGCAAGATCCTAGGTGGTGCGGCACTACTACTAAGCATGGTGCCCTTCGTGGTCAACGCGGTCAGTTCCGTCCTATATACTGCCACGCACTTTCTGATATGTTCAACCACAGAGCACCGCATACCTGAAGTTACCAATCAATCTCCCCGCACCGTTGAACTGCCAGTACGCAAACGCTGCGAGCACGGGCCTCAGCATTGGGTGGGACTTCTTCCTCCGTTTGTCTTCAGGAAATACGTGCATTGCGCTCATCTGTTAATATGGCAGATGTTAGTGTGGCAACCCCTAGCGAATGGACAGCTATTGACCTACCTGGACAGTGGTCGTGGCCTCTAGGGGCTGTCTGATTCTTGTGGACTCCCTGGCGGTTGTTGTCACCTGGAGCCAAACACGTGCAGCGATTAAGCTAAGGGCAGGTACTTTGAAGCATCCTTCCCTCCAACAAGTGATGTGGGAAAATGGTAGGTTCGCATGACACTCTAAACATGCACGGGTTGCGCGCTGATCGAAAACTCCTTTTTTCTTACGCAGGGACTGTCTACTTTTGGTCCGTTCCACAGCGATGGTGAAATGCAACTAGTTTTCTGACGAACTGATGTGCAGCATACTGGTTTCCATGAATGTGGTGGACATGGTGCTGGTTCTACTATCTGTATGTGCTACGCTTAAACATGCTGTACATGTACTGACCTTCTTCATCACCCTTTCAAGATTGCCATAGAATTGGAAGGGGTATCCTCGTACGTTATCTTATTCATCGACCCGTAAGGCACTTCCTTTTGTTGCGTCTATCGCAACCGTTGACCCTTTCGACGGACTCGGAACACCACAGAATATCCTCCGTCTTGAACAGTCGCTTCTTGCTCGCTATCCACGAGACGAACGCGCGGCTGGAAGGGGCAGCGGATACCTCCATATCCTCTCTCTCTCTACACACCGGTAGGGGGGGCACCGCGCAGGCAGGCTCACCTGAGCTCCCGGATTTCCTCGGCATCATCGGGGGCTCTTTCCGCTCGTTCCATGACGACAACGAGGACCTGCAATCGCTTGAATTTGCGCCGCCGCAGGATGAGGAGCATCAGTCCGAGCCGGAAGGAGATATTCAGGAGATTAGGAGGGACGGAGAGTATATGGCCTGACACGGGCGTTTGCATTTCGCTTTATCCTGCATCTCCTCCCTTGACGGCCGTTTATCCGCTTATTGACATGCTCTGTTGATTCGTATATGTATGCGCCAAACTTGAGCGATGCACCCCTTTACCTCTGTATGTTATAGCTAGGAGGTCTGATGTGTATCTTGGACTACTCGTCTATCTAGTCCATACCTTGCGTGCTTTGTTCGGCCGTCCTATGTTTCAGGCTGATGAGGAGCGAGGTCACGGACCCCCGCACACCCGGCTTTCGATGCGACCACCACCTCAAGAGCCGTAGCAATTCATTTGCACACCTAGCAGGCTTTTTGACGAAGGTTTAGAGATGTATTCAGATGTTAATATGCTCGAACATGTAGCACACCATACATGCGACGGCGCTGAAGCAACCTGTACATCCATCATGTCTGCGGATCCTGCGCTAGCCCATCCGTGTCTTCGCTGGCGATTTCTTTGACCGAGGCCCATACTTCCGGGCGGTAAAGAGGTGGCACGCTCAACGCTGCTTGCTGCTGACCACCCGAGCTCACGCGAGGCGACGTAACGTCCCAAATTCATTTCACCTTGCCGGCCAGCAGCCACGGAGTCAAGAGCTCCTCCGAATGGCAGGGGTGGCACCGAACTAGATCCGGGCGGAGAGTCTGGTATCTTCACCTCCGCAGAGGATATGTCGGCAGATGCTGTGGGTGCAGCGACACGTCGCCGGGGCGTACTGAGCAATCGCACACCATGTTGAATGGGGCTTCTCGCTTGTTGAGTGTGTCAGCCAAGGCGAGACGTGCGTGCCGCGCCAATCCTACTGCTGCACCGTTCGTATCGACCATTGCACACGTCTGACTTAGGTCAGAGGGAAGGGTCCTACGCACAATGGCCGATGAGCAACGGAATTCTGCGCAATCAACACTGGTCATGCGCATACCAATCTCAGTGTCGACGGTTCTCATGCGACTGCAAGAGGGAAATGGTACCACCTGCGTCGTCGCTTCCGACTTCGTGATACCGCTCGCCGTGCTCGTAGCTCTGAAACGGCGGTGTCGACGTCCTATCGTCTCTGGATTGCCTCGCTTTGATGTCGACGACCAGCGTGGTACGACGCTCGCAGTTTGTGTGTCTGCCCCTACGAGGCAATCTCTACGAGGTGCGCGGACACATTAGTGTTCCTTCGTGGCCCGACGGACGCCCGCTGCGTGCCCCGCATCCGCCCGCCCAGCTGGTGCCGTCTTGACGCGCGTTCGAACTCTGGGACTCCGGGGGCATGCGTGCGATACGTTCATGCACTCGCTCTGTGAGCTGCAAAGAGAGACCTGATAAGCAATGGGGTTACGACGTATCCCCGACGCCTGCTCATGCACACGTCCAGTATCTGTGCAACACAATGCTATCGTTATGCGACTGCGTACTCGACACCTCCTCACGGCAAGGCAGCGCGCACGCGTACGCGCACGTCCGACAGCACAGGGAGACTCCCTTTCCACATCCTGGAGTTGACGGGCCGTAGGGCGGCAGGCGCGGCCGTCGAGTCTGTATCTGCACGGCTCGCGAATTCGCATGCACGCACTTTCTGCCTCAAGTAGGATGCTCGAAGTACCAAACCGCGCGTGCAAGACGGGCATATATCGCAAAGGGGGCGTATTCGGGTATTATCCAGCCGGCTTCTGGTGGTTTATTCTGAGATCTCTGCTCTTATCCGTCTCCGCTCCTACGCCGTAGTTCGTGTGCGCCCATAGTGGGCTGTAACTCGCCGGAGTCGCTGTCCTCGGCAGTGCTGACCTGCGACGAGGCGAGAAGAGATGGGGCGCGGGCTGCGCTCCGCTCTCACTTGCCACTCTGACCGGGTCGTCTCGCAAAGCAGATACAGCGTCTGGAGTACTGACTCACCTGGTGCTGTGTTTAATGCACATCGAATATCGACGCAGAGACGCGGTGGCGTAGGCGACGCTGATGCGTGAGTTCAAGCGAGTCGCGCGCATGGACGTCGGCTCAAGAAACGAAGACGCGGGCGGATGCGGAATAAAATCTCTGCCATGGAACAGTGATTATGATGATGCAGACCAAGAGGGAATAGCGTACCTTGAACCGTCGCAGGTGTGTATGCAAGTAAAAAAATGTTGCGGTCCCCGTTCCGGTCTGGCTTCGCGGCCACGTAAGCAGATCTTGGGCGCGTGTTGTCAGCGATTATGAGATCGGCAGAGCTGGAAAAGGGTGCGACTGTCGACACGTCAAGTATGCAGCCGTGGCGGATGGTACTGGCATGGGTGTAACTGTGAGAGTGCGTGTACGGCCAAGGAGGTGAGTCCGTTCTTCCCAGAGTGCCCGTGGGAAAATCCTGCACGAGGCTCTTGAATGCCGATGACGCCGACAGCTCTCTTGCCTCTTCCTTTAAAGCCTCTTCCTCTCCCGCTACCTATCAGCGCTGCGCATACATGTCTAGTTATATTCTCCCGTACTCGAATAGCTATAGGAAAACAACTGCTAACATGAACATTTCACTCAACGGTGACTGCACTATGGGATTTTTGTGCCGTCGGTCAGGGGGTGTCGCGGCGAACATTGGAAACATCGGTACCCGCCTCGCCGAGAACGTATGTAGAGGAACACCCGTACCGCGACAGGGGAACGTGCTAACTTTTGTGTCCAGCTTCATGACAGCTCATGGCGGGGATGTGGCCAGGCTAATGACTCCTGTGGACGCCCCGGAGCATCGTTTGAGTGCGAACGTCGGGCGGCCTGCTCGGCAAAACTTCGTCGTGCCGCGTAGCTAGCCCTAGTGTTGGCTTCCAGCTCGGTCAGACTGTCCCACAGCTTAGGATTAAACCTGATATGGTGTCTTACCACGCTGTGTAAGCTGTCCGCCCAAGCTTTATCTGTGAAGCCGTTCTACTCATGGCGGGCTTTTGTACTCACAGAGACGTACGTCCTTGATGACGTACAGCTGAGCACCAACATTCATGATCCTGGGGAAGCGAAAATCCACTCAAATCTGGGGGACGTGCGACACAGACCATCCTACGACGCCGACAAAACATACCACTGGGCATCGGGGCAGGGAGCTCACGCACCGCCGGGAATCGGCTTGCGCCGCGCGAAATTGAATGTCAAACTAATCTGCCTCGCTTGTATACAGTCTACGCGAGGGAACAGATCCGACATACAAAAACGGAACTTTGCGCTGTGAGCGGACACGATTTGTTGGGACCACACTTTGTCCCGAGCGATGGAGGGAGCCCGGGTGCACCAAGCTTTCGCTGTGCAGGACTGTCTAGCGGTGGCTCTAATGCATCGCCGCATTCTTTGTCAAGCAGTACGCAGCCATACAACCCGCTGAAGAATGATATGACATGCGAGGATAATCTGTGCTCAATGAATCCTTCTAGCAAAGCAGAGCGGACTAGACGAGGAGGTGCGCGTGCCACAAGTAGCCAGTGGGCCACGCACTCGAAGATAGCTAAGGGTAAGCACTTCGACCAGAGCCGGGGACGCGAGCATGCAGATCATCGTCTTCCACCCCTCAGGCCTCAGGCTTCGTATCTCTTTGTCTGCCGGTCCACATCCACCGCAGTTCCTGTATTTCCGAGTTCTACATCTAAATCAGCCACGCGCGCGGCCGGAACACGCTGTCTACCTCAACACTGGCTCATCACATCCTCGGGAACACGGTCATCTCCCCGCCACCTTACCCCCGGACTCAGCGCAGCGGTGGAAGGCAGCTCACGAAATCATGGTTCGGACAGATGGTACAAATTCTTCAAATGCACCAGCGCCCGCGTTTCTCGCGAGGCCGCCGTCCTAGATCCCCTTCTTCATACATTGTCTAGATCAGTAGCCTCGTGGATGCATCAGGAACGAACAAGTTCACTACCGGCGGCGCGTTCGGCGAAGCACCACAATGATATGTTCATCTCGTTGGAACTGTGGTGAGTATGTCTGTAAGCGGAGCGATGGCATTGCCTTCATCATAGCATTCAGATAAAGGGCCATCCACATCTCGATTTGTAGTAAAAAATACCGAAGAGAGGCACGCACTGCCACACAACCGGGCCCGCTCAATAGTATCGATGCCTTGCTGACGATCGAGCACATCCGCTGTTCCTGTCTGTTGAGATGCATGTGATATTGAGGGCGCAGCTCGCCGGCGTGCGGAGCTATCCTAAGCTACATCAACGGTACATTGGTACGAAGGTCTGCCCAGAGAATTTGCGTTGGTTATAAGGCAGCTGTTCAAGTTCAAACCACGATCCTCTCTAACTCAAAACATTAACTCCCCGGGTCCGTTTGCGCTATCGCTAGCCATCTGGGAGGGGAATCGTGAAGCCATGTCGTCGTCGAATTCTGCTGCCACAGCACAGGTGATTGCGACATATCAGGCGGTGTAAGTCTGCACATCTCGTAGCAACCTATCGCGAGCGCGCAAACTAACGATTAACTATGCAGGGAAACATACATCTCATGTGGAATCGCAGTCACGGGTACGTATCGACTTCCGCTTGTATGAATAATATTCACCTGCCATCGATAGTGCTGATCCTGTACGACGTCCTCCTCACCTCAGGGCAAGAATACATGTACATCTGGCGATCACCGAGATCCTGTTTCCCGCGGATCCTTTATATGTGGAACAGGTATATGTTCCTGTTGAATGTTGTTCTGAGCCTTGGGACCATTCCATCAATGTCGGACCCGGTGAGTGAGAATGCCTCTTTACGCGCACCGGATTGACTCTAACTGTACATCTGTAGAGGTAGATGTTTGTTCTCAACCATCCATTGCATGCACTCTCTGATGCAGGGCTTCTGCAAGCTGCACTTCGCTCGTCTGGCTCACCTCTGCCCTACAAATCTTGAACCTGATTGGACCGGCTGGTAAGGTTGTATGCTTCTCGTCACCACCATGTCCGCTGATGCGATATACCAGTGTTTACTACACTGAGAATCTTCGCGTTGTCCAGAAAGAACAAAATTCTGGGTGGGGTTGCATTGGTGCTGAGCATGGCACCCTTCCTCCTCAATACTGTCAGCCCTCTCCTACATATCTTGTCATGCACTTCCTGATTATCACAAATACAGAGCACTGTATACCAGAAGCCTCCCATCAATCTCCCCGCGCCGCTAAACTGCACTCAGATCGACACGGCCAGCATGAGCCTCGACATTGGGTGTGTTTTTTATCTCTAATAATACCTAGCAATATGCACATTGCACTCATGCATTAGTATGGCAGATGTTAGTACAGCGGTTTCCGGAGACAATACCGCTATTTACCTACCTGGACAGTGACCGTTGCATCAAGAGGCTCTCTGATCCTCGTAGACTCGCTGGCCGCCGTCGTGACCTGGTGCCAAATACCTGCGGCGATTAAACTGAGAACAGGTAGCACGAAGCGGCCTTCCCTCGAACAGGTGATGTGGGAAAATGGTAGGCTCTATGCGACGCTTCAAAAAGGCCCGAATTACCTTCTGATCTGCTAGTGGCACAGGAGCTGTCTATTTCTGGTCTGTCAAACATCGACATAATACTACGGCCAGTATCCTAACGAGCGCGTGCACAGCACACTGGTCTCCCTGAATGTGGTGAACTGTGTGTTTGTCATACTTTCGGTGTGTCCTCCGACACGCAAACATGTCACAAATCTGACTCTTTTGTAGATTGCCATACAACAGGGTGGAGGAACCTCATATGTTGTGACTTTTATTGACCCGTAAGTCCATCATCCTTGCTGCGTTCATCGCCATTAGCCACCCTTGCAACGATCCACCACAGCATCTCCTCTATACTGAATAGCCGCTTCCTGCTCGCTCTCCACGAGACGAATGCGCGGCTTGAAGGGGCGGCCGACGAGTCCATGTCTTCCCTCTCTCTCGACACAGGCAGCGGCGACGACCGGCGGGCAGGCTCGCCTGAGCTCCCGGAATTCCTTGGCGTCCTCGGGGGCCCGATCCACTCATTCCACGACGAGGACGAGGACCTGCGATCTCTCACGTTCGCGTCGCCGCAGGAGGAGGAGCATGAGAACGAGACGGAAGGAGAAATTCAGGAAATTGGGAGAGATGGAGGAAATACGGTCTGATAAGTTTCCCCTTTGCTTTGCTCTGCACTCGCTCGCTCGTCATTTCTTTTGCTTCTTGACATAGTAATATTCCGGTTGTATAGTGCCGTTCATACGGGGTGACGGTATGGACGATACAGTACATACATCTTCCGAATATTCTACTACGGCTTATGTATGCGTCTAACTTCACCGATGCGCCTGGAACTGGCTGATATGTATCTCGGACGGCTCAAGTATCTCATCCATACCTCGCGTAGTTGATCAGCTCCGTCATAACCTTCTCGTCGTGGGCTCGGACGGAGACCCTCGCGCAACGAGTGCCATTACCAGGGACTCAACACGAAACACTGTAGTCTAGGAGCTACAGACCCGCATCTGTGTAAAACAAGACTTGGACATGTGTACACATATACATATACGCGGGCTTTACTATGCAGCACACTGCGAATGCCGCGGCGCCGGTGCGCGTGAGGAGCACGAACGTCCACCGCATTGCACACTGGCCATGGACATACCGGCCTACATGAGTCCTCCATAGTTGCAGGGGGAAACGCCCGAGGCCCCGTCAATTTGCATTTCCACCGTCGTGTTCCGAGGTAGCCTGCCGGCTCGATATGTACTGCTGCCCCGCAGGAGGTGCGCACGCCGTTACTATATTAACCACGGCATGGCTGTCTCTGCGTCCTGCGCGTTGCGCAAACGTACTGGCTCGCGTTTCTTTGTTCCACGATGTACGTCTATCGCGTTTCCCGCGTGTGTGAGCGAAAGCGAGAAAGGTCTGGAGTTCGACCGAGATTGCCAAAAAGGGGGGGGGGAGGGAGTGAGATCTTAGATCTAAGAGACCAGCTCCAGTCCGTCCTTCCCGGAGCGCCGGGGCCACGAGGCTCTTGAACGCCGACGATGACATCTTCCCCGTCGCGCCCACCGCTGGGTCCTAGATCTTCCACTACCTCAGACCTCTGCGCGTACATGTCTATGGCTTCATCCACAACCATCATTGTAAACACCCCATCTATGCTTGTCGTATTAATGGGCACCGTGATCTGCCGGCTACCGGGGGCATCATGAACGACGTGACGACATCCCACCAACTTCAATCTCGGCAACTACAAGAAAAACTCGCGGGTAAGGTCGTGCTGAGCACCAATTTCGGCCTGGAAAGCTCCTCCCTCGGAGTCTCATTTGGACCCACATGCGACTCAGCATCGTCGCGAATCTCGCACACTTAGCCGTGTAAGTTGAATGTTCGAGATGTATGGGCCATGCAGCCTGCTCACCTCGTGTCTTTGCGACATCAGAATTTATATACACTAGATACAGGGACTCAACTGCGCCGCTGTTGGCTGCGCCGAACGCGGTATTCCCGCAGGCGGCGAAGGTGCTCGCGTCACCCCAGTAAAACTTTGCGCACGAGGAGGGCAATTTGAAGAAAGCATGGACGGTGCTGCCAAACGGATAGTGGAGGGAGACGCTAGCGGTAAACGCCGGGCACACACCCACGCGGTAGTAGCCGAGGGATGGAGGAGAAACGGGCAATCGTCGGGCGATGGGCGGTCGCTGCGAACCTCAACGCGAGCGGTCGGCGTAGGAGTTACCCCCGGGAACCTTCTCCACGACTTCCTGAGCGCGATGGCCAATAGGCGTGCAAACGAAGATGACGAGATCTTCCAAGAAGGACGTCGCACGCGGTCATCGAGGTCGTGGTCGCCTCTTTAGGAACACGCCTCTCTTCTCGAGGTACGCCGCTCTCCTTTATATGCTCCACTCACGAAGCTAGCGTTCTGGATTCCTATCGCATTGTCTATATTAGGAGCTTAACACGTACATTATGGGACGTTCACGCTGAGCACTTCTCCGTCACAGGCACAGGACCCGACCATCTTCCACAGCTCGTACATAGAGGCTGACGATTTTACTTGGCGGTGCCCCCGGAGAAGCGTCACAGTGAAGCTGAAGTGAGTGTGTTTGTAAATTAACTCTAAAATCAACTAACGGTGCCGATGTGAAGAGGTGGATGCACTCCGTGTACAATCTGGCAGACAGGGATCTATAACCATTTCGAAGCGTGGATAAGATTACAGTTTTGTTGTGTCGGAGCGAAGATGTACCCGCTGAATGAGCAGCGCGTAAAAGGCGACCCTTCGACCGTCAAGCCTAGGTGCTCCTCGACTCAGATCCCCAGCTCTTGCCAAACCCCATCCGCACGGCGCACCGTTTTCTGCACTCGATCTGCGAAGACATGTCTACTCCAAGCCCTGCAGCAAGCTCTGTCGCTGATGAGTATATTGCCGACGTTCAGGCCATGTAAGTCTGCGCACTTCGATCTACTGTATCATTGGGTATACGACTGAACACAACGTGCAGGACGATGAATAGCACACTCGGCATTGTCGTCGCAGGTGTGTATCTCCAAGTTCGCTCGCCTTTCACCATGTACAAACAATGCTCACCTATGGTCGATAGCACTGCTCTTGTACGACATCCTTCTCACCTCCGGCCAAGAGTACCTATACATCTGGCAATCACCGAAGACCTGGACCTCGCGAGTCGTCTATTTGTGGAACAGGTACATGTACTCGGTGTATTACATCCTCTCCCTTGGGGCCATCCAGTCGATATCGGACACTGTAAGTTCAAATGTCGCTCACCGTACGCGGACATCCAGTTGACTATTTGATCACAGAGGTAGATATTTACTCAACCATGCATTGTATACAATGTCTGAAGCCGAGCCCGCTTGAAGCTGCTCTTCGCTGGTCTGGATTTCCAATGTCGTAGGAATATTAAGTCTGATTGGACCCGCCAGTATGTTTGCATAGTACTCGTCCCAACCATTCCGACTGACGAGATACGCTAGTGTTCACCACGCTGCGAATATATGCGCTCTCTAGAAAGAGCAAGATTCTCGGCGGGCTAGCATTGGTGCTGGGCATGGCGCCCTTCGTCGTGAACGCGGTCAGTCCTTTCGTACATGTCGCTATGTGTTTGCTCATGAGTACAACGTCAGATCTCTGCGTACCAAAGACCTCCCATCAACCTTCCCGCACCCCTGAACTGCACAGAGTACAACACGGCAAGCACGAGTGTTAACATCGGGTGGGTAAATATCCATCTTCTGACACATATGTCGCGCTTACCCGTCATAATGGCAGGTGTCAGTACGGCAGTTCCTGCCAGATAAACAGCTGTTGACCTACCCGTACAGTGACAATAGCGTCGAGGAGTGCTCTGATCCTCGTAGACTCTCTGGCCGTCGTCGTCACCTGGTGGCAAACACGTGCAGCGGCTCAGCTCAGGGCGGGTACAATGAAGCAACCGTCACTCGAACGGGTGATGTGGGAAAACGGTGAGCTCTGCGCGATGATTCGAGCGACCCCGGGCTGCCTCCTGATCTACAACTGCTTGTCTGTCACACAGGAACTATCTATTTCTGGTTCGTTACTACTCGTCGATTCAGGGTTACAGCCGGTAAGTAGCATTCTAATGAGCTTGCATGCAGCACGCTAGTCTCCATAAACATAGTGGATATGGTGCTTGACATACTTTCGGTGCGTGTCTGGACAGCTACGCATGTTCTTATGTTCATCCTCATTTTCTGAAGATCACCGTAACGCCGGGTGCAGCATCGTCGTATGTCGTTGCCTTCGTCGACCCGTAAGGTTTTCCCTGATTGAATCTACCGCTGCCGCTAACCCTCAAGATGGAAATCTTTCACAGAATCTCCTCCGCCTTGAATAGCCGCTTCCTGCTCGCCCTTCACGAAACGAACGCGCGAATGGGTGGGACAGACGCGTCTATGGTTTCATCCCTCAATTTCAACGCCGTCAGTGGCGGGGACCCCAGGGTAAGCTCGCCCGAGCTCCCGGGATCTCTCGGCGTCCTCGGGGGCCCGATCCACTCGTTCCACGAGGATGACGATGACTTAGAATCGCTCCAGCTCGCGTCGTGGTCGCAGGAGGAGCACCAGGTCAAGCCTGGTCTCGGAGGAGTGGCGGAGAGTGGCGGAGACGGAGACGGGGAAGAAGTCGCCTAATGCTGTCTTCTCCACATTCACATTACGGGCCGCGCATGACAGCGTTCATTATTGTAGCTTCTTGACATGCATCGCCTGTATTTCATTCGTATTGCGCAGTTTATACAAATTGGCTGTGTGGACGCTGCTGTACATGCACCCTCCATATACTATCCTACGACTGATATGTTCAACTTAGGTGGTGCGCCGCTCCTTCCCTTACACGCAATTTGTGGCGGGAGAGGACGCAGACATCCGCGCAACCATCTGTCGATACGACGAACTCGTCACCCGCCGTTTCACCCTGGCAGATGCGCACTATGCAAAAGCTTTGACGAGGAATGCGGCACACCATCAGCGCGTCGCCGGTGGGGGTGCATGAGGTGGGCAAGGCTGACGACACGAATGAGGTCAATTCACGGCATGTCCTCCAGCTGGACCTTCGTTATGCCCCGTGCCACGCCCATCAGCGTCTTCCGAGTCTTCGACTTCTTGGTCTGTGCGTGGCTTCAAGGGGTCGCCGACGCCCACTACGCGACCAATGTGAGAGCCTGCATATAATCCCATTGCGCGGCCTACCGCCGTTCATCTGGGCTCGTCCAGCATACCGTAGCGTCCCAGGCACGTCTGGCTCGGTGTCGAGAATGCCCTACAAATAGCGAAAACCATGCTATTGTGGGCACGACTGGCGAGGCCTGTCTCTGCACATCCCGTCGCGTGCCCTGCGCCATTCGTCTGCGGGTACACCGGAGGACGCGTACGCACTCTCGCGTTGCACGCATCTCCGATGTCCGTGAGACGCTGGCCACGGTGACGTTGTGGTAACTTCTGTAGGGTTCATCCGCCGTGATGGCTCCTGCCTGTCCAAGAGTGTCGGCAAGCAGCAGCAGCGTCCTGCGCAAGATGGCCTGCGGGCGACAGGGTCTGCTCATTGAGCGCGAACCGTGTGCGTATCATGTTCGACGACTCCGCCGCGACTACAGAGCGAAGTGGCACCTCCTGCGCCGTCGCTTCGTGATCCCGCTACCCGTGCATGCTTGATACCGCCGTGTCGGCAACCCACCATCCCCGCCCTGTATCGCCCGGATTTTGACAACTAACCCAGGCCCTCCCGCTGCTCGTGTGTTGGCCGCGGCATAGCCGTCCGCACGGGGGTGCATGCATATTCGCATTCATCCGTGCCCCGATTCACGTCCGCTCCGCGCGCAGAATTCATAACTCAGCGGCGCAGTTTACCACTCACCTGATTCTGTGTTTCCTGAGCATGGAATTCCGACGCCGGGCCCGGGCGAGGCCGACGCGTGAGTTGGAGGAGCCGTGCGTACGGACGTCGGCTGGAGAGACTCGGGCGCAAGCGTAGCAGCTGAGTCGATTCGGTGTCTTCCTGGAAACGGCAGGTTTCAGGAAGGCGCGAATAGGAGGTCTGTTACATACCTGTAGCCATAGTACAACTGTGTTACAGTTTCTCGTTTAAACTGGCGTCGCGAAAACAGGGCCGCGGAGAGGGATGGGTGTGTAGCGTCGACGACTGCGAGATCGGTCGAACTGTACAAGCCTGAGAGTGTAGCGGTATATATGTCGAGTGTGCGGTCGTTGTGTGTGGTATTGCCATGAGTGGAATCGGCAGCGCGAGCACGAAACGGATGGACGCGTCGCTCGGTGGGAGACGGCGGCGAAAGGGCGGCGAGGAGCAGACTCGAGGTGACGAGAGCATATATACGGTGGGCGAGTCAGGTACGGCGCAAAGCGAGGGATAAGAAATGCATGAGAGGGTGCACTGAGAGACTCGGATCGCTTTGAGAGTTGGTCGAGAGAGAGTAAGTCTGAGTAAGTCCGACTGTCCGCCCAGGCAGTCCGTCCTTCCCGGAGCGCCCGCGTGGGAAAGCTCTGCACGAGGCTCTTGAACGCCGAGGACGTCTTCGCGCCTCCTCTCACTCTCCCGCTACCTCTGCGCGTGTCTATTCAGTCCTGGGGATTCTAATTGCCCTCAGAATATTCGAACACCCCGTGCATAGCCCGTAATTGTCTGCGTGATGGGCCCGTGGTCGAATGTTGCAAGCTAAGCACCTGGTGCTGAGAAGAACACCACGACCACATCCCAGGACGCAACGGCACCTAGCTGAAGAGATGCCGTCCCAAATGTAGGGAAATTTGATCCATTATGTCCCTATATGGCCTAGGGAACGCTTTTCATAAGCACTAGGTATGTTGAAATTCCCTCTTTACGCGCCGGGGGAGCTCATCCAAGTCCACGTCTTCCAGCGTGTTCCGCGTCGTGAGCGTGCACAAGGGCTTTATTTGCTAGAACTTCTGCGTCGCCGTCGCCTATCTTCGTGTTTATTAGTGCAGGACACAGTCTGCTACGGATGCATTGAGGCGTGGCGGTACTTGAAGTTAGCTCAGTCTGAGCGCCCTAGAGCGTAGACTCAACACTGCGATTACGGTTCGTGGTGAATCCAGCTCTCTACACATCCAAGGAATGTTTTGAGATACAAGAGTACGTTTCCGATGTTGTAACAGCACCGGCATTGACAAACATTCAGCAGGGAAGAACGATCCGAATCCGACGAGTCTCCTACAACCTATACAGCAAGCATACCCACTAGAAGCGTCTCGACCCCGACCCGCGCAGCGTAGATTCGGCCGTCTATCGATCATCGCAGCAGGATATTTACCTCGGCGATGGAAGAAGCCCAGTGGCAAGTACGTGAAATCTCCGCAGTACAAGACCGCAGTTCACCGAGTGACGACTCGAACTCATCGCTACGTTTTTCGTCGTGCAGCACGCCACTTCACAGCCTGCTGCAGCCAAAAAATTATGCAACCTCCTCGGAGGTGTCGACTCAGCTGGGGCGATGCGCTTGGAGTGCGCCCGCCCGCTCCTCCGATCGAATCGCTCGTCTCCATGTTAGCGGCTTTCTGGGAGAGTGGCGCTACGCGCGATCGCTCAACACGTCTGGCATCTGGGTTGGAGGGTCTCAGTGTTTTGCGCTCCTTACTGTCTCTTTGTATGCTGATGTACGCCCACCGCAGCCGCCGTACCTCGGGGCTACATCCACCCGTGCTGCCGCACAGCCAGAGATCTCTGTCTACCTCAACACCGGCCTACTACCTCGGACACACTGTCACCCCCCTGCAACACTAACACTGAGCTCAGTGCAGCTATAGTCGACAGCTTTGCGAGACCGTGGAATGAATTGATGGTACGTGCACTTTTACATGAATTGAATGCCTGTCTCACTCACCACGCCGCTCTTACAGGCTGTCTTCCCTGCACATCGTTCAAATAATGAGACCCGTAGCTGTGTTAGGTATTCTAGCTCCGAGCACTTCTTTATCACGGGGATGACAAGCGCACGCAACCATAGAAACGAACGGGATCACTGCTGGCGGTGCGTTCGGCAAAGCACCGTAGTAGGTATGCTCACCTTGTTGGAACCGGCGTGAGTGTGTTTGCAACAAGACATCAAAGCCCGCCATCCACTGACGCAGTGCAATGGCGTCATCCTCATAGTAGCATCCCAATGAGGGCCACTCACATCCCGGTCCGTGTATAGAAGTACGACGTGCGTGCACTGCGTTACTTCAAGTTCGCGGATACCGCCTCGTCGCAGGTTATCGAGCATGCACATGGCTCGTATCCAGGGAGACACATGCAATACTGAGGGTGTAGCTCACTGGCATACGGAGCTACCTTGAGTAACATGATATCTTGGTGCGTACACTGGCATATTCTCGCCGGATGAGCATTGCTTAAAGGTTCCCTGCAAACGACAGAACTCCCTCAGTCAAATTCTCGGTTGTCTATCACCTCTGAATCGTTCCCCATCGCCTTACACTTGCGCTGAGAGGTTATGACCACGTCTTCGAGCTCTGCTGCTTCTGCTCAGCATGCCGCGGAAATCCAGGAATTGTACGTCTGTGCACCTCAATGCAATTGATTGCGGATTCGACCCACTAACGGTACGACTTTGTAGGACCACAAACCTCTCATGCGCGATTGCGACCACTGGTACATATTGCCTTGAAGTTCCCGTGCCCTCCACCTGTACGGAAGATGCTCACCTACGATCGGTAGCGCTGCTCCTGTACGACGTCCTCCTCACCTCTGGGCAAGAATACCGACACATTTGGAGATCCCGGAAATCCTGGTTCTCGCGAGCCCTGTACGTGTGGAACAGATACATGTTCTTGTTGTATCTTCTCCTGGACCTCGGGACCATTCCGTCGATGTCGGACGCCGTGAGTTGAATCTGCCCCTCAAGCACAGATATTAACTAACCGTACATTCACAGAGGTAAATCCATGTTCTCGATTCTGCATTGAATACGCTGTCTAATACCGGGCTTGCTGTGAGCTGCGCCTCGGTTGTCTGGCTCACCGTTATCTTGCGGAACCTGAATTATATTGGACCTGCGAGTGAGTATATGCATGCTACTCAGCTTCCCAACAAAGCCCCCTGACGAGATACCTCAGTGTTCACTGCGCTGCGAATCTATGCCGTCTCGAGAAAGAACAGGGTCCTGGGCGGAGTGGCCCTAGCGCTGAGCATGACGCCCTTCGTCATCAACATGGTCAGCCCTGTCTTGTATGTTGACATGCGCTTGCTGATGTGTATAACCACAGAGCACGATATATGAGATATTTCCCATCAACCTCCCCGCACCTCTGAACTGCACTCAAGCCAATACGGCAAGCAGGAGTATCAGCGCTGGGTGGGTGTTCTTCGTCCGTTCGTACCCGGCATATGTGCACTGTGCTCACCTGTCGGTATTGCAGACGTTAGTATGGCGGTTCCTGATGAACAGACAGCTATTAACTTTCCCGGTTTCGGACAGTGGCGATCGCCTCACGGGGCTCTCTGATTGTTGTCGACTCGCTGGCCGCCGCCGTCACCTGGCGCCAAACACGTGCAGCGATTAAGCAGACTCGGACAGGTACCGTCGAGAGGCCTTCGCTCGAGCAGGTGATGTGGCAGAATGGTAGGATCCACACAACACTTAAATATGTCCGGTTTGCTTACTGACGGTCTGTTGCACAGGAATTGTGTATTTCTGGTGAGTTTTCAACCCCACATCGAGCACCGCAGCCGGTGTTTTGACGAGCTCATGTGCACTTGAAGTGTACTGGTTTCCATGAACGTGGTGGACATGGTGCTTATCTTGCTCTCCGTACGTGCTAGCATACTCGGATAAGTTTACATGCGATGATTTACCGTTTCCTTCAAAGATCGCCATACCACCAGATCATCAGTCCTCCTACATGGTGTACTTTGTCGACCCGTAAGGCCAATCCCGTTACTGCTTTCATCGCTTTTGCTAGCCCTGACCACGAAAATATATCACAGAATATCCTCCATCCTGAACAGCCGCTTCCTGCTGGCTCTCCACGAGACAAATAGGCGGCTCGAAGGGGCGACTGACATGTCCATAGGCTCTCTCTCTATCAACACCGGCGGTGGCGGCGACCCGGAGTTCCTCGGCATCATCGGCGGCTCGATTCACTCAATTCGCGTCCACGACGAAGACCTGGACTCGCTTGAATTTGCGCTGCCCGAGCGAGAGCGGGAGGAGGAGCACCACATCGAACCCGAAAGCGAAATTGGGGAAGGTGGTGGGGGCACGGCGAACCTGGCCTGATGCTTTCCATCACCTCCTTCGCTTTCTTCGGGACCCGTCCGCTTTATAGACATCTTCTTGATATATTGACACCGTCTGTATTCGATTCATATAGGGCTGGACGACAGCATACATGCGCCCTTGGTATACTCCACTACAGGTGATGTTTATGCGTCTGACTTCACCAATGTGCTGCGCCGTCTCTGTCTGTACTAGAACTGGCTGATATGTATCATAGATTCGAATATTTATTACTATGTCTGGTATGCGCGCGCGAGCGGCCCAAACGACGCATCCCTAATCACGGATAGATTGTTCGACCTCTGCATGCCCCGCGATACATGTCCGACACTCTGCGAGCACACTCGCACTTTTCATATGCTCTTCCATCCGTGGTACGCTGTGGCTGGGCTGTCGAGCGCGGTGGATGCAGACAAACGTATCTGCAGCTGTACGCAGGGATCCCGCGCCGTGTGGGCTCCCGCCCGTTGCGTGTCGAACGTGTCGGCGCGCACGGATTGTCTGTACCGCGCTGAGAACGCTGCATCGTCCTACCGTGTTCTCCACCTCGATCATGGCACACGCGGCCCCGCGCCAGTCGGCCTATGCGTCCCGCCCGGAACAAATGATGAGCGACAGGGTCCGCGCATCAAACGCCGGCGGTGCACGTACCAGCCTCAATGACAGAGCAGAGTGTTACCTCTGCAGCATCGAGCCCCTACTCCGGCCGTGTTGGGGGTTGTTTGTGAAATATGTGTCGCTATGTGCTGTCAACAAGAACGAGAAAAGCGCCAAGTGAGGAGTCTGCAGGGTGTATTTAGGGCGTATGAGAAGAGAAACGGGAGAATCCAAAGGGAAGAGGGGGTTCGTGAAATGATATGCGCACTAGAGCGCGAAAAACCGGGGCAAAACGACGACAGATGTGGGAGACGTACCTGGTGCCCTTCGCTGACATCTCCCCTCTAAAGCAATGCCCGGAGGTTGCAGAGAGCAGACTGGAAAAGCGACTGATATGTTTTGCGGCCGCAAAGATAATGCAAAGGTGAGGAGAAGAGACTAAGCGTAACCGGCAGCGCGAGCACGACATGGACGTATAAGTCGTTCGGTGGGAAACGGCGGCGGAAGGGCGGCCCAAGATGGACTTACGACGGCGAAAGCAGGCCTCGGCAAGGCTGAGCGTAGTGCGCGATGGGGAGTACTAGCAATCGTGAGGGCGTGAGTGGGAGAGCGTGGTTGAGTACTGCAGGTGGGAGTGAAGCCGAGAGAGCGAGCGAGTGAGTCGAGAGTTCGTCCGAGCCCGTCTTTCCCGGAGCGCCGGAGGAGGCGCTCGATTCACATGTCTTCACGTCTCTTCACGTTCGCGGCCTACCCCTGCTCATGATCGTGGCCTCGACTCTCTCCTCGTCTCTCTTTCTGTATGTCCAAAATCGGGTGCGTGTTGGATCCGCGAATTTTGCAAAACATCTGCGTTGCTGGAAATACCGGCGCTACGAGCTCGAGTACTTGCTAGGCTGGCCACTGTACGGGCCCAGGGGTGGCGTATGTTGCGCCGCATTGTGAGAGTGCACACACGATAACTTTCAAAGCTATTCTTATCCCTATCGTAATTACCTCATGGCGGGCATGAGCGCAGGTTAACGGGTCCTGTGGGCGCCCGAAACGGTTCTGTTAAAGCGGATACTGGACGAGCTCGGCACATGGCCGCGCCCAGTAGCCGTCCGCGGTTTTGGAAGCTATTATGGTGACTTATAGTCGAGCAGTACAACTGTGGCTCCCGGTATCACATAAGCTCAGGTTGACCGTCCGGACTGTGCCCCTGAAACTGCTTCACTAATAGCGAGTCTCGACAGGCATTGCTCAACATTTCACAAGGCATCGAGATATACGGGCCTCGAGCAGCAAAGAGCCATCCGAATCTTGCACGCCTGCACTGCAGACAAATCGCCGTTTCATATCCTCGTCATGCAATTGATATGTCGACCAACATACCGCGGCACATCAAGGCAAAACGCAAAACGCATACGTGCCGGGGGTATATTGACCTGGGGTGAGTGTTTTCGACCTTCTGGAGATAGGCCCCGCCCGCAAAATGCTTTCAGGAGTCGGGTCTAATACACCGAGCCATATTTGGGAATACGAGCGAGCGGACTATGTCTGGGCAAAGGATATCTATAATTTGGTATTGCCCTTAGGTAGGTGAAGTCTCTGCCGTACGCGATGCTAACTGAAATCCCTGACCGCATCGTTTGTTCTGTGGAACGTTAGATCACGACACTGCAGGACAACGACTTCGCAGCTAGCTCGATCTTCGGCAATTCGCCTGCCCTGCCCACGTTTGCAGCTCTCGTCTCTTCGGCGCGGGTGGAGGCCGAGGCGACCTACGTATCTCCACGCCCCAGATCTCTGTCGGAAGGCGCCAGTGTCTCCTGCCTCTTGATATCTCCATATTTCCTTTTGTCTTGCCGGTCCACAGCCTCCGCGGTCTCCGGCTCCGACATTCACATCGACCACGCGCTTGGAGTCGGACATAGCTCTCTTTTCATATCAACATTGATTGGGGACCTACTGCATCCCCGGGCGCACCACCATCCCCGCGCCAAACCACCTCAAGGCCCAAGGCAGCGTCTGAAGGCAGCTTCGCGAAGTCTTGTATTTGATTTTGTTAGCTGGTACGTCCGTCTTAAACGCGTCAGCGTCTGCTTCGCTCACCAGAATGCGGCCGCACCGTCTCAGGTTCCCCTCCCTACATATTGTCTAGGTCAGCATACTCGAGGATGCGTTATGAGATACGTTGAACCCTGAGTACTATCCTATCACGGGGTTTCCAAACGTGTACGAGGATTTTGCATGACTCGGACGACAAATGAACGACTTGGAGTCCAACGTTCACCGCCGGCCTCGCGCTCGGCGACGAAGCGCCATGGTATGATCATCTTGTCGAAGTCGTGGTGAGTTTGTTCGCGACATGGCTTCCTGTGAAGCAGCGGAGTTGAACTCGTCGTACCGCTATCTCGAAGAATAGGATGTGCGCGCCCTGCGCAATCTGGCGAGTGACGGCTTGTTGCTGAATACTGATGATGCAGCTCACTAGCGGCAATCTGGCGAAACATCAATAATGCTTTGGTTCGAAGATGCGCCCTCTGGATGAGCATTGCTTAAAGGCGAACTGCAGGCGACAGCGCTCCTTGACTCCAATTCCTTGCTCTCGATTTCATCTGCACTGTGCCTCCAAATCGCTCTAGACTTAGACTGCAAAGTCATGTCGTCGCCGAACGCTGCTTTCGTGGAAGAAGTGATCGCGGTATATCAAGAGGCGTGAGTTTGTGCACTTGGATAAAACTTATTGCGGGTACCTGTAACTAACGGCACAACTGTTTAGGACAACGGCTATCTCACTCAGCATTGTCATCACAGGTGCACATCTTCAAGTTCTCTCGTCTTCCGCCCTGTCGGCAAAATGCTCACCCGTGGTTGATAGTGATGCTCGTGTACGATGTCCTTCTCACCTCAGGGAAGGAATACCAATACATCTGGCGATCACCGAAGTCCTGGTTCTCGCGAGTCCTGTATTTGTGGAACAGATACATGTGCTTGTTGAATAATGTCATGGTCCTTGGGACCATTCCGTCGATGTCAGACACGGTGAGTGTAAATGTCCTGCTTCTTACACACGCTGGATTGAAACAAACTGTACGTCTACAGAGGTAGATGATTCTCAACCCTTCATTGCGTGTTTTATCTCATGCCAGCCCTGGTGCAAGCTGCGCTTCACTGAACAGGTTCAACGGTATCCTATATGTGCTCAGTCTGATCGGACCCGCGAGTGAGTTTATGTGCTAGAGGCTACAACCACACTCGCTGACAATATACACCAGTGTTCACTGCCCTACGAATATATGCACTCTCAGGAAAGAGTAGAATCCTGTGTGGGGTGGCCCTGGTGCTGGGCGCAGTACCCTCCATCATTGACGCGGTCAGCGTTCTGTCCTGTATATCACCATGCGCATACTGATATGTACAACTACAGAGCACCGCATACCAGAGACCTTCCATCAATCTCTCCCCACCGCTGGGTTGTTCTCAGGCAAACACAGCTGGCAAGAGCCTCGAAATTGGGTGAGCGATTCTTACTTATATCGTACTCAGCAATATGTGCATTGCGCTCACCCGTCAAATGACAGATGTTAGTGCAGTGGTTCCTGGAGCATAGATAAGTACTGACATACCTGAATAGTTATCGTCGCCTCGAGGGGCTCTCAGATCCTCGTGGACTTACTGGCCGCCGCTACTACCTGGCGCAAAACACGTGCGACGATCCAGCTGAGGACAGGTGTCCTGGATAGACCTTCCCTTGAGCAGGTGATGTGGAAAAATGGTGAGCTCGACATATCACCCTCGACACGCCTTGAATTCTTCTGATTGGCCTACTAATATCATGTCTGATTTACAGGGATGGTCTACTTTTGGTCTGTTGCACATTGTTGTAGCTCTACTACAGACGATGTTCTGACAAGTACATCTGCAGCGTACTATGTTCCCTGAATGTGTTGGATGTGGTCCTCTTTTCATTTTCGGTACGCACTCCAACAGATAAGCATATATAAATACTTACTCTTTCTCTTAAGCTCGCCTTAGCACCGATCAGTGGAGGATCCTCCTACGCTTTGCAGTTCATCGACCCGTAATGCTATCACCCTCGAAAATACATTGCCATTACTGACTCTCGCCACGAACCTCCTCCATAGCATTGTCTCCATCTTGAATAGCCGCTTCTTGCTCGCCCTCCACGAGACGAACATGCGGCTGGGTGGGAACGACACCTCCATATCCTCGCTCTCTTTCAACGCCGGCAGCCAGGGCAACCCCAGGGAAGGTTCTCCTGAGCTCCCGGAATTCCTCGGCATAATCGGAGGCCCGATCCATTCGTTCCACGGCGACGAAGACCCGGAGACGCTCGAGTTTGCTTTGCCGTCGCAGGAGGAGGTGCACCAATGCGAGCATGAACTTGCAGAGATTGTGGAGAGTGGCAGAGATGGAGGAGACGTTGCCTGATATCGATTTTGTATCCTCTTTCGAACCCCGGGCCCGCTTGACATTCATTTTCGTGGCTTCTTGGCATTGTCTATAGTCGATTCGCATCGTGCAGTTGACGAACATCAGCCGACATGGTGCGTACACCCTCTATATATCTTCCTATGGTCACTCTATGCGTGTGTCTAACGAAAGATGTCCTTGCGGCCGTACGCAGGGGTCGCACACCGTGTAGGCCCGCTCTCACCGGGCGTCGAACGCATCAGCGTGCACGAAACATGCGTACCGCACTGAGAACGCTCGTCGTGCTGTCATGCTGTCCACTTCATTCACGGCGCACGCCTCGCGCGAGTCAGCCTACACATCCTACCCAGAAGAATCAGTGAGCGACGGAGTCTCCGTATGGAAAAATGGTTGTGCGCGCACCGGCCTCGATCCGCTCGCCGATCTGGTAGCCTCGATACCACTGCATCCACGGCCTACGTCCTTGATCTACCTCGCCTGGATCTTGAGGATTATCGCGCAGGCCCGCCCGTCGGCGGCGTATCGACCGCGATATGGCTATCATTACGGGGTGTAGGTGTACACCCGTGCTCCTCCGTACCTCGCCGCACGCCTGTCACGCGCATACACTCGGTACAGTCTGCGCGGTCTCGACATGTACCCGCGCCCTGTCCGATCGCGCGCCCTTAGGTGCGGTCCGTGTATGCATTCTCCATACACCCTGCAGCTGCTCAGACAGGTTCGACGAGGGGTGGCGACGAGAAATCCGCCCGACGTGGCTCGTGCGAGTACCTGACCTCCGCGTGGTGTTGCATGGTCCAGGGCGCGCCATAAAACGCCATCGCACTCCATCTGTGCGCTCCTCCCGCACACGCGCATGATGAGGCTCGAGGGGCGGCCTACGGAGCGGGCGGGCGCGTCGGGCGGGGGATATACACTTTCCCTGACCGTCGCGCGTGGTATGCGGCGTGGATGGCGAGCGCGGGTGTCTTTCCCGGTTCGGCTCCTGGTATCGCGTGAGCGCACATCCGCCCGTAAGCGGGACGCCAGAAACGCAGCTCTTGGCGCGTGGAACGAGCATTTATGGTGAGACGACGACAGAGTCAGCTCTCGAATAGACCTCTCGCGCTTTCGACTCTCCACCCAAGCTCTTGTGCGATCGGTGCGTGTGGACGCGCTCTGCCGTCCCGAGCGCTGCAGAACCGCATGTACCGTGGCTGTCGCCACACACACACAGAATGCCGAACGTGACGAGGCAAGACCGGGACATACCAGTACGTGCGCCCGTGGCTGGACTCCACCCTCGTCGACCGAGTTGTCTCGCCATGCAGGTGCCATGGATTTAGGGCGTCTCAGAGCCCCACCCACCCTGTTCCGAGTGTTCTGTACTTCGAATGCCGGCGCAGAGAGGGGGGGGGCAGGCGGTCAGGGTGTTTGATGGCGGCTGGAGAGTCAAGGGCTGGGCCGATTGAGCCTCTGTCAGCGAATGACGAGCGTGAGCGTGGAGATTCGACGTAGGTAGCACCCATTATTGATACCTGGAAATATTGTAGGTGTGGACGCGCAACACGCGTACATCGCAATCTCCTTCCTGGACTGGTGCCGTGAAAATGGGGACGCGGAGGCGGATGGGCGCGTGTTGTCGGCGGGCGTGAGAGATTGGGCAGAATGAGGATGAGGGCGGTCGTGAAAACGTCTGATTTGTCGACTCGCTGTCGTAGATGGCATTGCACTATGAGTGGTGTGCGTGGACGTGGGCTGCAGGAGGCGGAGTTCTGGACAGAATAGGCGCCCGTAAATCGACGGCAGGCCGAACTGCGGTGAGCGATACCGCCCAGTCAAATTTTACCGCTGCGTGCGTGCACGGGATTATGATGAGAGTGCTGTGCAGTATACATTACATGTTGATTTGCATGTTGTAAGGGATGGAGGGGAGTATTGGTGAGTTTGGAGGTGTCGTCAGCCAGAGCAAGGGAACCGGAAAGGGCGATGATGTGGGCAGGATTGATTCGGGCATATGGAAAGAGAAAGAGGAGAACGAAAAAGACGGAAGGGTGGGCGAATTGAGTGTATGCACATACCAGCGCGGAAAATGACGACGGACGTGTGACGTACCGGGTGCCCTTCGTTTCGCTGACATGTCTCGTATATAAAGCTGGCTGAACGAGGCAGCGACTAAACCTGCAGAGTGACAATAATGATGTGCGGCTGTAGGACGGACGCAAAGGCGGCGAAAACGGACTTTGCGGAGACGGCAGCGCGAGCACGAGATGATGGATGAGTTGCTCAGCAGAAATCTAGAGAGCGGCAGCCTGAGGAGGTGGCGGAGAGCAGACTTATGGCGACTATATCACGCGTTTGAAGAGCAGCAAAGGGATGGTTGGGCGGCAGCCGAGACTGTGAAAACGACTCCTCGAGTCGCAGTGGTTGTCCGCCCTTTCCGGAGCGCCCGGGGAGACGCTCAGCACGTGGCTATTGAACGTAACAGCGATGACGTCTTCGCGTCTCTCCTGCAGCTACCTCTACGTGTACGCGTCAGGCAGCCTAGCTATCCAGCCAAGTGAACGCAGGCCGGGTACCCTTATAATGCTCGAAGTATCTGGACATAGCCCGAAATTGTCCCCGCCAACGTTGCCGAGCACCTGCGACGCTAAGAATAAAGGGCGCCACGAATCCAATCTACTCATGGCAGGCCGTCAAAGCTTTACATGTGATACACACAAGAGTACGTTGCCGAGGTTGTACAGAGCATATTAAAAGACCTGCAGGAGAGAAGAACATCATCAGGGCCGAATTCGCGGGTACGCGAGTCCTCCATCCTGAACGTTGAACAGCCGGTTCCTGCTTGCGCTCCACGAGACGAATGCGCGGCTCGAAGGGGAGGCCGATGCATATCTTCCTTTTCTCTCAACACCGTCAACGGCGGCGACGCGAGGACAGGCCTGCCGGAGCCCTCGGCATTAACCTCGGCGTCATCGGCCGGGGGCTCGGTCCACTCCTTCCAAGACGACGACGAGCACCTGGAATCGCTCGAATTCGTATCACCGCAAGAGGGGCACAAGTCCGAGTCCGAAAAAGACATTTTGGAGAAGAATGGGGACGGAGAAAACTTGGCCTGATGCCTTCAGCTCTCCCGTCGCTTCCTTCAAACGCACTTGGCGGACGTCTTTTTTGTTACTTGACGTGGTCTCGACTTCTATTTACCCAGCGCGCCCTCTGTATGGATGACAATATACATATACCCTACATAATTAGTCCTACTCGGGCTGAATCTCTTTCGGCCACACCTACGAACGACACAGATTGGCGCGGTGCGTCTATGACAGACTACGAGTACTGGATGCGTGCCATGATGCACGCTCACGCGTTGCACGTATCCTCAGCGCCCGCGTCGCGCTATCGGCTAGGCTGCCAGATCTGGGGACGGCCATAGAGAGATGTCTCTGTGGCCGTACACAGGAATTCGATATTTGTTCCGCACCACGCGCACTCTCTCGTGGGTCCGTGTCATCCGTCCCGGCCAATGTGCACGCTTGGCGCGGGTCAAGGGGTAGCCTCCTGCGCAGAAGGGCGAGTAAGCAACACAGTGCGCGCATTAGGAAGAGAATCATGGGCGTACCGACTTCAATGGCTCGGCCTGGTGGCAGAGAAGAGCGGAGTACCCCTTGCACCGTCGCTCCGTACTTCACCTCGCCGTGCGCGTGTCGGTTGCCGAACGTTCCTAACCCGGTTCGCCTGAAGTTCACAGGATGGAGCGGGACGCTCGCCCGCCGTTCGTGAATGCGTACGCGCGAACCGCCGTCCTCAATGCTGTGTTACGAAGGTGTACTGTGGTCCACAGTGTTTGCCACAAGCGGCGCTCTGCACAACGAGACGGGTTTGGGCGGGATGGAGACGTAGAAAGATGTGCACATGCAGCAGCTGCTTTCACTCAGCGCGCTGGCCGCCACGTCTCGCCGTGCAATCTCGGTGCTCATGGGTTCCACTCACCTAGTTATGGGTTTCCTCTTCTTCAAACATGGACGCAAAAACACGGGGCGTGGATGAGGCGCATTTATGAGTTCCCGGTCCTGCATACGGACGTCGGCTAGAGAGACGAGAGCACGTCACTGGGTGGTGACGACTCAGTGGATTGGGTATCTTCCGGAGAAAGTGAGTATTAAAGTGAGACTTGGGTGTCTGTATAGCGTACCCGGGACTTTTGTGGCTGTGGGTGCACAATAACAGTGTGTCGCAGTCTCCCCTCCGATCCGGCGTGGCCAAACGTGGCCGCGGAGGGTACGTTTCGTCGGCGAGTAAGACATATCTCGTGTCGTAGAAGGGTGCATCTGTCGGAATGTCTAGTATGCAGCCATATTGTGTGGAATTGGCATGTGTGGGAGAGGCTGCGCGAGCTGGAGAGCGACGGACGCGTCGTTCGGTGGGAGACGGCGGCGGAAGGGCGGCGCAAAACTTGAAGCAGCGAGGACGGACGTTGTGGAGCCACGCATACCAGACGGAGCTAGGTACAAGTGCTTGACTAGTGGTAGTGGAGATTTTCATCACGTTGAGGGAGTCGAGGGATGTGAGAGAGTCGAGAAGGAATGCCATGCCAAGCGAGTCAGTGCAGCTAGCCAGTCCGTTCTTCCCGGAGTGCCCCGTGGGAAAGCTTTGCACGAGGCTCTTCAACGCCGATGACGTCTTCGCACCGGCGTCTTCCTCTCCCGCATACTCTACGCGTACCTACTCAGCCCTATGGATACCTGAAGCGCTCAGAATGCTCGAACACGCTATGTGGCATGTCTCGGATCGGTCTGCCACTGCTAAACCCGCGAGCATTGCACCTGAGTTGCTGAGAAGCAGGCCGCCATCATCAAGCGATGGCGTCCCGCTGAAGATATGTTGTCTCCAAATATAGGGCAATTTCGTCCACTATTAGTCATTCCTCGCTACTGCACAGGGCCCCTGCATCGCAATAGTTATGCCCCCTCTGTACGCACCTAGGGAGCATAGCCGCGTATTCTGCGTCTTGAAACTGCTCACAAACGCTTCGCTTCTAGATAGCCCATCGGAAGCCTTATGGCAGCTCATTGCGTCAATCAGAGCATGCTGACGACTCCTATGGCTGTATCGAGGCGTCGCGTTGGGGCAGACGTTGGTCGGGCTCGGCAGGAACTCAATTCTAGCCGTTATGCTGGAATCGAGCTCGCTTAGAGTCGACCCTACGATGGTGGTGTACGTGTACCGTCCAAACAGTGTCCGTGAATCTACTTATGGCCAGTCTTGTAGAGGCAAGAGTGCGTTCCTGACATTGTGCAGGTTAACGGCATCTACGGACCTCGAGCAGCAAAGAACGATTCGAAACCAGCAGGCAAGCCACGCTGGAAGCACACACGCTGGAAGCATCGTGGAAGTGGCCGCCTAACGATCAGCGCCGCCCACGAACTGCCTGTAGGAGGGGTACGCGCGATATCTCCCCCGGCGATGGATTAAGCCCAGGTACGAGAAGCCTCCACTGTACAAGACCGCAGTCAATTTCAAGCTCATCAGTGCGTTATCGTTGTGTAGCACGCGGCTTTGCGAAATGGTGCGGTACAACAACCTCGAAACCGCATCCGATGTGTCGGCTCAGCGGCGAGAATGCGCTGGGTATGCTTGCGTGGGTCGCTCTAATCACCGAACAGATTTACTGCGCGAGTGGCGCCACACGTACCACATCTACGCGCACGAACAAAGATGTCTGACCACCTCAACACCGTCCAGAAACCCGCTGGGTCCTTGTGCATCTGCCGGCAACGCCACCTGCGGGATCGGCGCAGCCGCGGAAGACAGCTTTGCGAAGGCGTAGATGGTATCTGCAGCACACATGCGTGGAGACGAACGAGTTGAACACCGGTTTCGTGCTCGGTGAAGCATCGTGGTATGCTCATTTCGTTGGAGCGAGGTTTCCGCTCGTTGCATGCTGACGCAGAGACGTCAGGGTGTAGGCGGCGTGTGCATATGGCCATCGGTCGGAGAGGCGCGCGCGCGCGGCTGCTGCTGGACGGGTTCGGATTCTAGTAGTATCAGAGGACGATGATCAGTATGTGGGTAAGAGTGCATGTGAAAAGCTTACACGGGGCCGTAGTAGAGGTGTGCGTAACGCAAGCATGCTGCACTGGCGTCCTTTCTATGTAGGCGATAACCCCGCGCGGGGGCAGATGGGCGGATGTTCAGATTGTTGGCAGAGATCTCATGCGGGCTGTATATCGGTCGCAAGTGTTGTTAGACTCCGACACCCGCGGTGCGTGAGGCTGCAGCGTGTGTTACATAATACAGTCCTCGGATATTGTAGGCCCACGTAGACGTCGCCGTACAGAATGGGGAAGTGGAAGGTGCCGTGAAGTCTGCAAGATGTACTCGGAGCTCAGTAGGGAAGAGAGAAAGGAGCTTCGTTCACAGGAAGTGGCGCATACGCGCGTACTTGGGTGCGGAAGACGGCGCGATGGACGTGCGTAATTTGAACTTACCTGGTGCCCTTTGCGGACTGGTTTCATGTATATAGCCCCCAAGTGCTTCAACCTGCGAGAACGCTTGGCAACTAATATGACCTGCAGTCGCAGGAAGGGTTCGGCTGTGGGGAAGAGGGGCAGGCGGCGCAAAGCGGCAGCGCGAGCACGAGGAATAGACATGTTGATCGTTCGGCTGCGGGGGAGAGCAGACCGGCGACTCGGGCAGGTCGTGCACCTAGTGTACAGTGAGGCACGGCGATTGTGGGAAAGCGATTTTGAGAGCAGGCAAGAGAGCGATACTAGTGAGCGAGCGAGGTTGGTGAACGCAGAGAGAGCCAGAGTCTGTCCTTCCCGGAGCGTCGTGGGAAAGCGTTTTCTTGAACACCGAGACCGTCTTGATGTCGAGCCGTCGACCTCTTTCTCTCTCGTCACCTCTGCTTGTATCTATCCAAGCTTGTGTACGCTGGATGAGCTCAGAATGCTGTAACACTGTGCGCATAGCAGCGAATTGTTTGCGTGATGCATCGATGGACCCGCAAACGTCGAGGCTATACACTTGCGTCGCTGAGAAAACCGCCGCGACCCCCTCCCGGCAGGCAACGGCGTCCAGCTGAAGATATGTCGTCTTTGAATGTGGGTAGATCTCGACCATACTTCTCCATCATGGACAAAGGACCTGCTTTTGCACAGATTGTACACCGGGATTCCCTCTGCACGTACCACGGTAGCACACTGCCTGCGTGTTCCCCGTCTTGATACTGCGTGCACAAAATATTCCAAAAGACCTGTCCTTAGCCCCACAGCAGCACATCGATGTCGCGAGGATCAGTGCATGCTGTCGGCTCCTGTGGATTACAAAGGAGCCGTGTTAGAGCGCACATAGGGCTGGCCCATCGTGCCTGATAGACAGTCGTGGTCACTTCGGAAGCTAGCTCACTAGATCGAAGAGCTCGGGTCAACGACCTTCCGCGCGAGAGGCGCTGTATGTGGCACACTAACTATCCAACCGCAGTTGCGGTGGCTCCTGGGGTGCGGCCACATTCACACCAGCCACGCGCATTGGGTGGGAGCTCTGACCACCTCAGCACCGTCCTACCACGTCCTATGACACACCGTAACCTTCCCGCAATGGTACTTCCGGGATCGGTGTAGGGGTGGAAGGCGTCTTCGCGAAGCCGTACGTTTGATAAATGGTACGTTCGTCTCAGTTGCTATGTTGCTCACCATGTCCCCGTCCCAGATTCCGAATCTCTCTCCACATCGTCTGTATCACCGGCCTTGCGGAATGTTGGCGATACTAACCCTTAATACTTCTTGAATATGCGGCCAACAGGCATATGCCGCTATTGAAACAGACGAGAGTGGCCACTGGCGGCGCGCTCGGCGAAGCCCGATACTAGATTGATCTTGGAACTGCGGTGAGTGCCACTGTTTGCAGCTCGATCCGTATATAAGCATACGACATGTGCACACTGTGCGGCTGTGCGAGTGCCGACTTGTTGCTGATCATCGAGCATGTCACTCACTCCCTTTCGACGACAGGCACACGATACTGAGGGTACAGCTCGCCTGGATGTAGAGTTATGTCAAGCAACATCAATGGCTCCTTGATACAAATGTGGTCCTGCCGGATGAGTATAACTTAAAGGAGCCTACCTGTTACCAACAGTGCTCCCCAACCTCACTCTGTGGCTCTCAGTCCCATCTGCACCTTAGACTTGGGCTGCAAATCCATGGCCACGCCATCAAGCTCCGTAGTTGCTGCTCAATATGTTGCTGAAATCCAGAGGTTGTAAGTTGGCACACTTGGATACAACGTGTTGTGAGTGCAACTAACGGTACAGCTGTGCAGGACAACAAGCAATCTATGTCAAGTCGCAGTCACTAGTAAACAGTGTCCCACCTTTCGCCTTGTGTGTAAAATGCTCACATATTATCAACAGTGCTGCTTTTGTATGATATTATTCTTGTCTTTGGCCAAGAATACCAATACATCTGGCGATCACGGATGTTTTGGTTGTCACGAGTCCTGTATATATGGAACAGGTACATGTACTTTCTAGCTCTTTTTATGGACCTTGGGACCATCTCGACAATATCGGACAATGTGAGTGTGTTTCCCTTGTTTATTATGCAGAAATCCCAATGAACCATACTTCTACAGAGGTAGATCCTTATGCCCAGCCATTCATTGCAATCGCTCTCTGATGCCATGCCTACTGCAAGCTGCACTTTGCTTGGCTGGCTCAGCGCAATCCTAAAGGTCCTGACACTGATTGGACCTGCCGGTGAGTACATATGCCACTTGCCACAGCCCTACCAGCTGATGATATACACCAGTCTTCACTACTCTGCAAATATACTCGCTCTCAAGGGGGAACAGGATTCTGGGTGGGGTGGTACTGATGCTGAGCATGGCACCCTTTTTAATCAATGGGGTCAGCCTTCTGTCACCTGTACCACCATGCGCTTGCTGACAGGTAAAAACACAGAGCACCATATACCAGAGACCTCCCATCAATCTCCCTACACCGCTGAACTGCTCTCAGAATAACAATGCTAGCAAGAGCTTCAACATCAAGTAAGTTGTCTTCCTCTGATCATACCTAGCAAAGTGTGCATCACACTCACATCAGCATGGCAGATGTTAGTACAGTAAATCCTGGGATACATATGGTTATTGACATTCTTGGACAGTGGTCATTGCCTCAAGGGGCTCTCTGATCATCGTGAACTCGCTGGCTGCCGTCCTCACCTGGCATCAAACATGTGTGGCAAGGGCAAGGACATGTGTAGTGAAGCAGCCTTCTCTCGAACAGGTGATGTGGGAAAATGGTAGGCTCAATGCTTAGAATAGGCTGGAGTTGATCTGAAACTCCTTTGCTCTCATACAGTAATTGTCAACTTCTGGTATGTTTGCACGCAATGGCTTGGAAGCACCGTGGATGCAGTAAGTCATATTCTGAATAATTTGAATGCAGTGTCCTGGTCTCCATAAATGTGGTGGATATGGTGCTTGTGCTACGTTCGGTGTGTGCCCACCCCCTAGACAAGTGTACATGTTGTGATATTGATTTTCCTCCTGTACAGATGGCCATAACACCGGATGACATATCCTCATTTGTTGCGTTGTTTGCCAACCCGTAAGACTATTGTCCTTATTTCATCCATTGCTCTTGGTAGTTATTAACCCTCACAATGAACCTTCTCCACAGCATTTCCTCCATCTTGAACAGCCACTTCCTGCTTGCCCTCCACAAAATGAACACACAACTTCAAGGGGCTGCTAATGCACCTATATCCTCCCTCACTCTCGAGACTGGTAGCCACAGTGAACCAATGGCAGGTTCACCCAAGCTCCCTGAATTTCTTGATGTCATTGGTGGCTCAATCCACTCATTCCACAATGACAAAGATGAAGACCTCACCCTGCCACCGGGGGAGGGACAGCAGTCTGAGATAGAAGACGATATCCAGGTGGCCTGATACTTTCATCTTCCACTTTTTTTTCTTCCAGATCTACCCTCTTGACAGTCCTTTTCTTGGTTTCCTGACTCGTATTCATGCAGGTGCTACAGGTTGTACGCATGAACGACACAGTACACACACCTTACATATACCCTACTACGGCTGATATTTGAACATCTAACCTGGCTTGTATGTGCCTCTCCATCTCTGTATGTTATTGTGACTGCTTGATATGTATCTTGAATTGTGTTTACAATTTAAGACAGCCAACATTGTGCATTTAGCGATAGTTCAGCCATAGACTCATACATATACCTACACTCGCATATGCAATACATCAGGAATGAGCTCTGGCTCCAGTACACTGATCTCCATGAATGTCGTGGATATAGTGCATGTTATGCTCTCGGTGCGTGTTCTAAGTTGCATAGTTAGGTATGTGTTAACAGTCACCGGACTCGAGGTCGCGAACATCGCAGTTAGGTCGTCTGGGGATGCCCGACTGCTAAACACGCCCCCTATATTTTGAATTTCATCGAGCCGTAAGGCCGTCTCCTTGCTACATACATTGCCGCTTCTCATCCCCGCTACGTCCCCAGCATCTCTTCTATCTTGAATAGCCGCTTCCTACTGGCTCTCCACGAGACAAACACACGGCTCGAAGGCGCGGCGGACGCCTCCATCTCCTCTCTCTCCCTCAACATTGGCAGCGGCGACAACCCAGGGCAGGCTCGCCTGATCTCCCGGAGCTCCTCCGAATTATTGGGGAGCCGATCCGCTCGTTCGATGATGAAGACGAAGACCTGCAATCGCTCGAGTTCGCGCCGCCGCAGGAGCAGGAGGATCAGTCCGAGCCCGAAGGAGAGATTGCGGAGAGTAGCAGAGATGCAGGACGTCTGGCGTGATTCTTTCCCCTCCACATATGCTGGCCGTATGGACTGCACAGTACTTCTACTCTCTATCTACACTAGTACGGCCGATACGGACGTATCGTGAAGAAGCCTCACTGTATGTCTGTCTCCGTACGTTGCTATACCTATCTGATATTTCTCGCGGCGGGGAGGGTCCCAAACCGTGCAGACGACTATCGATACACCGGACTCGTCACGAACACCGGCTGCAACCTAGGAGAGGCCCGCCCGGTAGTACGCCTTTCCAGGATCTAAGGCTCGGACATGTACGGACAGGTGAACGGGTACCCGCTGTGGCAACCTGCACGTTTGACATTCCGCCATCATGCTCCGTAGTGTTCGGTCCATCTGCGTCTGCATCCTAGTCCACAACCTCGGGCTCTAGAACCTACAACGGCGGGGCCCGGCGTACGGGGTGCCAGACCGTGCGCCGCCTCAGGGGCGTCCGCGAAGCCTCGCGCGAACACACCAGCGAGCTTGCGAGTGGTTTTTCAGGTCTGGCAAAGGCGCGCCATGAAAGACACGACGACATACGAGCGTAGGTAAGGAGACCGTTCCTCGAGCTCAAGTGTCGCGGTGCATGGCGCGAGTGCACACTCGCATGGTGAGGCGGATACCCACGATGGGTGCACACTCTGCGTTACGCGGTCCTGTCGCATTTCGCATGACCGCACAGAGGGTCTACGATCGTCCTGACCGCTGCGGCAATTTCAACGACGGCGCGAGGGCGGGCGTAGGTCGGTAGAACTTTGGGATTGTCGGTTTCGTTACGGTATGTTGCGTCCGCGGCGCTCGGAGCATCGCGCGCATGCACGTCCGGCGGCCGACCGCTGGAAACACAGATCAGCGCGTCGAACGGAGATGCATTGCGGAGCGACGGCAGGGGGGATCTCCAGAGAGCCTTCCGTGGGGTTTACTCTTCTCTCTGCTCGCACCTGTACCATCGTGTGTGTGTGTGCGCGCGCGTGCAATTAGATCCACGATACTGCACGCATATCTACGTTGTAGCTCGCCACCACCGCTACAGACGCCGTTCATCGCGACGATGCAGGACGTGGACGCGGAGCTACTCACGTGTGCTACTGCACTCAGCCCTCGCTGGGCACTGCGCTGGCCGCGCTGTCTCGCGATGCTGCCGTGTATCCGTCGTGCGGAAGCACTCACCCGGTGCTGGGTGTCCTAGACGTAGAGTGCCGACGCGGAAAAGTCGGAGGATAAGTATCGGGGGTCTTCGCTAAGAGGTGCGAATACGGGCGCGGATTGTGTCTGGTGGGGGAAGATGAGGATGTCGATTGAAAAGTGGGATACCCGTAGCGTACCTGGAGCTGTGGTAGACGTCTGTGCTTGAATGTATTGTAGTCTCCGACGAGCGCCCGTGCTCCGCTTGATCGCGACGGGCCTGGGTGCAGTCCTTATGAAACCTTCGGCTGCGCACTGTAAAGACAATCCCAGTAAGCAAGGGGGACTCAATATCTTCCCTACTCAGCTCGTACGCGCCCACCTTTAGGAGTCTGCGCGGCACTGCGTGGTGCGTACCACACCATACAGCGCCGTCACGATGCGCCTGTGCAATCCTCCCACATGCGCGGGCGGCGAGACGCTGGTTTCGCAGCCCACAGAGAGTGCGCACGTGTCCGGTGGCGGAAGATACTCTCCTTCCGCAACCCGTCTTGCGCGCCGCGCGGTGGGTCCGTGGGGTGGTAGCAACGCGGCAGGCGCGGGTGTCCACAAACGCTGGGCTTGTGGCTTCGTGTGCGTGCACGCCCGGCCGCTTGAATAATGATATAAACACAGATTAGCTCGTGGAACAAACGTATATCGCATAGCGGCGACAGAAAGCGCTCCCCTGCGGGCTGCCTGTGGTTTCTCCTCTGCTTTCTGCTTGTTACTTCTACTAGGTGCGCCGGCCCTGCACCGTCGTCCTCGACACTGCAATGCTCACTCGATGCTGTATCTCGTGTTCACGGCCACACATGGTGCCGTGCGTGACCAGACGTACAAGTGCCTGCTGCTGCTCTCCACGCTCGCTTACAGCGCTGACTGCAGTGTCTCTCGATGCCGGAAAGTGTCCATACGACGCATGGGGGCTCTACTCACCTTTCTAAACGTCCTATGTATTGTATGCCGACGCAGCGACGTCGGGGCGTGAGAGCCGCAAGCGGTGCGTATGGCCGTTCAGCTGGAGAAGCGAGGGGGCGGGCGGAGGGTACTAGGTAGATTGGGTGCCTGCTGGATCACAACGAGTATGATGGTGTGATTGAAATATAAAAAGCGTGCTTGGAGTTGGCGTGGGTGGGCGTGCCACGGTGCGTGGCCCAGGTGTGTTACAGGCTCCCTCCTGAACCGGCGTAGCGAAAACAGAGGTACATGGGCGCTTGTTGTCGACGAGGACGAGATGAGACGGACTGAAAAGGAGGCTCGAGCGTAGAGACGTCGAATGATCCACCGCTGCGAGTAGTACCCGTTGGCCTCTGATGGCGTGGAGATTGGCTACAAGCGCCAGAATGCTAGACATGTTCGGCTTACGCAGATGGACGGGAGACTGGGCTACGGCGTGCGGCACGGTCGCCGATGCGAACGGATCTTGAGGCAACGCCGCAGGATACGTGCGATCGTCGTGTGGTGTAGATGTTGTGCAGATTTGCGTGAAAAAGGCGGCGTATGGGGAGTATTGACGGAATACGGGCGTGTCGTCGACCAGCGCGGGGAAAGCGAAAGGCGCGATGAAGTTTACTGTGTGCGCCCAAGAGGTATGAGAACAGAGATGGGAAAATTACACGCACAAAGAAGGGACTGTTTTGCGAATGAAGTGTATGCACACAAGGCGCGCGGAAATTGACGACGGATGTGTGACGTACCTGGTGTCCTCGCTGACATATCTCGTCCGAAGAGCTGGGTGAAAGGGTGCAGCGAGCAAACCTGCAAAGCGACGCGTCTGGTTTGCGGCTGCAGGAAGGATACTAATGCGGCGGAAACGTACTGGACGGAAGCGGCAGCACGAGCACGGGACGGCCAGACGCGTCGCTCGGTAGGACTCGGAGACAGCGGCAGAAGGGTGGCAGAGAGCAGACTTATGGCGGCGAGAACAAACGTCTGGCGAGTCGAGGACAGCATACAGCGCAGAGCAGAAACTTCAAAAAAGCCTAAGCCGAGTGGGCGAGCGTCGTTGAGAGAGGCAGAGAGAGCGAGAGCGAGTCGAGTAGCCAGCTGGTGTCCGTCTTTACCGGAGCAGCCGTGGGAAGGCCTGGCACGAGGCTCTTGAACGCCGATGACGTCTTCGTACCGAGCCATCGACATTCTCCTCTGTAGCTCTGAGCGTACATGTCTTTTGGTCCACCCAGATAGCTAGTTTGTCTTTTTAACGCAAACAAACTCACGCTCAGCGCGTACATGGACCCCCGTAATTCAGGGACGACCGGGGGCGTCGAGAATGAATAAATCCCCGTGTGCCAAACTCACAGACAGACCTGGCACTGTCCACGCGGGCGGGACGAGCACATCCGTCCATCTGGCACAACGGTTTGAGCCTATAATTTTAGCCCTTTGAAAGTGGGATAGTGGAGCCGCCTCAAACGGCGGATGACTATATGCAGAGCAAGGTGCGTCGTTCGTACCAGACCATGGGCGATATAAGACGTGTTGTGATGCCCGTAAACGGAAAATATGACTGCGAAGAATGACGCGCGGAGTCATACATAGCTGCGAGGACATCGATTCGGCTACAAATTATAGTACGCGCAAGGTCTACGCGAGATATCGCCGCTGCCGCAGCGCCCGGTGTACATAATCTTGTACAATCGCATTACGTCCATAGAACGCGCCCTTGACCACAATATCACGGACTGCACACATGCTCAGGTCAACGTGGGTCGAGTCGAGCAGTCCCGGATTTCGAATCAGCTGGCGCTGTTCCAACGAAGCGCAGCGGCGGCACACCCCGGAGTCGTGCCGGGAATGAGCACGTCAACGTGCGTGTGCGGGCCCTCCTACGGATGAACAGCATATGAGCAACGAGCCTCGTGCCTCCGAAGACTCTGGGGCACGTACAAGACTTGGATTGGCCGCCACATAGTGACTCAGACCCACCTCCAGACCCTAACATTTGGACATCTGGTATTCTGAGCGCACACAGCTTGTGGTCGTTCCGTCCATGTCGAGTTCGTCCGCCTCGCAGAGATGTTCTTGAATGGGACGGTCATTCTGCCGTGTCATGTCCGGCTCCCGAGCACGGACGTCTGACATCGTGCCAGCCAGTGACCGTTGTGCGTGTGCGTGAGCGAGACAGAGCCCGATGCGGCATGCCGGTGCAGAAGCGTCTGATACGAGCGTTGAACTTCGATGCGATATTGGGCCAGCACATACCTAGATCTCAGGCCGTATCCTTGGGCGTCGATTGTGCGCTATGCGGCGCACGGGAAGTCAGCGTCATGGTGAGCACACCACATTGTACTGAGACGGGCCAGCCGGACATTGCCTGGCGTCCCTGGCACAAAAGACAGGTTAAGGATAATGTAGGCGTCGGATACCTGACATGCACTACGTACCGGCCTTGCTAACCTGTCCTTAGTCACCAAGAGACAAGAGAGGCTTCCTCTGCGTTGGCGTTTGCTTCCGTCCATCAGGGCTCGTTCGAGGCAGCTTGAGGGTGTCCCAGTTTGCGTTGACGGTGACCATGAGATCGAGAACACCTATGAACGGCACAACGATACCGCCCTAGGCGTGGGTCCCGCCGTGTGTTCGACGTGGCGCATGTCTGTATGGGTACGCGTAAGCCTGCGTGCTCTAGCGCTATTCCAACATCCGCGGAGCCGAGAGGTGAAGGCTTACCCACCAGATGAGATGCGGGGTTTCCTGCGCGTCGAATCCCGACGCAGAGGCCTCAGGGCGCAGGCGACGCGCGCATATGGCCACCGGCTGGTGAGTGGCTGGGCGAGTTTGATGCCTGGAAGGGAGTAATGAGTGTGTGGGCAAGAAGGATAGAATGTAGGTAGCGTACTAGGAGCCGTCGTCGGATGTCTGGGCACGATGCAAACATGTTGCCCCGGCGCCCATTCTGAACCTGCAAAAACGGGAGCAGAGGCGGATCGGCGGATGTTGTTGGCGAGTGTGAGAGATCGAGCACGTTGAGGATGGCGAGTAGGAAAGCGTCGAGCTATCAAGTATGTAGCCGTCGACGGTGCTTTTGGCCTCTAAGTGATGTGTGTGGGGCTGATAGCCCGTGTCGCAGTGCCAGACGCGTTGTGCGCCCGTGGACGGTATGGTTGAAAAGGGAGAGATCGAAGATGCGATCAAGCCTGGGGAGTGGAATTAGAGCGCAATAGATGAGAGACAGAGAATGTCGTGCACTGGGAAGGGAGGATCCGCGATCGTGTGCATACGCGCGTACTCGGGCGCGGAGGACGATGGACGTGCGTAACATACCTGATGCCCCTGGGACTGATACTGCAAGAGAGAGAGAGCAATAAGCACCTTTCAAAGTCGCAGGAACGGCCCGGGTACGGAGGCGGGGAGGGAGGCAAGGGCCCGGGTGCGGAAAGCGGCAGTGTGAGCACGAGGAGTGGACGGGCCGCTCGTTGGGCGGCGGCCGAGAGCAGACGTTGTGCGAGTCGATAACGATGCACTGCGAGGCGCAGAAAGTGCGGGTGAGGCTCGCTGACAGAAGCCGAGAGAGCGAGTGAGTGAGCGAGGATGGTGAACGGAGAGAGCAGCCACGATAGCAGTCCGTCCTTCCCGGACTCGTACCCGTGGGAAAGCTGGCTCGGGACTACCGTGACGCGTTCTTCCCGGTGCGCCCACGGGTAAGTCCGGCCGAGCGCTTCGCGCGGCCGATGACCTCTCCTCGAGCTCTCCCTTGCCTCTTCCGCTGGTGACCTTGTGCGTACGTATCCAACTTTGTGAACACATGCTACTCTCAGAAAGCTCTTAGAAAGGTCTGCACGTATCCTTAAACCGTCCACGATACATTAGCTGACAAGCCGCCGGCCAAAGGGCGTCGCGACCGTCGCTGTAAGAAGATATGAGAAGAACGCGGGGACACATCCTTGCCCATTATGGCCCCGCAAGGGCCACTTTCGCGTGTATTATGCGCAACGATTGCCTTATACGAATCCAGGCAGTGCATTCGCGAGCTGCGCGCCGTAAGAGTGTCTGCCAAAAGTCGTCTAAATAACCATCTGACTGAGCCTCAGTCGTTAGGCCTCATCGCAGTTCATTATACAGCTTTGAGTAATTCTAAAGGTTCCTATGGTCTAGTGAGATGTGCAGAATGTCGTGCAGAATACACATCCCTAATCTTGTAAGCTTACATCGCCATTATGGCTCGCCGTCATGCCGTGTACGCTCATCGTCTAAATAGTATCCGTGAAGCTAGTATACTCATGGTCGTGAGTCTTTGACCACACAGAAGAGTATATTAATAAGTTCCCAACGTCGTACAAAGTACCTGCGTTTACTGACCTCGGACAGCAGCAAAGGACCACCGTGACACGAACCCCGCTGCGGGCCTCCCGCGTAGGTCGTCTACCATCCAGGATCCTCATTCCACGATCGGCATGTCGACCAAAATAAACTGCGGCATATCGCGTCGAAAAACCGCGTACCGTCGGTATATCGACGCACGAAGTGTGGATCTGACTATGGCCATCAGCCTCGCCAATACAATGCATGCGAAAGGGCCAGGTTTGCCATACCGAGCCGGATTTTGGGATTTCGGGATTGTGGCGGGCGCGCTATGTCGGAGCGATTAGGATATTTCACTTGGTGGAAACCTAGGTACGTGGTATATTCGCGTGCTAGACCGTAGTCGCCTCAGCATCGACTCAAACCATCGGCGCATTTTTGTCGTGCAGTGTGCCACCTTGCGACCCACTGCACAACATCCACTCTGTACCCGGAGTGCTCTTCGGCGACGCGGTCGGATTTCCCGCCTTCTCGAAAAGTTCAACCCAGCGACCATCCGCACGAGTACCGGTGCTACATGCGGTACCCTAGAGCCCTCAATCTCCGCTCCCAGCTGCACCGCTGGAAAGCGCGTCTCTCCCGGCTCCTTCGTGTTTCTCCTTCGCTGATCCACAGCCGCCATAGTCGCCGCAACTCAGGGCCACACCCCCACCAGCCACGCGCACGTCCGGAGCTCTCCGCCCACCTCAACACCGACCTACCAGCCCCTCAGGCACACCGTTGGCATCTCCTTGCAACGCCGCCTCCGAGCTCGGTGCGGCTGTGTGGAAGGCGTCTTCGCGAAGTCGTACATTTGATAGTTAGCAAGTGCATCTCAAACTCATCAGCGCCTGCTCCGTTCACCACGCCGTGCGCCGTCGCTGGTCTCCATCTCTTCACCTCATCTGATCTCAGAAGCTGGTGGATGCGTTTTGAGATGCTGACTCTGAGTACGGCGGGGGAGACTTTACCCCGGGCCTCAGCAGCGGGTATTCGAGGGATCGAAGACGTGAGGGTGGGTTCTCGATGGGATCCGACTCGCGGCCTCGCGTGCGTGCACATGTAGCGGCGGGTGGACGCTTGAAACGCACTGGTCAGCGCGCGGAACCGGTATTCAATGCAGCGCGACGACGAGGTGAGCTCTCCAGCAAGTCTCCTGTGGATTCTCCGCTCATATTTCCTCGTTGTTTTCCGCGCCGTCATGCGTGCACACGCCTGCATCGCCATCCTAGATTCTGCACGACCACCCGTGCCATAGATCGCCATCGCTGCCACACGCAGTACGAAGCGTGCCGAGGAGAAAAGGGGGCACAGTTGTACGTGTGCCCGCGGCTGCACTCCGTCCTCGTTGACCTCGTCGTCTCGCACTGTATATGCATGCGCGTACGGCGCGTGAAAGACACGCTCACCTTGTTCCGGGTGGTCTGCCGTCGATTACCGAGAGGAAGACGTCAGGGCGCAGGGGACACGCGCATAGGGCTGGCGGCTAGAGAGGCGAGGGTGCGAGCTGCGGAGACTGGGCGTATTTGGCGTCTGGAAATGCACGGTGAGTATGTAAAACGAAACAAATGTCTGTATCGTACCTAGAGCCGTCGTAGACGTGTGTGCATAATACAACTGTATGTTGCACTGATGTCCCTTCTGGACTGGCGAAAGCGAAGGCGCGGAGGCGGCTGGGCGAACGTTGTGTACGAGTGTAAGAGATCAGGTGAGTCGAGGATGGGGAGGAAACGTCGAGACGTCGAGTATCTAGCCGTCGCAGAGGGTGTTGACTTCTGAGTGAAGTGGGAGGGGCTGCAGCCCGTGCTGCAGTGTGACAGATAGTGAGCGCCCGTAAATGTCATCGGCCACACCGGGAGAATCGAAGGTTCGATGAGGTTTGAGGAATATTTTCAGAGCACAGTAGAGGAGATACAGAGAAATCCGTGCACAGGAAGGGGACGATGCGCGAATCGGGTGCATACGCGCGTACTCGGGCGCGGAGGACGACGATGGACGTGCGTAACGTACCTGGTGCTCCTTGCAGACATGTCTCATATAAAGAGCCCTCTGAAAGTTCCAATGGTCAGACATGCAGAGCAAGGGACATGGGTCGCAGTTGCAGGAGGAGCGCGGTGGCGGGATGAGAGAGAAGCGGGGGGCACAAAGCGGCGGGCGAGCACAAGGCGAGTGGACGGGTCGCTCGTTGGGAGGCGGCGGAAAGCAGACGTCACGCGTCATGCATAATGGGCGAGTCGAGAAAAGTGCACTGCAAGGCGTAGCGACTGTACGCAAGGATTAAGTTGAGAGCTAGCCGATCGAGGAGCGAGTGAGGTTGGTGAATGGAGAGCTCGAGCAGCCAGAGTCCGCTCTTTCCGGAGCATCCGTGGGAAAGTCGGCTCTGGACTACCGAGAGCGTCGACGTCTCTCTCTCCTGCCATCTCTGCGCGTACCTATTCATATTCAGCCCTTGGAATTCTTGATACATTCTGAGTTCTCGAACGCCCTGCTCAGAACCCGGAATTATTCGACTGGCGGACGTCTGGACCTGCGAAGGCTGCCAAGTGCCTGCGTCGCTGAGAAGAACGCCGCGACCTCAACGACCCTCCCGACGTTGCGTCGCCGAATGTGGGTAAATCTCGTCTATCTTTCCCCATTACGACCAGGGGACCCGTTTCCGCGAGCGTTATTCGCCAAGATCCCCTCTCTACGCACTTGGGGAGCACAACTGCGTATTGCGCGTCTTAACCTGCGCGCAAAAAAGCTTCAAAATGACCCATACGAAGCCCCACGACCGCCTATCGCGTGAAAAAGTGCACGCTGACGAATCCTGTGGCTTTTTCGACGCGTCGCGTTGGAACAGATGTTAGTGGCGAGCCGCGGCCGCGCGATGGAAGCTAGTAGCTCGTGCGGAGTCAACACTGCGATTGTTGTTCGTCCAAACGGTACCCGTGACTCTACTTATGTCAAGTCTTGCAGACAAAGAAGTCTGAACAGTACGTTTCCGACATTATATAGAGCATCAGCATTTTACAGACCTCGAGAAGCGAAGAACGATCCAAATTCGGCGGGCGCGCAGCGCAGGAAGCACACGCAACTTCGTGAGGATACCGACCCGCGAACGATGGGCTTGACCTACTAGTAATGCACCCCGCTCGCAGAATGCTTACGGGAGGATAGGGTCTGACATACCGAGCTGCAATATTGGAAAGCGAGCGAGCGAGCGATCTCAAGGCAATGGAGATTCCATACCTCCCCTGGCGGTCGTCGTGGAAGCACAGGTATGTGACGTTTCCGCCGTACAGAACCATAGTCGCTTTAGCGGCAATTCGAATTAATGGGCGCATTTTCCGTCGTGCAGTACGCTACCTTGCGACGCGCTGCAAGCATAGGGGCAACTTAGCAGACAGCTCGATCTTCGGCGACGCGCCCCACATGCCCGAGCTGGCAGCTCTAGTCGCAGAACTCAGCTCAACGATCTTCGGCGCGAGTAGCTACATGCAGCACTCCAAAATACACGCATTCGGTCGCTCTACTGATAGGCTTCTGTCTCGGAGCTTCTTCGTGTCTCTTTGTGTGCTGATCCAGATCCACCGCAGTCGCCGTAGCTCGGGGCCACATTCTCGCCAGCCACACGCGCGCCCGGAGCTCTCTGTCCACCTCAACACCGACCAGGGATCTACTACAACCTCGTGCACACCGTCACCTCCCCGCAACACCCCCTCCGAGCTCAGCGCAGGGGTGGCAGGCAGCTTCGCAAAGCCGCATTTTTGATAGATTGTACGCCCTGCTCAAATTATAGATGCATCAGCGCCTGCGTTGCTCACCATGCCGCCGTCCCAGGTTCCCCTCCCTGCACCGTGTTTGAATCACCGGGCACGCGAACACGTCAAGGATGCTAACTCTAAGTGATTCTTCATCACAGGGTTGACAGGTGCATGCAACTATATAAACGAATGGGCTCACCACCGGCGATGCACTCGATGAAGCACGGTAGTAGCATGTTCATCTTGTTGGAACTGTCGTGAGTGTGGTTGCAACGTGAACTCGAAGCTCGACACCCCTTGAAGCAGAGGGACAGCGTCTCTTTTATCGTATAATCCAGATAGGGGGCCATGTACATCTCGATGCGTGGATTAAAGTACAACGTGCACACAATGCGTAACTGCGCGAGTACCAACTCATTGCTGACAATCAAGCATCCTCGTGATTCCTATCTGACAACACACACGCGATACTGAGGGTACAGCTCGCTAGCATGTGGAGCTATCTCAAGCACCATCAATGATGGCTTGGTAAGAAGTTCTTCCTACCAGATGAGCATGGCTTAAAGGTTACTGCAAACACAGCGCTCCCTCAGTCAAATCCCTGGCTCTCAATCCTGTCTGCACTTTGACTCATCATCTTGGACTCAGACACCCCAGTCATGTCATTATCAAGCTCGGCTGTCACTGCTCAGTATGTTGCGGAAGTCCAGGCAATGTAAGCCCATGCACCTTAATTCAACTCTTTGTGGATGTGGCTAATGGTATAGCTGTGTAGGACAACAGATACCACAGTCGGCATTGTTGCTACAGGTACATATCTTCAAGTCCCTTCCCCTTCCGCTCTCCCTGCGAAATGCTCACCTCTGATTGATAGCACTGCTTGTGTATGATGTGCTTCTCACTTCCGGGCAACAATACCGATATATTTGGCAATCACCAAAGTCATGGGTCTCACGAATCCTGTATATGTGGAACAGGTATATGTATTTGTTTTCCCTTCTCTTGAGTCTTGGGACCATTCCATCAATATCAGAATTGGTGAGTACACATTCCCTGCCCCTTGCACATATATTGGAATGAACTGTATATTTACAGAGGTAGATCCTTGTTCTCAACTCTTCAATGCATGCACTCTTTGATGCCAGTCCTGATGCAAGCTGTACTTTGCTCATCTGGCTCAGCAAAGCCATACAGTTCCTGAATCTGATTGGACCTGCCGGTGAGTATGTATGCTACTCACCACAACCATACCAGCTGACAAGATGCACCAGTGTTCACTACCCTGCGGATATACGTGCTGTCAGGAAAGAACAGGATCCTGGGTGGAGTGGCCCTGGTTCTGAGCATGGCACCCTTCCTCATCAATGCGGTCAGTCCTCTGTCTCGTATATTTCCATGCACTTGCTGATGGGCACAAGCACAGAGCACTGCATACCAGCAACCTCCCATCAACCTCCCTGCACCACTGAACTGTGCTGCCACCAACACAGCCAGCAGGAGCCTCATCATTGGGTGGGTCTTCTTCTTCCAATTTTACTCAAAAATATGTGCATTGTGCTCACCACTCAGTATTTCAGATGTTAGTAGAGTGGTTCCTGGCAAACAGACATCTGTTAACCTAGTTTGTAGTGACCATTGCCTCGAGGGGCTCTCTGATCCTTGTCGACTTGCTGGCTGCCACTGTCACATGGCGCCAAACACATGCAGCAATTCGGCTGAGGACAGATACCATGAAACAGCCTTCCTTTCAACAGGTGATGTGGGAAAATGGTAGGCTCAACATGTTGTTCTCAAGAGGTCAAGGTTGTATGCTGATCTGCAAGTTTCTGTCTGTTTTACAGGAACTGTTTACTTCTGGTCTGTTAATTAGTCAAGCACTGTGACTCATGTTTTGACAAGCAAGTTGTCTGTAGTGTGCTAGTTTCCCTGAATGTGGTGGATGTGGTGCTTGTCATACTTTCTGTATGTGCCATGCTCAGACAGCTATGCATGTAATAACTTTCTGCTTCCTCCACAGATTGCCTCGGCACCAATAAGCGGTCAATCCTCTTATGTTGAACAATTTGTCGACCCGTGAAGTGATATCCCCTACTGCTCTCATATCCCCTACTAATCCTGGTACCAAATATTCTCCACAGCATTTCCTCCATCTTGAACAGCCACTTTCTGCTTGCCCTTCACAAGGCAAATGCACAGCTGGAAGGGGGGGCCAATGCATCCATATCCTCCCTCTCTCTCAACACTGGCAGCAGTGGCAAACTGCAGGCAGGCTCCGCTGAGCTCCCAGAATACCTTGGTGTTATTGGGGGCTCAATCCGCTCGTCCCATGACAATGCGGAAGACCTGCAATCCCTCGAATTTGCGCCACCACAGGAGGAGGAGCACCAGCCCGAGCTGGAAGGAGAAATTCAGGAGATTAGGAGAGATGGAGGGTTTGTGGCCTAATACTTTCATTTTATTTTCATGTTCTTTCACACCCGCTCATTCACCGGACATCTTCTTGGCTTCTTGACACAGTCTATGTTCAATTCATATATAAGTTGGCCATATGGACGAGTCACGACACAGTACATGCACCTTTCATATACCTTGCTATAGCTGATATTTATGTGTCTAGATTGGGAGATGTGCTGAACAGCCGCTGTCTTTGTATGTTTTGCTACAACTGCTTGCTATGTATCTTAGACATCTTGCATGTATTATTTGCGCCTTGGGTAATTATTTCCATTCTGTGCTTCAAATGTCTATGCAACCGGCTATTGACAAAGCCATCGTGTACAATACTGTGGCAACCCAGGAGAGGTTGATGCACGATCAGTAAGCCCCTTGACAAAGACTTTGGCATATATAGACATGTATACACACTTGAGTATATACTGATAGTAGACCATGAACATGATGGCATCAGTGGAATGGAGTATTTATGCCAGATTTGCCACAGCGATCAGGAGACCTGCAAGTCCTATGCTGTGCCATCATACACTGCACGCACCATTGGGCACTGGGTCCGTACACTTGGCCCCAGGGGGAATTCCCCAACATGTCAAGCCTCCCTTGGCTCCCGCTATGGACGCTCCGCATGCAGGATCCACCGGTAATCTTACTGAGGATCTTGAGCAGATTAGTGATGACTGGGCCGGCATTTGGCAGAACTCGCAGCGGCAAGAGATGATTCAGCCTGTGCCCACATTAAGAATCATGGGATTCCTGCACGATTCCTTGGAATGCTATAAGGCGTTGAGAGAGCAAGTCGTGCTCGCCGAGGCCGAGCTCAACGACCGGCTCGCTATCTTCAAGTGAGAGATGCAGGAATTGGCCCAACAGGGCGCGGACCATATGGTGGGTCCTGAACACAACGTCAAGGATGTTATCGACACCACTCAGGTGGAGGCCCACCTGGCCGGCCCTCCAAGTCCCACACCCAGTGAGGTGTGCCACCAGCAGATGGAGTACGATCACGTAGTGTTACATCCCGTGCGCCCAACCTCCGAACCCCCGGGCCAACCCCCGAACCTCCGTACAAACTACCGGTTTCCGATTCTATTCCGACTTCTTCTATTTAGACCTTTCCCTCTTGGCGCCTCGCACCAAGACACTTACCTAGACAAAAGGCTTATTGTTTTCAGACACACGTTATATCCCGAAGTCCCGCACTTTCCTTTATGGTACTTCTTATTGTTTCCGAAGACAATTAGGCTTCTCAGTATTTAAACGAACTGGATTGTACTAGCTACTCAGTTCGGATATGTTGTTCACTTATCCATCTCCTTTCTACTCTCGAACCTCCGAACCTCCGAACCTCCGAACCTCCGAACCTCCGACCTCCGACCTCCGAACCTCTGACCCCTGAACTACGTCTCTAAGCTTGTCTTCTATATCGCTCTTGACCTCTCCCCTCTCCTGTCCCCCCGACTCTCTAGTCTCGTCCCGGAACTTCGTTAGTTCCGGTACTTGTACTCCCGACCCCCGAGTTGGTACTTCTCGTAAACCGAGGACACCCGACAAGTGTGCCCGGCGCGTTACTAATAGTTTCACGAAGTCCTCCTTCCCGGTGCTCAGTACTTCGGGACTTCGTTAACCCCCAAACTTCCGCGCACGGTCCTAACACGTAGAGTGACTACACTGGGCTGGACTTGGTCAAGTCAGTCCCACGGCAGGTCCTTCCCGCATTGCATCTCCCACTCCTGGGAGCCACACACCCATTTGTGCAGGACAACCCCAACGAAGTGTAGCCTTCAGCCAGTTCAAGCCTTCAAACATCACTCCACTGCCAGACTGGGACCAGTACAACTCTGTGTTGCAGGCACCCCGGAGAGACCATAGGCCCACCACGTCTACGGCAGTGCCCCAACAGCTGGTGCTTTGACCACGTTGGTCCATGGCCCCAGGTGTCTCTGTACACCCTGGACTCCCAGTAGTCCCCAAGCAGGACCTGAACAGGTCTGAGGAGCTCGCGTACACCGGTCCCAGCTATGGACCTCGTGACACCAGGGAAGTCTAACGGCTTCTCGGGATGATCGACAAAATGGTTGGGGAGGAACCTACCTCCAGCCCTCCAGCCTATCTGAAGGTCACAAAGATGACACTCCCAAAGCCCCGTACACTGGCAAGGACAACCTCAATGCTTTTGAGATTTGGTTTCATAACCTTCTCTAATTTTTCCATACTCTCTGGATAACCGGCCCTTCCATGGACCATAATCATCTACGAATACTGGGCGACTGTTTGGCTGACAATGCGGCCACTTGGCTGTACAATACTGTACAGTCCCCGTCCCATGAGCGACGGGATTGGCTGTTCGAGCAGGCCATACTCGGCTTATTCCGATGTTTCATTCACCGAGATGATCATCTCCAAGCTTCTCAGGAGTACGAGAACCTGAGATTTGAGCTCAGTAGGGGCAGTTGTGGTGTTGTATGAACACTTATTGTACATCAACAAGAAGATGTGGGAGAAGCCTTCTCCATTCCAGATATGTTGCAAGTTTATAGAGATGTTGCCCGTCAGCTATGAGAATACTCTCACTGTACTTAATGGCCTCTTCATTAAATATAATAGTTTATCCCAGCTTTATCAGGCTGCACTCGAGATCACACAGAGTTGCCAGACGATACAACACCACCGTCGCATTGTTAGGAGCGTGCTGAGCAGAAGTACGAAGGTCCGAAAATGCGGAGGTTCGAAAACCCGAAAGCGCAGTAGTACGGATTCCGGAGGTACGTAGGCTCGGAGGTTTGGAAGTTCGGAGGTTTGGAGGTTTGGAGGTTTGGAGGTTGACAAGTAGTTGAATTGAAGGTAGCGAAGGGGAGGTATGGAAGGTAACAAACAAGATGGAAGAGAATGTGGTAAACGAGATATTTGAACTGAGTAACTACAGTATTCCAGCTCGGTATAAGTAGTACATAAGCTTATTGTCTAGCTGAGACAATAAGGAAGTACGGAAATGGAGTTCCGGAGCAGAAGACAATAAACCTATTGTTATGGCGCTAACAAAAGAGAATGACGCAATCTGAGACATATGAAATACAAACAGAGGTTTGGGAGTTTGGGAGTTGAAGGACCGGAGGTACGGCCGGAGTTCCGGGAGTTCGGAAGTACAGTACTAAGTCCCGGAAATGGGATACTTCCCGGAAAAGGGTGCAAGTCCCGGAAGTTGGAATGAAGTCCCGGAAATCGGAGTTGTTGTCGCACGGGATGTAACACACATCCACAACACCACCACGGGAAACAACAGTCGATTGAACAACTCCCAGCAACGGAAGCCCTCCGCGGTGGAACCTTCACCTAGGATGAATTTGTTTGTAGTAAAGCGACCAGATCTGCCTTGCACTGCTCCAGGTCGCATGGATCAACCCAGACACACACTGGGGTCAGGTATCACATCCTGCTCTGAAGCCTGTGGCCACCAAGGCAGCATTGCAGTGCTTCTCATGTGGGCAAATTGGGCATTTCATGTTGACCCGG